AGCTGTTGACGGTAGCTCACTTCTTGTTTATTTTTTTTATTTTTATTTAAGAATTTGTAATTTTGTAAACAATCCCGGCGATTGTTTAATTTCGGGTTTTTCTCCTCTGGGCCAGAATTTTTACTTGCGGGCCAAATTACAGGTAGAAAAATGCATTCTTTTTGTGTTTTTTTGCTTTAAAAATGTTAATGATTTTTTTTTTAATTTTACTTATTTATTTCTAATTATTTTTTTTCACCAGTCAAAATTTTAGGGATAATTATTATTGAACCCCTTGTTACTTTTTTTCACATGTATTATCAAACAAATTCACGCAAAGTTAAGTTTTTTCCCCCAAGACTACAGACAAAAACCTGTGAACTTGTTTTTAACTGTAAAACTCCACTTTATGGCTTATTTTTACCTAGTTTTACACTTTGACAGTACCGAAAAAAAAAAAAAATGAAAATTAATGTGGGAAGATTGTGTTGCGTCAATCGTTCAAGTATGTTCGAATGCTGAACACGTCTCAGTAACGAGTTTTAGCCCCTCTTTTCCATCTTCTCTACTCGACCGAGCTAGTGAAAGTACAACTTTTTCCCAGGAAAAGAAAAGCATTTAATTTTAAAATAAAATGATTTCTTTTCTCAGTTTTCAAGTTTTTCCCATACTATTGTAGTTGATATTTAGTTTAGCTCAGTACAACAAACAGGATGTAGCTAAAAAAAACAACACAATGCCGAGTTTAAATTAAAATAATGCAGGACTCCTACGCATACATGGAATTAAATGGCAAAAATTAATTGATCAAACTCCCTCGATATTTACACTCTTGGTGATATGCGTCAGGGATTAACTTTTTATTTTTTTACATCCCTCTCAAAGAGAGTTTTTTTGTTTTTTTTTAAGCCCCTGCCCCCTAAAATGGGGCTCGAGCATACTTTACCTGTGGAATTCACCATTAATAAAAAAAAAATCCTAATATCCCTGCAAAAAGAAAAGAAAAATAGTTATTTTTTTATAAAAAAGATATAAAAAAAAAATTCTTACCTTTTTGTTCCGAAAAAAAAAAGGTAACAGACAAAAAAAGAAAGAACAAATTATTAAAATAAATAACATTATCTTGTTCGTTTTCCAACTCTTGTTCCTTTTTTTCTTTTGATTTGTGTGCAGTTTTGTAGGAAATCAATTCATTTTTTTATTTATTGATTTTTGTGCCATTGTTCATTCTCTGCAAATCACTCATGCAAAAAGTAAAAGACTGAACTTTTTAAAAAAATTCAGTCTTTGGCAATTTGCTTTTGCAGAAAAAGATGGCTTTTATCAAATTTAGCTGGAAAAATTTACCTCATTAAACAAAAACAGAAATTTATGTAGCGCAATAAAATATTGTATTCTCGTTAGATAGCCTGAAGTAGCGATAATGATCGGTTCAGGTATGAATAGTTACTTTTTTTATTTGATTTTCAAAATTCTCATAGACAATAGTACTCGCGGGAACAATCCTGTTTAGGAGTGGGCTAAAATTGTATTTGTTTTCTTTATTTTGTAATATTTTGAATATTTTTCTTCTCACATTTGAAGAGGTCAATATTTTTAAAGCTTTTGCATCCAAAATCAGGAATAAAAAACATATAACTGAAAGTGAAATATTAAACTTTCAAGAGAAATTTCCCATGTTCCAAGTGATGGAGCTACCATTATCTCGGAATAAAATAATAACAACACTATACTAAAACAATATTCATCGTTTTCAAAAATGTATCTTGCACTTCTAAAAATAACAATACAATTTTAAAATTATGTCTTTTACATGAGAAATATGATGTAGCAATTTGTATCGGCTTTACTTTGGCTTCTAAACTGGAAGCTTTAAATGTTTTACTTTTAAAAATTATTTTTTTAAAATGCAACATAAAAAAGAATTGAATATAAATTACTGAAGCATGATAAGTTTGCTTCTTTTGGCTGGCCTCCAGAAATAAGTTTGATGGTATCTTATAAATGAGTTTTATCCTTTTATTGCATCTACTTTCAATATTGACTATATAAGCAATGAAATGGTAGACTTTGCACTGCTTCCTATTTATAAACCGAATAGAGTTTTATTAACTTTTAAATACAATATCTGATTTGGATAAATGGTTTATGTCCTGGCTTTATTCTGGTCCTGTTTGTTTAATCAAAATCTTCAGGAATTCTTTCATTGGATACTTTGAGAGAGGATGAAACTTCCATATAATTTTGGTTAACTTCAGACATCATATATACCATGTGGATATTGTAGATTATTTAAATACTAGATTATTGGAATTAGTTTCTAAGCGATTTTGTAGTAAATATCATAATCATTTTAACAACACTTGAGATTTATCTGTTGAAAATTGTTAAGCAAATGGATGCACTAAAACCAGTCTCTCCTCTCTCTTGTGATTTTATTTTTCTGTATTATTTGCAGGTCATAACCTTTATTGAGGGAAGATTTATTTATTCAGCTCATTATTGATTGGAGTATTTACTTTTGTTTTTTACATTTTTTTAATGTAATGTATATTTTTTTTATCAAAAAATTTTCAAAATTCAAGGAAAAACAATGACTGCAATAAGTAGGTAATTAATTCTAAAGAATTCATTATAGAAAAGTTAGCATGAATGTCAGCAGACATTTGTTAGGTAACCCTTTCTTTTACTTTATGATTATTGCTTCAGAAACTTGACAAATTGTAACTAACCTAACAATGTTGTGAGAAATGTAATGCTCTCACTCAATTTATGTAACGCTCTCACTCAATTTATTTTGAGATTCTGAGAGAATCCATTTTCACCATCAGCTATTTTTGCTAGTTTTTCTTTCATCTATTCATTACAGTTCATTTCCACTCTTCATACATTAAATTTTAACTGCAAGAAATCAGAATATCAGATCCAGCACAAGTGTTTTTATTCCAAATTCCCATAATTTGACAAAATGGCAGATAGGGAGTATAAAAATAGATGAAAGAAAACTAGTGAATAAATATTTGTAATGTAAGAATCTAACGTTATCATTGCATTTCATGATATACTTTTTATGACTTTTCTTAATACATTTCTCTTCATTTGCTTTCATTGATTACTTCATTCTTTTTCCTAGAAAAGCTTATCTATCATAATTTGTCTCTTGTGCTGTTTACACTTTAGAATTCATATGAGAATTTTTTTTAAATAAATAAAATAAAATTTCACAAAATTCAGCAACTATCTCAATTTATTTTAAAAATATTTATATACAAATAGCATTCTCAAGTATCAATTTTAGAGCTTATTTCCTAAAATAATATATAGCTATAGATATAAGCATTATTTTCAATCAAAAATAAAAGCTAAATGTCATCTAATATCAAAGTTTGATTGCTTCTATTATTTCTGTATGTATATTTTATCAGTTTGATTTTAATTTTATTTACAATTGGATATAGCCTATAATTATGTAAAAAAATAAATAAATAAAATAAAATAAAAAAAAAAGATTAAAATAGGCAAAATCTATTGTTATACAAAACATCTATTTTGACAATAAATGTAAGTAAATACTCAAGTACTGAAAATATTAAATTCTAAATAACTTTATTTTTATATTATTATGCAACTTTTATATTATTATGCAACATTATATAACTGAATCTTTGTTCATATTTGTTTTTTTGTTTCTATAAAATTAAATGTTATATTGGCAATAATTATTTCTTTAATTAAAGAATTTCAGGAAACAAAATCAACAAAAATGAAATCATAACTTTATAATGAATAACTCTTTTTATAGTTGAAATTTTTCTTGATATTTCATAATCATAACCAAGTAAGCTGAAATTGTGAGTTGGAAGATCATATTGCATCAGTCTTCAAAATGAAATCGTCTAACATGAAAATTAATATTAAAAATTCTGGTTTTTATTTGTACTCTAACACTAATTTCTGGTACCAGTGTCAAAAGATACAACTAACTCAGCCACAAGGGAAGCTGCTAATTTACATCTTTGCTTTATTTTTTTCCAAACTTAAACTTTCCGTATTTTAAAAATGTTCTCATTGCAAAATGAAATTCCCTATGCTTGTTTAACATGAGTTGGAGCTTAAGTCAATGCATGATTTTAGCTGTAAATGCTTTAAAAAAAAAAAGAAAAGCTTCTTTGAAGTAACTTGGATGCATCAAATAGCATTGTAAAAAAAATTATTTTCTTTTATGAACTTATTTATGAACTTTTTTCTTCATAAATAGGTTAATTATCAAATTTTAAATAAAACTTGAAGATGGTGATTTTTGTTTTACTATTGCCATGGTATTCTGAAATTTTAAATTTGCTTTGAAGCATTAAATAATTTCACTTTTTGGAGAGCCAACATGGCCATCAGCTACATGATGACTAAGGCAGGTATGTACTTGTCACTAATGCAAGATATCAGTGTTCGAGCCCAAGATTTCAAATACTGATTTTCGTGGTAAGCATACTTTCCCGCTTGGAAGGTTAGCATGACACAATCTTCCTCCCACATTTTGTTTGGCCTTGTGTGAAACTAAGCTAATCTTAGTAAATATTGGCATCATCATGTTATGTTACTGCTGAGACAGTAAAAAGAAAAGAATAACATTTCCTCAATTCGTTTCATGCGTGAATATAAAAAGAAAAGTAGTGAGTGGATATTCAACCTGCTTTTAGAAGGTATCATTTCACATTAGATAATTACTTAGCTTTTAACTTGAATCATTTGTAGTTCTCTTTACCTTCCCTTGCCTTCATGAATTGATCTGAATTCTTTCTCTATTATTTTTCTTTTTTTTTCATTCTATTTTTTATACTTTTCATCTTTTGCAGATTATTTCTATGGTAGACATCAATTTACATTCCCCTTGCATTATTTGAGCTATAATCATGTCAAACAACAGAGAATGTAACAAAAGAAAAACTCCTGATGGGGAAAACTCAGAACCTGAGGAGAAAGCGTTCAAGAATAATGTTCTTGAAGATGGATCATTTTGTGTGATGATTCCATGTAGGATAATCATTTTTTCTTTCTTTTCTTGAAATAATTTTTTTTCTTTTCTTTTTTTTAAGAAAATGGTTTCATAAAAGACTGCTCTCTTAATGATAATTTTACTTCTGTCTCAAATAATTTATTATTAAGTTTTTTTTAGTTTTGAATATATTTTTGTGAAAGATTCTCTGCTATAAATCTTTTCAACCAAAAACCTTTTATTTTTTAAACAATGTTTGTAACCTTTTATCTTGACTAAATTTGGTTCCAAGAAATAGACAACTTTTAAGGTTTGAAGACATAATTTTTAATTAATTTCAATTCTGCTTTCTGTTGACTTCTCATAACTGATTTAATAATCTGGTTTGTTCAAAATTTATTATAAAAAGTTAAAAACAGTAAGATTTTCCATTTTTATTTATGAACAGAAAATCCTCTTTTGTGTATTGATTAAACCTATTGTTAGTGAAATTTCTAAATAATTGAATTTGGAAAAAATTGATTTGAAAACAAAATATCATGTTAGAAAATGTAGGTTTTACTCTTGTGCGAATGCTGAATATTGTAGAAGTTGATGATGTTTTTTTTTCATTAAAATTATTTCCACTATTTTTTTTTTTAAGCACATTCTCTTCTATCATTCAGAATTTAACTAAATGCAGCATATACTGAACATCAGCATAAAATCTCATGTTTCTTTCATGAATATTTCAATCCATCATTGTCTTCTGTTTTCATATCTTCATACACAAACTGAACTGACCCTCAATTCAATAAAACGGTGTAGGAGCCTTCTTTCTGTATGGCATCATTGCAAGCACATATGATGTAATGGCTAGAAAACAATATATAAGGGTATTAAATTCAGCCCTCACTGTTCATGCCATTAGTGTGGCCTTATGTCAAAATGAAGCTAAGCTTAATAAAAGATTGGGCAATCTCTTTGAAAGGGTGACTGAATTTTGTTATCCATTCAAGTTTATAGAAGCAAAGAAAATGTTTATGCACTACAATTTGATTCAAGCATTTTGATAAATGATTTTTCAGTATTCTACTTGAAGCATAGCCCAATGCAAGAACATAAGTTTGATAAGAGTGATCTCAGATGGCATTCCAAAATGCATGGTAGATTCATTTTTATAAAAAAAAAATTATTTAGAATATTTTGTGGAGCATATTTCTTTTAAAACATAGTTAAACAAGCTTTATTCACTGTAGCACTTGTAAAATTGGCAACATTTTATAACATCAGTAATTGAAAACTATTAAAATGTATGTATTCATTACTTCTAGATTTGTCTTATTAATTGTATGCATCAACAAAATTGTTTCCTCAAATTCTATTATGTGTAATTGGTTTTAGAAGAGGCCTGTAATAATTGCATAATCTGTGTAATTGAGTACATACCATGATGCAAATGGTTAGAAAGCTGAGTGCAATTCTCATTAGATACTCCACTTTTGTGGTCATGTGCCAGACAAGTTTAGTATATACCTATGTCAGAGTATTTAATACTATCGTTACTAGACTTGTTTCACTGACTATATCTCTTTCTGAGTCACTGTTACACTAGCCATTAACTTTTTACTTGAATGCTCTACACTTTCAGTCTTGTGCCACATCTAAACTATGCTTAGAAAATCATTGGCCACCATGATGTGGTGTAATGGTTAGCAAGTTTGTCTCACTAGAACAATTACAACTAAGTAATCAGTTCGATCCTCACTGGGTGCTTGATACTTTTGGCCTTGTGCCACATTTAAGCTATGTTTTAAAAAAATTGGACACTTTGACATGGTGTAATGGTTAACAAGGTAGTCTCACTAGATCAGTTGTGACTGAATAATGATTTTGGTCTTCACTGGATGCCCCAAACTTTCGGCCTTGTGTCATATCTAAGCTTACTAGATGCCCATTTACTATGGCTTTGTGACAGACTAAGCTGAGCTTAATAAATAACTAACCTGTAGTATTTATTCATTGTTATTCTAAAATTTAATTTAATCATTAACTAATAATGCCATAATGATTCAATGGAATAGAAATACGAGGTCTGATCAAAAAGTATTGGGGCTGTTGCTATGGTAACAGAGCTAAAGTACACAGTGTGAAGCCACTTGGATCATAATGACCTTGAACTCTTTTGTACATACACACTAAGTTATAACGTTCTTGCTTGCTTTCATTGTTTTTAGCAGTACTTGGAAGGAAAGTGTGTAGTGTGTGGTCTTTTCACCACACCACAGAGGCTCCATCAGTGACCATGGCTAGTGCAGCAGTTTTTAGCCAAGGACAACATTCCTCAGGTCTGGCAACCAGCATATTTCCCAGATCTCACTCCTTACAACTTTTTCCTCTTTCCAAAAATCAAATCCCACTTGAAAGGAACAAGATTTGAAGACATTGAGGAAAGCCAAGAGAATGCTATGAGGCAGCTGCTTGCCATCCCAAAAAAGGAGTTCCAGGAATGCTTCCATCAATGGAAATGATGCTGGATAATATGTGTCACTTTAGAAGGAAACTACTTCAAAGTTGATTAAATGCTGAATTGGTATATGTTGTAGTATTCTTTTTATAACACCGGTTCCGATATTTTTTGATCAGACTTTGTATTTGTGTTAGTAATTCCTTAATCTTTTTGAATCGTCGTTGCAAAAAGTGTCTTTTGTGCTTGGTAATGGGGTTTCTCAAAATCCAAATTGCACGAAACAACATGGGTCTTGTTAGAAAAGCATTGATTTTCTCTTTATTCAAAGAAATAAAATATCTGAATAGTCTTAAAGCAAATCAGTGCTTATTTGTTAGTATTGATACTTACTAAGCTTGGCTTACTATGGCACAAAACCAAAAGAGGAAAGGAACTACCTGTCTTAAAAATTAGAATTTAAAACATTAGCTTTTTTATCATATCATCAGTTTTGTAATCCATTGCAGTCATAGGAGCATAACATGTACTGCATCTATAGCAGTAGTGGCGTGTCTTGGGGAAGATAGTCTGACAGAGGCCATCCCTCTTCAAGCTGATTTTGAATTTGGAGTTTTTCTTATCCTAGACTGGTTATCACCTCAAAACAAGAGAACCCAGTCTACCTGCTATTTAACCCATAGCTGGGAGAAAAAGAGATGAATTCATACCTTTCTTAAAAGTATATGTATGAATGTAATGAACATAACCATGTTTCAAACTTGCCAATTTCTTTTTCCGAGTCACTGTTACACAAGCCATTAATTTTTTACCTGAGTCCACCACACTTTTGGCTTTGTGCCACATCTAAGCTATGCTTAGAAAATCATTGGGAACCTTGACATGGTGTAATGATTAGCAAGCTTGTCTCGCTAGATCAATTACAATTGATTAGTAAGTTCAATCCTCACTGGGTGCCCTATACTTCCAGCCTTGTGCCACATCTAAGTTATGCTTAGAAAATCACCATTACCTGAACTTAGAAACTGACCATTAGTGCTGATGCAACTATTTCTGCTACAGAACAGGCCCTCTGATTTATTTTTTTTGTTAGAGTGATGTTCACTCTGTACAAAGCCTTGGAGCTACTGAAGGTATAAGGTTACAGAGTAAGAGGCACAGTCAGAAAGATAATGGTTAACCCTAGACAGGTTAAGATTGTAGTGATCAAGGAAAACATCCTCTTGGGAGTCTGGTTCATGAGAAGAAGCTGCTTGAGTGGAACTTATATCTTATCAATGGAATATGAATGGAATGAGGGTGGTTCACTACAATGTACATTAGATGGCAAGTGTTAACCATGATGATTAGAACTGGTGGAATTAAGGAATGTAGTTCACCTGAACACAATCAATGGTAATAACCATAGAGCAGTGAGAGGTTTGCAATGTTTTGTCTTTGAGAAAGGGATTATATGGTGGAAAATACTTTTTCACCCACAAGGATACAGAAATACTTTTGGATTCTATCGAGACTGGAAAGTGAAAACTGAGCAGCTCTTGTCCATATATGGCAACAGTACTCCAATTTCAGCTTGATCTGGTTCTTGTAAAGATAGAGGATAGCAAGACAATTCAAGTACAGGGAACCAACCATTTTTCCTGCAGCTATCAATTTTATGTACATGCTCCACTTGTGGTCAGGGTTGAGTTGAAGTCCCAATAGACAGTCAAGGCAACATCCGTTTATCATGACTATTGGAATATATTTGCAAATTATGATAAAAGGAAAGAAATGAACTTAGAAAAATTGTCCTATCAACAAAGTATAAGAGCAGTACACTGATAATGCATATAAAATAAAAGAAACAGAATTGAATTTTGAACATAGATTTGTTCTAATGATTTCAGTTTTTTTTTTTTTAATTCAAAACTGATCAGTTTCCATGCCATTCAATGTCTATTTATTTTCTTTGTATAATTTGGTCCTTTTTATTAAAATAAATCATTACATATTGGGCAAACTTAGCAATAATTATTAACATCAATCCAATTTTAGAAGACAGGCTGTTTTAGAATCCTAAACAGAACATTTTAATGTTGATCATATGACCAACATGTATGTTATAAAATAGGTTAAAAAATTGGCTATATTCCATTTTGGCAAGTTTCTTGGAAGAAATTCAGATGATAGAATTAATAAACTTGCAAAATAAAATGCATTGTTTTTTGCAATAAAACTATTTAAATGTATGTCTGTTTACTGAGTGACATCTGCTAAATACAATGTCTACCGGCTTGGCACACTTTGCTATTTATTATCTATTATTTGTTCAAGTCTTTTGAATTATTTTTGTCATATAGCCATTTATTTTAACCAAGTATTTTTAACTAACATATTTTTAAAATTCTTCCAAGTTTATTTTTTACTTTGTCATTTTTTTTTATAACTGCTTTGCTTTAGTTGGTGCTCATTTTGCTGCATGATTTTAAAATGCTAGTTTATTTTGTTTATAAAAAATATTGAATGGTTTATATAATACAGGGTGTGACAGAAATACCTCCCACTCAATGGTAAGACATAAGCTAGACAAAGACACTATCGCAACTAATGTCTTATGTTTTTAGGCACAAGTATTTTCTCACTTCAGACATGACCATTAATTTTTTTAAGTTGTGGGTGCTAAAATATGAAGCTAAATTTAAATGTTTCTCCTCAAAATTGTTTGTTCTTATTTTAATTCATTCTCATTATGTTTTGACATAAAGCCTTTTTGTCTATAATATTTTAGCCTCTCCTAACAAAGTGCCTCCAGTTTATAAATATCTGAAGGATATGGAATTGATTCATGAAATTGTCATCAATAATGATTTTGAAATGAAAAAAGTGGACTCACCCGAAAAAAGGTTTGTTCTTGATGTAATTTTGCTAACAGTGTCAAGCGCTTTGTCGTTGTTACTTAAAAAGTTAATCCATGCCTGTTAAGATTACTATAATTGTTGACATATAAATCAGCCCTAAAATTCTAACATGGTAATTCAGATTTAGGTTTATATTCACCAGATAATTTCATACATACCCATAAATAAGGCAACATCTTTTCATCAGATTACCAAATTCTTTTTTTTTTCTTTATATGAAATAATTACCTCTCATTTCATCTACAAAATTGTTTAATTTTATAACTGAAGAATTTAAATGGAATAAAATTCTGAATTTAACAATTTATTAAGCAATATAAAAGAAATTGTTGGTGTCATCCCATCTGATGATTTTAATATCAATATGCTTTCAGAAACAATAATAACCTATAGCTCGAGTTTTTGACTCACCCCACTCCTCCCAAGTTTGACCAAATATCTAAGCACCAAAAATTTATTTTTTGGAAAGGAATCTTTGTTGGGCCAAGAATTTGTCAGCACTCCTTTGTATAAATAATTGAAAAGCTACAAATGTACTTAATGCAGTTTCATACATTTAATCTGATGACTCACCCATATTCAACATAGCTAAACTGTTGATTAAAAAGTAGATTAATTTCTTTAATGTTTTTGTTACTCTCAAGCCCCTCCCTGGTCATCCAAATATCCAATACCCATGGCTGATCAAATAGGTGATTGTTTCAATCCAGGCCTTGCCTTATCCCACGTTGTGATTGGTTTTGATCATAAGGTCGGCCAAGATCAAATCGTCTTCAGGTATCTTCATATTGGGCTGGTCCAAGCAGGACGAAGACGCAAAGAAAGAAAATAACACTTGAATAAAAAATAAATACTATTTTTATGTGAGGTCCTTTGTACAACAGTTGGTTAATTGTTGTTAAAGTCTAGGATTTCACATGCAGACAATTATCGACACAACCCGCTTCTAAGTCAGACGCAACACTTTGTTAACTTGGTAAAATTTGTTTAGCTGATTTGGTGAAGTTTGGCACAAGGCTGATGTCAGCAGTTCTCATTAGTAGGCAGTCACATGGAGTGTCTCATGTCCGGGGGCTGGAACAATCTCTCAGACAATCTCTCATTCGTATTTATTGATGTTCACCTAAAACTGGTGTGGGGCATGATGTGGCTGGGTATACAGTATTTTCTCTACCTGCCACAAACAACCCTTTTCCCATTGTCTGGGTTCTGAGAATTAATTACTTCCTAATTTGGGAGTCTCCTTCTTTCCTCAGGTGACGGTCGTAGGCATTAATCCGCCCCATGACTTCTTCTTTCTTAGCATCTCCCTCTAATACTCCTCAGTGGGCATGGGCAGCTCCTCCACTGTCCTTGGTGTCTCATCTGTGCTTGCTACTTCAGTCACCTTTCGACCAGCGAAGATTAATTCTAAGTTCGTTAATCAAAAGAATTATCATACCAAGCTTATCATCTTACAAGCAAATTTTCTGACATCACTGTTGGTTTTTCCTTGTCTTAAAGTTGGACACAAAGCAGATAGCCTCCTCCTCCTTTGGTTCCCATCAGAGACATTCTCCAAAGAAAACCTTTATCTCCAAATTATTTTTTTCTAAATCTTATCTGATTCTCTCTACCTCTGGTTTCATGGCTAACACTCATAGTGGTAATCATCTATCAGACGTCAAAATATTGCCATATGTCCCCAGTGTAAAAATTAAGTCAAGGAATTATTATTTCAAACCTGTTGTCTCCAGGGAAAAATTCTCCATATCAGTTTTATATTTCTTCTTAAAATCTGATACAGACCACATGGCCCCTTTTTCCTTCGGTTCTCATCAGAAACATTCTCTTAGAAAACCTTTATCTTTAAATTGTGATTTTAAATCTCATCAGATTCTCTCCACTTCTGGTTCCACAGCTAGCACCCATGGCAGTAGTCATTAATCAATTGTCAGCATATCACGATGTGACACCATCATAAAAATTGTTGTTTTTAGCTGTTTGTCTGAGTTTTTTAGAAATTTCGACTTTCTTATAATTAAAATCTTCAATATTTCCCATGATAGTTTATTAGTATATCGTTCATACTATCCAAAACACCTTATTATTTACCAGTAACAAATAGTGTCACATTTTTTTTACTTTCGTTTAATTTTTTCTCTTGTTTCTGTGTTCAGTATTCAGAAAAGAGTCCATGAAATGTTTCACAAGGCTTTTTGGGACCATGTTGAAGAGCAACTAAATGCCAATCCTCCTGACTATGTACCAGCCATTCAACTCATAGAGGTTATCAAACAGGTACACTTAGTTTAACTCAAGTTTTTTGTGGTTTTTTTTTTTGTTTTTTTACTATCATCCTCACCATTATTGTTTTTATCATAAGATCTGTAACTTTTTCTGTGAATTTATCCTCCTCCTTATAATGGAACACTGCTTTTCCACTGAACCAGTGCACTTTTGCATTGCCTAACTCTGAGATACATTCTAAAACTCCAGCAATAACAAATGTTTTTATCCACCAGGATTTTCTAAAGACAGTCTTGATTTGTCAAGTAGAAATAATAATAATAATAATAAAAAAAACAAAAAAACAACAACAACCATAATGGAAATAATAAATTCTTATTATTCCCCTTTTATTTTATTTTGGAAAGATTTTGCACTTAAAAATTGTGTTATGTTGTTTTTTAAACTCTTTCAGATGATACTCGAACTATTGATGCCCTGGCAAAATCAACTGAAAAACCAGATTTCTGAAGTTCTCGATATTGAATTAATCAAGCAAAAAATTGAGCATGAAGTGTTTGACATTAATTATTATGAAGATTACATTATCTCTTTGATGGAAAAAATCTGTGCACCAGTTAGAGATGAAGATGTAGCTAAACTGCGCCATCAAAAAGAAGTTGTATCTTTGTTTAGGTGAGCTAAACCATTTTTTTTTTTTTTGTCATTGAGCTGTGAAAAAGTAAAAGTACTGGTGCTATTTTATTGATATTTTAAAATGGTTAATAAATACATTTCATTGCATTTATACAATCCAAATAACAAATACTGTTCTGTTTATATTTTCAAATTCTATATAGCCATTCACTTTTCAATGACCCTGATGTCTGGAAATGTAATACTTTCAGAAATGGTTTGCCATTAAAAAGTTTAGTGCTATAAGAGAATCATCAAGTGAAATTCATGAGACAAAGCATTGAAAGATGAAAATAATTATTGTAGTAAATTCTTAATCTAAAATAAAACTTCATGTGGACTTCTTTTTGTTAAAATAGATTTAGTTTTTTTTTAAGTTCCTCTTGATGTGCAAACTTTTTTTTTTTTTTTCCTTACCATTTCAGCTCTTCTCACTTCAAAATTTGCAATTAGAATAACAGAATACTCTGTTATAAAGGACTGATTTATTAATTCCTTTCTCTTAATTAGTTTACCAATTTTTTTCTTCAACTGAAAGAAATCAGTTATCATTGAAACACTTATTCTTTTATCCTTGTTTACTGCTTTTCAACTGACTTTTTCCAGGAGCATAATTGAGACTTTAGAACTCATGAAACTGGACATGGCCAACTTCACTATCAACCAAGCTCGACCATATATGCAGCAACATTATACATCTCTTGAAAAAGACAAATTCAAGAAATACATTGATTACACCAGAGGTACATAGCTTTGCTATTTACACATTAATATTGCATCAATGTCTCTACAGTATATTTCTTTGACAGCAAAGTTATTTGAATATCAATTTTAATTTGATTAATTACTTAATTATTTTCAGTGTGTATATATGATTTAATATTTTCACAACAGTTGTGTAAAATTAAATATTTGCTTGATGATGGGGAATGTTAGAACATTTCAGACAGTTTTATTATACAAGGATTCCTCATCTTAGTAGATTTTATTCCCACACTTTCACATACTGTATTGTCAGATCTTCTTTAAGTGTTTGAGATATTCAGTGGCCTTCAGGGAATATTGAACAGAATGTCCTATTTCCTCCAGGAATGAGTATATTATTTTAATCTCTCAATTCATGTTCAGCCATAGGTATCATATCAATTTCTATGGAACAAATTTAGAATAATAGACAAGGAAGAAAAGAACATCACCATATAAAGTAATTAAAAGATGCTATGCTTGAAAGATCCAATTACATAGTCTAGAATAGATGTGAGCATGTAATAAGAAAAAGAGAAAACCTTAAGCAGTAAATTAACGCAAAGAGAAATGTAAAAATTGTAAAATCTGAAATCCTTAGAGATAATGTTGTTATTATCAAAGTAAATTTTGAGTAATCTATTTGCATATTGGTTATATAATGAATTCTCCCAAAGATATTCCCTTTTTACAAAATAATTCTGTTGTGATGTTATTTTTTCTGTTTTTCAATTGCTTTCACATTTACATTATAAGTATGATTTAGTACTAGCAGTCACAACCCCTACTAGCAAAAACAGTATTATTCAGCTAATTAGATTTGGTTAATCCATGCTGATGTAGTTGACTGTGATGCTAATCATCTGCCATCACTCACTGCATATGAAGTCAATGTTGCCTGTTGATGCTTACCTATCTATGAAACAAGAGCTGCACCCAGATCCAGGATTTTTGTCATTGAAGTTTGATCATCCAGGTTTTGTCTAGCTCCTCTACCACTGATCTGTTTGGTTGGGACATCCAGGAAATAAACCTGACAACATAGCTCTTTGGGTTACAGGAGCACACAAGCCACTTGACCACATCAAGGTATTTAATTGTGGAGTGGGTTTTAATATCAGTGATTTCTTTAACTACATTTCAGTTTCAAAATTCTTCTCATAAAATGACAGTTTGGAAATGTCTGGAATTCTGGCTGTGTAATTATATCAGAGCATTCTCAAGAGTTTCCTCAACACTGGACTCCAACTCAGAAAATGACAGACCGATGAAAGAGATTGTCATTGTATTAAAGACTAATCTTTTTTGAGATTTTTTCCCCCTTTAAGCTTGGACTTAACATTTTATTCCAACCAGAATAAGATTGATTTTTGTCTCCTGTCAGTGGGATTGATTGATTGATTTTCATATCTTATCAACTATTTGATATGAAACATATTTGATATTGTAAGAATAATTTTTTTTTTTTTTTTTTTAAAGTCTATATTGCCATAACAATTTTTGGGAGATAGCAATGATTTTTTCAGACACTATTTAACACATAGCTGGTTAGGGAGGTGATAGATTCATACCTTTCCCAAGGGTATTTGTGCATAAGTGAATGTAGCAAACTCAACTGGAATTCAAACTTGGTTCTTCAATTTCTCATTCGAAGCCACTACCCATTATACCACCTACACATCCCCTCTCAATGGAACACATTAAACAACTGGATTATCCAACAAGACAGTCATGTGCATAAGTAAATTTTAGTTAAGTTGGAAACATACTCTAAAATATTCCAAAGAGAATTCTTGTTATTTTTTTTTTTTCAGCATCAGTGTTCATTATTATTGTTGGCAGTTTTTGTTCTTAAATGTTTTAATTAGTTTGCTGCTATGGACAAGATAACTTGGCAAGTAATTCATTTTAGTACCACAGACAAGATAACTTCTCTTACAATAATGTATTTGCAAGATTTTATTTCAACACCATTATATGTAGCCTTCTTCTTTGCCAGTCTGTCTGATGTTCAATCCCCATGGCTGATCAATGAGTTGATCACTTTGATCCAAGCTTTGCCTTGTCCCACATTGTTTGATTTTGATCACAAGACTGGCAAGGATCGATCGTCAACAGGAATCTTTGTATTGGTTTGGTCCAAGCAGAGTGAAGTCACAAGTAAAAAAAAAAAATAATTTGAATAAAAGAAAATGTTTTTATATAACGTACAGAGTTGATATTACAATTATCAATTCATTGTGCAGAATTATCAACCCTTCCCACTTCGTATATTAACGTGACACTTTTCTTGATGTGACTAAGTTTGAACAAAGCTTCTGGAACAAGACTTAAGTCTGAAGTTTTCTTCAGGCAGCAAATAAGGTGAGATCAAAGTGGTTGTCTCTCATCTCCAGCAGCAATTCAAGTGGCTACTCATTTGGTCATTTTGATCACTCTAAACAAGCATGGAAATTGGACGAGTCCTGGGGTTTCAGTAAATCTCCTAACTCCTACAAAGAGTCCATTGTCATATGATTCCAGAAAATTAATTGCATGCCTGATTTTGGGGAGATCCTGATTCCTAAGAGTAGTAGTAACAGAATATCAATCTAACTCATACTAATACTACCCAAGGGGGCAAAGGCAATCCCTTCATCCTCCTTGATATTTCACCTGAGCTCTTCACTTTGGTTGTTATTTTGCCAAACTCAATTTTTAGACTGTGTAGGTGAATAGGTGGTGCTTAACTCCAAATCATTAATTTAATTATCACTCAAAATTTTCATCAATGGAATTCCTTGACTCAAACTTCATTCTCTCTGAGCGACATTCACAAGCTGTCTCCTTGACAGCATTCTTAGCAAGTTTCAACCCACAACACTCAGGTTTGGCTCCTATCCAAAGAAATCCCATTTCCTTAGCATTCTATGCATTCCGCACTTTTTGACAAACGAAATAAATCAATTCTCTTAACTTTGCCGTCGTTCATCAAAAGATTAAAAATATTATCTCTCCATCAATTCCCTTTTATGCTTGTGGTTATCAGGAGACTTTACATAACCTGCACCTTAGCGAGCAATCATAAATCAATGTCTTCATTTCTGCCCTGTTGAACAAATTTCCCAGCCAAATTTGAATGTTCTTACACCATCTCACCCCACCCCTTGTAGGTTTAAATTATCCAGATGGCCTTCTCAGTTAAATTCCTCAAAATAATAAAGCCATTTTACTTCAAGTTAGCCATACTTCTTCCCTTAGGGTTTATTCACAGAAGTAAAATAAACTCTAAATTCAGCAAAATCTTGCTTCATTTCTCGGTATAGCTATCAAGCTATCTTTTAACTCTTTCAGTGTCTTACAGAGTCACAATATATATTTAACATTTTCTGTTGATTTGTATGAAAATAAATCCATTTTAAACATGCAATGAAGAATTTGCATTTTCATCATTTTTTACAAGAAAGATCCAGCACAAATTTTACGATATTAAAAAATATATTTATCAGTGAACAGGTTAAGAAAATCAATTTCTGTCATCATCCCATGAAACATCGTTTGTCTAGTAATCTTTACTTTTAACTCTAAAGTCTATTTGAAAAGCTACAAGAAATTGATAAGTTGTATGAGAATTTCTTCTTGTAATTTGTTTGGCTAAATTAAGTATAAATTTTAAATTTTGTAGCAAAGAGGCCATTTGAAAAGTAAATTACTTGGGGCATTTGTTATTTTATATTGTGAATTTAAATGTTTCTACCTGTCTTTACTCTCCAGAAGATCTAATGACTATTTTTTCTTTTTTTTTTTTCTTTTTTAATTTGTGATAGTTAACTGTTCATTAATGTAAATAATCTATTGTGATAGTTTATTTCTAATGTATGGCAATAAAATTGTGTTTCTGCAGAAAAAGGCCTGGATCCACTACAAAGAACAAAGACTTGGCTACAAAGGAACCATATGAAACTCACTCTGCCTCAGTGCATTACTACTGAGGAGGGAGCAACTTGTGCTGGGGCCAGTTTCTTCTCAGGAAATTTGCACCCTGATGCTAATTCTACTAGGTCAGTTACAGGAACAATAATTCTCAACACAGCCTATCTGGAACTTATCAACTGGGAAGATCTACAACCATATCCAGAGGTAATTACCAATTCAATGAAATATATTCTTTGTTGTCTCAATCACTCACAAAGTATTTATTCCAATTATCATTGAGTGAGAGAGGTACAAAGATCAGTATATCCATCATAATATGGGTATACCAGGTACATGCACCACAGACAAATTGTACAATATGGTGACTGGATTTGATAAAAGCTGTGAAATAACCTTGCAAGCAGGGTCTAGTTAGAAATGAGTAACCCAGTTTGTTCAGGTGTTTTTTGATTACGGGTGTCCCCAAATATCTAGATGTGATTCCTAAGTTGACTTGGCTACCTCATCCTTCAAACTTAAAAAAAACAACTCTCTCAACACCTGGCCTTAATTCTCCTCACTATTCCCACTTATGGAGAGAGATGCACAGTGCATCAACCCCTAAGGGACATACCCAACTAGTTACAGTTAGGCAACTGACAAGCAAATCTATGGTACTAAATGAAATATTTACTGTAGCCCATTTTAATTCAAGACAGAACATGTACATGTTCTGACCTTCAATTACTAAAGTTCAGAAGACATTATAGCCATTGCAATCATCAGAGCAGTTATTATTATTAACAACAACAACAACATCAACTTGTTATTGTCTTTGAAAATGGAATCAATAAACAGTTTGAATTTTGGCACTTGCACTATAACTTAGGAGAAGGCATAAATCCATTTTCCCTGTTCTCTGTCCTATTTCTAGATATTGTATTACTGGCATGTCACAATGGTTGATAAAGGGTAGATGACTGAACAACCACAATCCCATAGTTAACATATGTTCAAGCAGTAGTAACTGTTACTGCCATAGTCAACCATTAAGTCCAGTCAGCAAAATTTAATTATTTAAAATGTTATTTGAATCATTTACTATAATAAATATTTCAATATTTATATTATTCGGACTATTGTCCTCATCTTTGTTGCCATATTTATCACAATATTTTGGCTGTTGTACACTCTGGCCTTCTTCAAGTGGTTGGAATGTTGAACTGAACCCTTAATTTTTGCTCACTAGACTGTTCTATTTCTACGTGCCATGTCTAATGCATGTCGGTTATCAGTTATCTCCTGTTAATTCTCCTCTCCAAGTTCTCCACCACCTTAACCAGGTATTGAACTCACACTCTTTGGGTCCTGTCACTGGATCTAACTAATGATTTTATTCACTGTGCCATGTGTCCTTGAGGACATCTGTGTATGAATTTCTGGGTATTATAAACCTAATGTCTTCAGTAACCATTTTTTACCAGTGCTCATATGTAAAAATAGTTTCTGGCTTTAAATAACCTGCAAAGTGTTGATACGCCATAGAAAGTGAATCAGTCAATCACCTTGTCCTTTATTCAGTACTGCTCATTTATCACTAGTCTTATTTCCCTTGAGTCTGTGTTTGTACTGTCCAGCCAAGTGTTGGTTCATTAATTTTGTGGTATAGTAATTGTGTGTTCAATCCCTGGATTGGGTAGTACAGATTCAGATGCAGTAGAAATAGGGGGTGCAAATAACTGAGTGGTATAAAAAGGATAAGACAAGATATTTCTAAACATGGTCAGCAAAAACAATTAACCCAATCAAGAGTTTGAAATTGCCTAAAGGTTACCTGGATCAACAGACAACTGAAGAAGACCACAGCACACAATGGCCAAACCACTGTTATAATAACAACAAAGATGAGGAAATTAGACCAAATGTAAATTAAAGCAGAGTAGTTAAAGCCAAACATAATTGATGAGTAAAACTGAATTTAGCTTTGACTTAAAAATCATAAATTTTGTCTGTAGTATATTAATCTCCACATTTTGAACCTCACCTGGAGTTTATTCTTTGCTTTGTTTTATTTATATATATATATATATATAATTACTCTGAGTAAAAGGATCGTCATTTAGCTTACCTTCTTAATGCTACCGTCAGCAACTTGACTCCAGAGCTTTATAGATGGACCCATACATCAGTAACTGAGTGCTTATAATTCTTGATTTTTCTTTTTTATATGCACTTATTGGTGCAATTCTTTTTATAGTGTGTGTGTGTTCGCAGAACTACATACATGCAGGGTGTCATGATTATTTGTCCTTTTCATTGTTTTTTTTTTCTCCACTTTACACTCACTCCTTAGCCTTTTTTCCCTTTTTTTTCTATTCTTTTTCCTCTTTTCTTTCAATTGTAGGAATTTGTTGCTATTTGATTTCCATTTTTATTCTCTAGACATGTTGTCATTTTTAATTTTGAGCATTCTAGTCTTTTCTTGAGTTAGGAAAATTGTATTTCATTTTTTTTACATAAATAATTGATTTTAATGTTTAAATGTAATAGTAATATTTATGTATGTCTTCACTTGGCTATTATTTCATTTTCTTATTTGGTTTGGTGGTATCTTAAGTTAATTACTATTAAAGTATTAACTGTAGGAGCTTTGATTTATAAAAGTTTTTATTTATTATTGTTTAAATCTATATATATATATATATATATATATATATATATATATAGTAATATCTTATCAGTGTGGGTTTCATTAACCAAAAGAAAACATTAAAGAGATCAACTGATGAATTTTTCTACATTTTTGCTTCTAATTTCAGACCATGTGTTTGGATGAGCGTCGTTTCCGGAAATTGCAAGAACATTTGTATAAGCTGCGCTTAATGGCAGGTATGCTGTTAGTCACATACAATACAATCGGCACTTCTATCTCCGGGGTCTCTGAAGTTCGAGAACAGCTGAAACAGAATTTAACTGTTTTGCTAGACAAGTTGAACTCAAAGGATGAAAAGTAAGAATACTCTTTTTCACAATTTTCACAAAATTCTGTTGTAACTTTTTGTGTTATCTTTTGTTACAATTGGCCAGAGGGGATTTTCAATTGAAAAAGGCAAGATAGGAGAAAAAAAATAAAAAAAGATAAGGTGACCACCCAGGAAAACATAAAACAATAGAGATTGGGTCAAGAAAGGTTGTAGGAAAAAGGAGAGAAAGAAGTAGGAAAAAACGAGAAAAAGAGAAGTAGGAAAAAAGAAACGAGTGGTTGGAGTAAGAGAGTAGTAGGAAAAAAGCAGAAAAAGAGAGGTAGGAAAATAGAGAAATATAAATTGAATCAGCAAGGAATAATATTAGGCTGAGGCCCAAAAAAGGAAGTTTATGATTTAGAAGACTACTTTATGCCCATATAAGGGGATTTGTATATCTTACAAACAGGTTGATATCAAATGAGATAAATAAGGTCATGTTGTTGCAGAATTTATGCTAAGTGAGATGTGTCAGAAGGTGAAATTGTGTGAAGGCCTAAAATGTGCATGTACATTATACATTTATCCACAACAAATAAATTAAACGAACATATGAAGACAATATAACTTGAAGAAATCAAGGAAAAAACAATATAGTTATAAATTTCAACAATAACATGAATTTATATATATATTTGACATACACAAAGTGATGATAGGTTGCTTGTTAAATGTGGCAAGTGAGATAAGATTGCAAAGAGTGTCCATGCAGAGATTTGGTGAATGAATGTTGATGGTTTAAGTTTGTTTGTGAAATTAAAACAGTTTGATTTCTGCAAGGTAAAATGACAATTGTGTGAGTTCAAATAATAGTGTGTATGTATGTGACAATTGTAAGTGTTGAATCAAGTTATGAAGAGTTGTGTGCCTTTGACTGACATGCTAAAGTCAATTACTATTTCGTAGTGATAATGTTACTTTTTAGTAAATTGTAAGTTAAGTTTCTTCACGCGGCAATAGTAGTGCGAGTTGTGTTGAGTTGATGAGAGGCTGGTAGTGTTATTGAGTCGGTGTGTTGGCATGCGTGGAGTCTGCTGGCATCTCTTGAAACTCAGTGTCTGACTGACTTGAATTAAGTCAAGTGATTCTTTTTTTATAGATTTTGGGTTTTCAAATAGGCTCCAGATAGCTGCGCAGGAAAAAAAGGATTTGTCTCAACTTGCTACATTTATGTGTCCTTTTAACCAATGGGAAGTTGAGTTTGGAAATGTGAAGTGATGATTGGCTAAAGGTTAATTTGGGGAAGAGTGCATCTTCCCGTAGGGGGTGACAGGCAAGTATGGAGGATTCCATAATGTGTTAGAAATCAGACCTGTAAAAATTTATGGCTTTTATTTAAAAGTTACTATATAAGCGAGCCAAATGCCAGTTAGTGCTCTGTCAAACTACTGGAAGCAGACATCATTTTTTGAACATATTAAGAAGTGTTCAGAAAAAGTTAATTGTATGGACAGTGTGCAAAGAAAAAGTGTTTAAACAATGGCAACAGATACCATCTCCTTCTCATACAGTAGAGGGATGAGAATAGTTTTCTTAAAAGACACTACATTTCATATCAAAATCACAATAATCCCAGAAAGTTTATAGTAATGAAATAAATTACATGGAAACCAAAATTTTAATTTACCTCTCTCCTTCTGAGATTGCATGTTGGGCAAAGCCAAATATGATGACTGAATATTTAATGTGGAATTAATGCCAATAGAATCCAGACGAAAATTAAAACAAAATTAATGTAGATACACATGTGAGTCCAACCATTAAAAACCTGTGAAGTTGTATCAGACTGAGATTGTTTAAATTGTTGTTATCTAATTAAACATCTAGTTTGAATTTAGAAAACAATTATCAGTTTCTTGTATAGTTCAGAAAGATTTTGCATTTCAGAGGAAATTGATTGTTAACCAATTTTGATAATTTTTTTTCCAGAAATCTTTTGGAAGTGGCATTAAGTTGTGCAGAGCAAGTAAATTGTGTAGTAAAAACATGGCTGAAAAGTCATGGCTTTGAGGAACTAGATGCAGACAAACAAAAACTGCTTCTTGGCCAGCTGCAGGATGTCTTCTCTCCTCAAAATGCAGTGCACAAATTGATGTGTAAGTCAAACAATTTATCACCTTTCTAATACTATGCTGAGACAGACAGAATCTTTGAACAATTGCTTGTTAGCAGTGGTGGACTAGGTCTAAAAATAAGGAGACAAAGGTGGCCTACACACAACTACAATGCTATCATTTAATTTTCATAATGAATAAATAAAATTTTCAAAAAATACATATGGAAAAAAGGATGCAATTAAAATCTTTGTAAAAAATATATGCATTTCTTCATAATTACCATGTACTGTATGTATTACTGACAGTAGATACCAATGTAAATACAGAATGTTATAAGATTTTTTTTTTAATTTTAAGTAAATGGTTGATATTTTTAGATAACTTTACTGCACAATTTGCACATCAAGAGTACAATAGAACATTACATGCAGTCCACTATATTAAGAGCAATCGTTTGATGATTCTGCAAATCTACCAATAATTGCTTTTGCATCCAATTCCTCCAACTATTCCTTTTCAATGGATAGCAATGTGTATGATTCCAAATTCTCCTCAGTGAAGTTCTTAAACTTGTCTTTATGATCTTTTAACTTTGAAAATGTCTTCTCACATTAGACTTTAGTAACTGATAGTGTGCAGATGACTTTTTAAAGTTCTTATTGCTTTTTTTTTTTTTTAAAAAAAACCTAAAACAGTTGTGTGTTTGTTTCTTTATAACATTTTAATTTGATATTGGGGTCCCATTTGCCATCGGACAAGCTAGTCTGCCACTGATTGTTAGTATTTCTTTATCAATTTTCTTTCTGTTTCACATTCTGATACCTTAAATTGACATCTGAAAACGGAGTAGAAAAACAGGTCAAGTAACTGAAATGAAATTTGAGGTGAAGATTAATTTTGGAAAAAAAGTTTCTTTTTTAAAGTTTTGGTAATATTTAAAATTTATTTCCTAACAATTTCTTTTTCAATTTTTTTCTCTTATTTTTTTCTTTACATTTTTTATTTATTTACATTGTAAAAAGAAAAAATCTAAAAGAATTAGCTATGGATACAATATTTGGGCAAATATTGGAACAAAATATTAGTATCAAAATGCATTTCTATCTGAATTTCTGGGATGATGAGTTATCATTATTTAAATTCAAACTAATGTTCTTGTCTTTGTTATTATCACAATGTTTCTGCCATTGTGCTCTCTGGCCTTGTATGACAATCCTGGTAACCTTCAGGAAATTTCAAACTGAATGCTTTATTTAATCTACACAGATTGTTCTCATTCTGCTGTTCATGTCTAAGGATATTTTGTTCTTATTTAGTACTGCTCAGTTATTATTCACCGTGTTTCCACTGAGTCTGAGTCTGTACTACCTGGTCCAGGGATTGAACTCACAACTACTATGTGATGCAATCTATGAACCAACATTTTAATCCACTAGGCTCATGGGTGTATCGTCAGTGATAGTACCTTTTGCAGCAAAGCAGTTAACCATGCATTACTCAGGTGAATTGGGATGCAGAACTACTGGTTCAGAGCCTACATTCAACTCTCACACATGGCTCCAAGAAGTTGCATGGGCATTGTGCTGACCAAACCCAGATCAATGGCATCAACCTACCAGCTAAATTGTGTGAGGGTAATCAGCAGCATTTGCCGAACCAATCCAACTGGTCAAATGGTCATCAGCTAGTCGCCAACCTGAGTGTAGGAGCTGTGCCTCAGAGGTCAATATCTTTACCAGTGGGTGGAGTAACTTCTGAGAGGAGGACCAAGAGTAACCTTAACATCCATGGTGCAAAAGGAACCAGCAAGCCACTGCACTATTTTGCCATGAATGTCACCATGAACCACAATTACAACAGAAATATGGGGACAGGTGACCACAACAATACAAAATGTGCTAACTGATAAATGATAATGATGAGGCTCATGGTACAATAGCCTAGTGGATTAAAGTGTTCATATTGATTGATTCATTGATTCATTCATTTTCTACAGCTTATCAGCCCTTTGTAGGCTATTTAATGCCAGAAAATATTTTTGGATTTTTTTTTTTTTTTTAGATAATAATAGTTTAGTGATACAAATCTTACTAATTAACCCATAGCTGGGGGTAGGAGAGATGGATTCATACCTTTCCCAAGGCTATTTGCACCTGATGAGAGGTGTTGATTCACATTGAAACACAACTGCAATTGCATTTTTGACATGTTTTTGATGTAATATCCTAAAATAAAGAATATTGTTCTACTTTGTATTTTATTGCTCTTTTAAATTAAATGTTACAAACGTTGGAATTGTCCCCTACTTGTTCTCATCTTAATATGACAAACCAACTGAAATTAGAAGTCAGCTCTCTGATTAGCTTTTCCGAGCCATTATCCATTACATCACCCATATATCCAAACTTACAGCACCTGGTATTCCAAAGTAGGTACTGATCAGACTCAACATTGCTTAACTTTCAAACATTGTTTTCCCATACAATCACCAATGTGATGTGGCCGTAAGCCTAACGTATTCATGAATTTAGTGAAACATAAAGAGCAATAACTGAACAGTACTAAATAAGGATAAAACAAGATATCCTTAGACATGGACAATGGAACAAGAAAAATACTCCTAAAGATTAAATAAAGGGTTAAGTTTGAAAATCCTTGAAAGTTACCTGGATCAACAGAAACCTGTTGAAGGCTGGCAGACACAATAGCCAAAATGTTATAACAAAATACATGACAAAATTTAAGAATAGACTGATTCAATAAACTTAGCTCTGAGAACTGAGATTGATGAACTAAATAAAAAATTAAGCTGTGTTAATTTGGTTGATACAAAATTTAACAGTGCATAATATTAGAAAAATCTTAAAAATGTCACTGGAGTTTATTCAGCTCTTTATTAAGCAATAATCAAATGCACTCAGTCAGCTGTAGTTGATTGCTTACAAGCCTTTGGAAAAATTCAGAAGCTTTGAAAAAAAAATGGCTTCCTCATGAATTTAAACATGAGTGATAAGTGTTTACTTATTTTGGAACAGTGATTTTTGAAGATAGTCACTAGAGACAAAAATGGATTTATTTTGAGAAAGCAAAACAAAGAAAATTATAGCCAAATTCAAGCAATTCAGCTTAAACAATATTAAGTTTCAAAGGGAATTCTTTATTACCAGTGTTTGGAACCTGGACAAATCAAATTGTCACTATGTTCAATTGGGTCACTAGAATGACCTGTGACCTGTATCTGTCTATATTTCTGAAATGAGGTATTATGTACACAATTTATATTATTCGGACTATTGTCCTCATCTTTGTCATGATATTTATTATGTTTCGACCGTTGTACACTCCGGCCTTCTTCAGGTGGTTGGAATGTCGAACTGAACCCTTTATTTCGGTCACTAGGGTAGACTGTTTAATGGATGTCAGTTATCAGTTATCTCCTGTTAATTAACGCCTTTATCCACTGTGCCATGTGTCCTTGAGGACATCTGGGTATGAATTTCTGGGTATTATAAATCTAATGTCTTCAGCAGCCATTTTACCAGTGCTCATATTGCAATTTTTGCTGTTATCATTGCATATTTTTACCAGAGCTCATATTGCAATTTTTGTTTTTACTATCACTTTTCTCTGGCACTCCTTATTACTGGTTCCCATATTGTATTCATTTCTATGCTTGGTCAGCTCAGGAGATTTTTGTGGCCTAGCATATGTGCTGATTCCTTATGTTGACGAATTTTCCAATGGTGTTCTTTATCTATGATCTCAACCTGATTCCACAGAGGGCAATGATCTCCCTTTTCTCTCCATATGTCATTAGCCACACCTGATTTTTCCACTTCCCCTTGTGTTACAGCTTTCTGATGTTCTTGAAGCCTTACCTTAAGGGGGCAGCTTGTCTCCTTTATATTTCTTTCCGCAGCTGCATGGGATATCTCTCCCAAGTAAGACCCCCCCCATAGAGGAGAACATGACTAAAGACTGTTCTCCTCTATGGGGGGGGGGGTTACTTGGGAGAGATATCTGCGAAGTGTCGTCCAGCTTTTGAAGGTTGTTATATGGACAGCAGATCCTTTGTATTTTCTCTGATAACCCCTTCACATAAGGCAGGCAGACTGTTTTCTTCTGAGTGTTGTTGTCCTCCTCTTGTACCCACCTATCCCACTTTTTTAGGGCTGCTTCCATGTACCCAGGGTAATTGTTACGTTGTAGGGTACTACTTATACTGACCAATTCTTTATCTAATAATGTCTCTGGGTCACCATTTATGACTTTTCCTCAGTGTTGTAAGCAGCGGACGATCCCTTGCTTTACACTGCATGGATGGTGGGAGTTGAAATTGAGGTATTGTCCAGTGAATATCAGTTTACGGTATATGAATGGGTGTGTGTTGTTACTGTCTTTCTCCATCATGAACTATATCAAAGTTCTTATTGAGTTTACATGGTCCAGTAGAACCTCAACATCTTCCTGGTGTGGTCAGAGTATGAAGGTGTCATCTACGTACCTTAACCATAGAGTTGGCTTTAGAGATATAGATTCTAATGCCATTTCCTCAAAGTATTCCATGCATATATTTGCCATTGCTGGTGATAATGGCGAGCTCGTTGCTAAGTCCTCATTCTGTCGATATGTGTTATCCCATTCCAAAGTGTGTTGTTTGTGTACAGAAAGTCAACATCTCCATCAGATTATCTGGTCTGTTCTTCTAGGGATGAGTCAGAGGCCGATCTGTCTCTGACTACTGAGAGTGACCTGTGACCTATTATTATAAAGGGAAAAAGATTTTTTTTTTTTTTTTGCAGTCAAGGAAGTTTAATGATCATGGAACATGGTTGAGGAATTCTTCCACATGCAAATTCGGATTGTTACTCCCTTCAATCCATACAACACTTCTTTGTGGTCAGCAGTCCAAGGACGATATCAAAACAATCATCAAACCAAAATTAGAATTGTTCTTTTATGATGAAATACAATATTTATCTGAAATGCTCTAAAGTCCTAAAACACAGTTCAAAAAGAAAAATAAGTCTTTAAAATGGGAATATGAGAATTTTTTTTCAAACTTTCCTAACAATAAATTTGATTAAGAGTGAAATTGACTGCAAAGACTGACCCAGATAGTAGAACCTATTAAGCATGGCTTAATAGAAGACTTAAAAATTTTTTTCTCTTTGTGCACTGGTGCTTAAAATCTTCTATTTTTCTTACACAGCTTTAATAATAACCTGTGCATTTATTCTGTTTAAAACTTATCATACTGTTATCAAAATTGCGCATAATTTTTTTCTCTCAACATTGGAAACAATCAAAGATTCTCTAACTTAATGGTTTAACTTTAATAAACCTTTTGTTTTATAATTTTTGACAAAGGAATCTATTTTTTGTGCCCATCTCTACCTTTTAACACTCATTTAAGATAACCGTACTTTAGAAATGGATACTTGCTGAAACTTTGAATAATTTTCTCCTTTCAGGGAAGAGAATCAATGATTTTATTTACCAATGCATTAGCTGTGGCAGTGTGGACAAAGTGAAGATCCCAACTGGCCTGTCTACTATTGAAACAGAACTGATTGCTCTTTGTAAATCTTTTGCCCACCTCATTGGACTTAATTTTGGTATCTACCATGAATATTACAAAGAAATTCTCACCATGCTGTTGGAAGGTAAAGATGATGATTCCATGTCATCCACAGCCAAGAAGCCAGAATCTCCTGACAGTCCCAATTCTGATGTTGGCTGGAATGTCAATGTTCCAGTTCATCAGTGAAAGTTTTTACTAAACATTTACATTGAGTTTAATTTAACTCCCTCGTACACCAAGTCAAAAATGAAAAAAAAAAAAAAAAAACAATTTCATTTTTCCTTTGTTATAAACCCAACATTTCACTTTGGTTCTGACTTTTTAGGATTTGCACTTCAAAGTGTCATGTTTTAAAAATCAACCATTTGTCCTGGCCATTTTTTAGTATCCCTATTTATTGTCCAATTAATGACCATTCTTAGTATTTTTGTTGTTGATTTTTATCTGTTGTTATCCTCCAAGGAGCAAAATTTATAAGTTTGAGGGTGAATGGGTTGAATTTGTTGCATTTTTATTGTTAGCTGTTTTGGTTTCCCATAATCTAAAGACATGCTTTTAAAATTTTGATATGCTGCAAAAGTTGCAGCAGTAAAACAAGATTTAACAAAACCATTTTTGTATTTGCTTGTTGGTGTGGGTGTTAGAGTAAAATTTAGAAAACTTAGAATTAATCTTCTATTTTCCTGGTTAGCAAATAAAGAAGCCCTTACATTTTTGTGTGGATGGAAAGTCAACTTTAGGATGGAAGTGATATGCAAAACAATTGCAATTACTTGTTTAATATTTTGTTATAGTTGAATATTCATGTCAGTTAGGGAGGAATTAGATTCACCTACTTGCAACTTATGATACTGCCAATTTGTTGTCACTTAAAAATGTTTAACTTGATTCCCTCATGGCCAATTGAGAAAATACCTCTTTAACCAAAATAATTGTTCTCATGAGTAAGCCCACAGTTTAAGAACTTTTAAAGTTGGAAAAGCGTTTTGGTAAACTATTACCTCATTTTTTCATAGAATGAAGATTCATCTTACAAAGAAAGACCAAAAGCATTTAATTCAGAGAGCAACCAGTTCTTTGTGCAAGAAAAAAAAATGCAAAATCATAAGCATTGTCCTTGATTTGTGAAATTTAATTTCCAATGTTTTCCTCCAATACACGCACAAAATCTCTTTGGTTTTGAAAAAAAAAAAAACAACAAAAAAACAACAAAAAAACCAGAGCTGACTTCAACTACCACCATACTTCATTCATTGAGATCCATTCAATCTGCTGACTCATAACAATTCTGTTGCAATGGTGGGTGAGAGATAACATGGTTTTTGATACAAGAATTGACTTCCTCATTAATGGTTTTAGTATTTTTATAGAAACATCTCCATTCTCTGAAAATCTCTTCATCTGTGTTGTCATTGTTCTTTCAAGAGATCCTATTTTCAGAGCTGAATTGTATTGATTTAACTTTTGTTGATCATGTTTAACATTCATTTCCTCTGACCTTTTCATAGGGAGGCATTTTTAATGAGGCAAGAACTGCCCAGCCATTTTGCCAATGAGGAAGGACAAATACCAAGTTCATTTTCTCTAAGAATCAGCCTGATTATAATAATCATTTTCTATTACCAAACCAAGTCTTTTTCCATCCAAACTGAACCATTCACAGAGCAATCAACACTGTAGTTATGGAACATGTGGTTCTAGGTAGGCAATTTCAGCTTTCTGCTTCAAGTTTAACTATGCAATTATGAGGTTGTTATAGGAGTTTTCTTTCTTGAAAATATTACCAACTGTGACAGCCAGTCATTTGTCAAAATAAAACATATTTCAAATGTTTTTATTTTGTTTTGTATAAACAATTGCTTGTTTAATATTTTGTTATAGTTGAATATTCATGTTGATTAGAGAGGAATTAGATTTGTCTACTTGCGCTCAAGTTAAAATTCTTGACATTTGTTTGAAAAAAAAAAAAATTCTCTCAAAGCATTTGATTTTTTTTTTTTTTTCATCCAGTTTTTTAAACAGCAAAGAAAGAAAAAGATGTAGCATTAGACATCTATTATATAGATTTTTGTTTTTAAAACTAAGAATGTGTGATAATGAAAATATTAGGTTGGCCATAAAGATTATTCATGTCATTAAGTAAAACAAAACAAATTTTATTTTTGATATTAACTTTATTGAACAACATCTTTAACATTATCTTCTGCCAACTTTAATAAACATGCTGGGAGAATGAAATTATCTTCATTCAGCAAAGAACTGCTCTAAGTACCTTTTGCAGTTTTTTAGGGAATTGAAATTAATTTTCATTCAAAGAACTCTGTACTGGATTTCCAGAATAAATGATAACTGAACAGAGTGAAAAAGTTCTTGTCAAAATTTACTTTAGGGTGTGATGTAATACTGTTTCTGCTACTTTCAAATGCTTTTCTTTTATTTTTGTCTTCAACTGAGTTAATTGAGTATTTTGCTTGCCCCAATCCCATGTAAAGTATCCAATTTTCATGCCCATCATAATTTATTTGTTCCATTTTGAAACATATTAAGTAGTAAATCACAGTGAAAGCCACGCATCAAAGTGACTAATATATCCAAGACGGTGCAAATGGTTTGAATATCTTGGCTATTCACCAATGCAGATATTATTCACAAGTAATTTCTTAATTTCCCTCGCTATTCAACCTTAAATAATCTCCAAAAATAACTTTCAAATACATCCGATCATTTATATTCTCCATAAAGTGCACAAATCATTTGTTTGATTTTTGAACTTTTTTAAAATAAAAAAAAGCATAATCCCTAAAGTACTGCTTACTTTCTTCCATCTTAGAATAAAAATCATTAGTTTAAAAATATGACAGTTGTCAGAATACAGTTAAAACTAAATGCTCTTAACACTAACAATAAAAACAAAATAAATTTGACCAACCTAATATTTCATATAAAAACAATAGTAATAGTAAAAGGATTAATTTGTGCATATATAATTTCTATTTCTTGAACATATACTTCCCATGCAGCATAAGGCCACACTACAATTTCTGTAGCAAGTAATTTTTACAGACTAAAGCTGCTAGCATTACCCAACTGATTCAAATTCAGAATTGTCCTTCTAGACTTGATGCCAACCAATCAGCCTTGCTATTTTAACCATAGGTGGTGAGTGAGAGAAGAGTTTATACCTTGGGAAAGGTATGAACTCAATAACTTTCTCCAATAGTTTTAAATGTAAAAAGCCTCAGATGGACATTTTTTACACACCAATAACCTTTAAGCTACCTCTGTCGGTGTCTGTGTGTTTGTGTGTGTATATATATATATATATATATATATAATTAAAAGTGAAGAAACTTATTTTATCAATAATGAAAAGATGATAGACAAGCCATAGAAATAATTCTTACCCTTACTATAAAAATTCTTCTTTATATGAAATAAGTTTTCTCTACTTAAAAGAATGTTTTGTTGCCTCAGATGTTTCAAGGGCAATCAGTTAATGTAGCTGTTTTAACTAATGGTTCAGTGGATTTTTCAGAATTTTAATTATTAAATGCTTTTCAACTGAAAAATAAATATACCAAACATTAGAAAGTAACCCATTTTTTTTCATTACCATAGAAACCAATCAGCTGTGAAATTATTTTAAAAATGTGAACAGATAAAAGGTGCACAATGAGACTTTCAATGATGTTAGACATGTTAAGTAAAATGGATTAAACCCATGAAGAACAGAAATATTCTGTCTCTAGTTCAGTTATAGCAGTAGGCTGCTAGTCAAGAGCTTAGAGATTTCATCAACACAAGTTCAAAATACAAGTAAGTCCTGCCTGAATACTTGTGAAAAAAAACAAAAACAAAATAAAATGGCAATACAAATGATACAAAGACAGACAAAGATTACACTAAGGAAAAACAATAGGAATAGCTCAAAACAGACACAGGAACATAATTAGCTAAAGAAAAATCAAATTTTATTCATTTTCCTTAATTACCTTGTCCAGAACAATCCTTGTGGGATGAAATCTTCAATCACTGATCTGTGATTGACACTTTATTGAAAGGCATGAACACCTTTTTCATTGAAGTGTGAAGAGATGATAAGATAATGTAAAAATGGATTAGAATTTTTATGGTTTTCTGTCATGATGACCCTAAAATTCATGTTACAATTAGACATTTAGTGAACTGCAATAACTTTTCTGTTTTTAAACAAAAATGAAAGCAGTTTTAAATTTAAAACTTTGGCAGAAAATTTATGAAGAGGATGACAACAATTCTTTCTTGTACTGGAGCTCAGCAAATCTCTTCTGTAGTTCCTTTTCTCGTTCTGTCTGTCGTTGTACATCTTCTGTGAGAGACTGAAAGGATAAAGAAAAAGAGATCAATGTTTAAAATGTGGTTTTGATTCTTAGAAATCTCCACAAGACAAATTGATTCAAATAAATGTAGAAATTTTTTTTTTTTCTTGACCATACGGAAAAGTCATTTACAAACTCAGTCACATCTAAATTCATCAGATTTCTCCTCTTAGATATTTCAAAAACAAGCATCAAATCAATTTCAATAATTATCACTAACATGGAGGTGGGTGACTATTGTTAATTTCAATGATTACAAGGGAAAAACTGGATTTATATGATTAAGACAGAACTAGCAAAATTCCATCATTAATAATAAAGGAATTGAACTTTGGAAGAATCAGATAAGTCTGCATGACTGAGGAAGTAAAAAATGAAACCAACTGGCACAGTTTCTGTGCTCATTTATAAATTTAATAAACATACCAGTTTAAAAGATTTTATCAAATAAGAAAGCAAAAAGATCTGTTTATATTCAATACACATTTTGGATTTTTATCTCAAAAACTGCTTAACACTATTTCTAAACCTCAAGTGTAATAGTGTAATTCACGTTTTCAGTCGAGGTTGTTTTTGCTGTTGCTATAGGACAACATATCCATGAAATTCAAATCCTATCATTGATATAATCAGTTGAATGGCAGGACAAGGTTTGTTTTTTTAAATCACTAAATCTGTATATATTATGTTAAAGCCTAACAGGATTGATTTTGTCACCTAACTTAGAATAATGCTTAACCAGTTAGCCTAACAGATCATTAGATACTAGAGTAAATTCAGTCCTCATTGGCGTCTGACTATTGTAGCCTCATACCAAGCTTAGTTAATAAATACTCAAATGGAGTTATTTTATATATGCAGACAAAAATTAACATTATCAGTTTCACACATCAATATGAATTTCCAACTTTGATTCCCATGTCCATATCTGTAAACATTCTATTAATGATATTGAGCAGCCATCCCCTCTAAATATAGCTAATTATATACGATAAAGAACAAATAGGAAGCATTTATCAATTTGTTTAACTTTTATTAAAGCTTTGTCAGAGATTGAGTAAAAACAGACAGGACTTTGGTATTTTCAATTTTGTTTAGATCAATTCTCATTGGTTGGTATCTATGGGTTTAATGCATGTGATACATAAGTGATCAATGAGAATCAATCCAAACAAAATTGAAAATACCAAAGTTCTGGCTGTTTTTTTTCTCAATCTCTGACAAAGCTTTAATAAAAGTGAAACATGTTAGATTTATAAAAATATCCTATGTTCTTTATCTTATCCTGATGGATTCCAATCCATATTTTATCTTTAACTCTAAATATATATATATATATATATATATATATATATATATGAGAGAGAGAGTAGCCTTTTATTTTTTAAATAATAAAAAAAAAAGTTATTTTGGGATAAAATTGATAATATGCCCTACTTATATTTCTTGAAAATTCATTCTTAATATTTGACTGATGCAATCACCAAGCAGATTTACATAAATACAAGAAATATATTAGTTGAATAGCGAATCCAGAATCAGGTAAGTGAATGATGTATCTGGTAAGTATCTTTTGGGTGTTCAAGAAGTAGATCTTGCCCTTGTGTAAACAAACTTAAAACACATCATGATAATTATTAAGAAAATAATTCTCCAAATGTAGAAGTTAACATACCTCAGATCTTTTTGGTATGGCTCCAATTTCATGTAATCGTAACTTCTCAAATGTCTTCAGTTCCATATAAGTTTGTTCGATCTGTTCAGAAATGTCATGCAACTGTTTGAATAAACCCTGTGATCGACCCTGAAATGATGAAGTTACATGGGAATGATGCAAATGTCTTGTTTGCAATCAAAAAAATAGTTCAAAATTTCTTAAGATCTGAAAGAAAGACAAACATCTTACTTGATATCCGCCCAACAGAATTTTCAATTTTTTCTCCAGCTTGGCAGCTTGCTTGGCATCTTTTGTCATGTGATTTCGGTTAATCTGAAAAGAAAACCAGGTAACAATGATATGAACATCTAAGTAATAATAATTTCATTATCAAGAAAGAAAATGTTTCCTTTGAGATTGGCAGATGGTAAAGGATCAATTACTTTTGGATGCATTTATTCAACAGCTTTTTAAAAAAAATAATGCTACTCCAAATTCAAAAGCAATTTTTTAAGAGAAACCAGATTAAAATTATTTCAGGCTAAAAAGTGTAGCAAATAGGATCTTATCTTTTCTATAAAAAAAGTTGCATTTTTTACTTAAATCTTTCAAGTGGTACTGAAGAAGAAAAAAAATAATCAGTAATTGAAATCTTGTCTTATTTCAGCTCAAAAATCAACTGGCACTAATGGGATATACTTAACTATTTTAGCCATAAGCCATTTTTTTAAAAAAAATATCTTCCAAGAATCAGTTATATTATGTTTACAAATTATATTAATTTGATAATTCTGTAAAAATCTAAGTTTGGCATTCATTTTAGTATGAAAATGAAGCAGACAATTTAGTACACCAATTTCATATTTTCTCTTATATCAAAATTTTTCATATGGCCAAATTGAAAAGAGAGAAAAAGAAAGATAGTTGTACTTTAATATTCATATTTAAGTTCAATTAAAGTTTTTGGCTAAAACAAACTAAAAGAAATTAAGTTTTCTCTCCAAAATTTGAAAGTTTTGATCACATTTACCAGCCTATAAGAAAGCTTTTGCAGTGATGAAAATGTTATCAAACATGCCTTTTTATGCTTATTGTTTACTACATCTCATAAGGGTTAACACCTTGAATTTCCTATCTATAATACCAGAATATAGAACAATGTAATATTTAAATATTTTTTTTGCTTAAAAATAAAAGTATATACAGAGATCAATAATAAAATGAGTTATTAAACAGATAAAAACAACAAATAGTCAAGTATAGTTACAATTAAATCTGAAAGTATTTATAAAGGCAAAAATTTAGTAAGTTTTTTTTACTATTCTTTGACATCTATGAAGAGATTTTGAATATTAATTTGAAAATAATTTATTGGAATTACAGTCTATATGAAGGGGCGCTGAAAAATTATTGGCCCAACTCATTAAATCTAAACCTATGACTAAACATTTTTTTTAGGACTTCTTGATTGGATCAAGAACTTTCAGCACTCCTTTCTATATAGATATATTCATTATTAAAAAAGTGATATGAATATACAATAGGGTTGGTCATACAGTAAATACCTTATCCACACACATTTTTCCTATCACCAAAATGCAACATTATGTAGAATATAAGCTCTCTCCCAAAAAGATGATTTATTTATAAACGATAGAGGACGGGGAAAACCAAATAATTATGAATTTAACAAAACTGAGGTGTTGGGGTGGAATAGCATGAGTGCTTCCTTTCTCTGCTTATCTCAGAGAAAAAGCCCTACTATTTTTTGGAGGGGACTGAGTACTCTGGGCTTTTTTTTTTGTATTTCTGCTCATTCTCTAAAAAGAGAATAAAGAAAACAATGAAAAAAATTTTTACTATATAATCTTCACTGCATATGTTTAAATCACTACTGAATGAATTAAGTGCATTGACAAGTAAAGACATTATGTTGTGCAAAAAAAAAAAAAAATCCCTTTTCATCATTAGGTGTACAGACTTATTGCTGTACCTGTGTCTGCTAGAAAAGCTACTTTTACACAAGTCATGCTCACCACTTTCAACTCCTAATTTTTAAATCCTTGGGTTACAATATATATATATATAGTTGCTTTTGTGTACTTTGGAAAGGAGATAGAAGCAAGCAGGTGTGATGTTTGTGGGTGTAAGTGCTGTGCAGGTTTCCTTGTTGGTTAGATTGTTGCGAAGCATGTTTAGTGAGCTAGTTAATTCTTTTTAGTATTCGGAAAAAGGGTCTTTAGGTGAGATTTTGTAGGTTTCTTTGCTGGCTAGCTGATTATTAGCCTCTTTAATGTATTCTTTGATTCCCCAGATCACTGTGGCACCCACTTTGTCAGCCTGTTATGATTAGGCCATCTCTATGTGTCAAGGGCTATATGTTCCCCTTTAGTAATATTGTTGCATGGCAGCTTATGTGTCATTGTTTTCTTTATGTCATTTTTTACAATTTCTTTCAAATGTCTATAGTAATGTCTGTGTTTTGTGGGGTGAATGTAGAGTCCTTCTCTTTTAATGTATCAAGTATGGAAGGCGTGTGATCATTGTCCCCATAGTGGGCTTTTAGCCGTATTCTTCTGAAGAAGGATTTCATGTCCTTTGCCAAGGCGTCTTTATCAAACTTTGGAAGACTAGGGCAAAAGCTTAGTCCTTTATTTAATAACCTGAATGTATTGAGTGGAAATTTATTGTTACTTAAATTTATAACTTGTCCGTATGGGTCATGTTTGTATTTGCAAGCATGGTAAAGTTCTTTTGTAAAAGCTTGAAAGGATACATCATGTCTCATATTAGGGATGCTATACCCTCATCCAAGTGTCCTGGCTGGGGGCTTATCCCGTATTTTTGAAGGTTGAGTGTGTTCGTTATTGATTGTCTACAAGCAGCTAATCTGGGATGTCTAATGGGGTTATGCGTTCTGTAGAAGGGCTGCTGTGTTTTGGTTTGTGTATGTTTGTACAGCACCCTAAGGATGTCTGCGCAAGTTAGTGGTTTGTTTTGTGTGTGTGTTCATTTTGAGGTTCTAGCTATCGTTGATGGTGGCAGTATCATTATTGTTGGTTGTGGTGCTGGTGGTTGTCTGTTGGTGTATTTATTTGGTCTGTTTTGTGTTTGCATTGGTTGTGTGGTGGTTGGTGTGGTTGCAGTGTGTTGTTTTCTTTTATGGTATGGTCGTTGACTTTTTCTAAGTTTGTTTTGATTTCTCTTTTGTTCTTCTGTCTGGACGAAATATTCCATTTTAGTTTACTTTGTTTTTCAGTTTTTGTTTTTCATAGTTCCCTCACTGTTTGGTCTGTGTGAGCTTTTATAACTTTCTTTATGTTAGTATATTCCTCAGTGTCTCTTTTTCTTTATTTGCTCATCAAACAGGTTGATTTCCGCTGTTGTTGCCGTTATGGTTTCCTGGAAGAACTATGGTATCCTGCATGAGTTCCCTAGAGAAGTCTTGTATTTTACGGTACCATGATGCTAGAAATGCATCATTAAGGTTATCTATTGATGGTTCCAAATCAATCCTGAAATTGGTCGGTATTAGTTGATCCCTTAGGCATATCCGTATATATTCCTGGTGTGATTCATACCCATCTAATTTGTTGGTTGTTCTATTCATATAGAGAGCCAATAATTTGGTGTTTATCAGTTCTGTTGGTGTTATGTCCTTGGCTTTTGGTATACCTATTATATTTAATGCAATGGCTCAGACCTTAATGAAATAATCTTAAAACACATTGCATAAAAAAATTTAAGTCAAAGATGTAAACCCATTTTTTTCTCCAAAGCTATTGAGTGCTGAGTTAGCAATACTTTTCACTTTCAACTATAGATCATCTGATCCCTGATGGTTTTCAATTATATAAAAATAATAATCTGATAATTAGCAAATCTTTCATGTCTAACCTATCATTCTTATTTGGAAGTTAGAAATTAAATTATAGCTTCCATTTCCTCCACTCTTTGATGCCAAGACAACATTCTCCTCATTTTATGATCTACATTGCCAATTGAACCTTTTTGTTTTTCCAATAAAAGAAAAAACTATGAGGACTGTTTTCTCATTTTCCTTCTCTACAGACACTAAGTATTACAAATTACATAATTTACAATAGATATTTTTTTTAAATAAAATCCAGCAGATTTCATGGAAACCAACCATTTTATTTATTACTGTTAAAAAATGGTTAGAATGAATTCAAAAAATTAAGATTTTGCAGTCACCAGTTAAAAACTGACAGGCAAATCAAAGGAACTGAATTTGTTTCAATCACAAAGGAAATATTTTAATACATCTGAAGCTTGAAACCAGAAAATAAACATTACCTCTAATCGCTTGTCCAGGGATTCAATCCTATCTTTTTTGCTTGCTAAATTGGCTCGTGTGTACCTGTTCTGTGAAGGCAGGAACAATACTTGTGAGTAACACTCTTCCCACACCTGGCTGAAAGCTTCCAGAGACAAGTCTCCATGATTCATACCACCTTTCACAACTTCCATTTCTCCTTGCAAAAGCTTCTTGGCCTACAAGAGAAAAGCAAAACAACAATGGTAAAAATCACTACCACATGTGATTTTTGTCTTTTTGCAGAAATAATTAAGATTTTTTCCCCTTCTAGTTGTAGTATCTAATAAAGTGATTGAATTAGATCCATTTAAAAAGTTCTTAAACCTTGGTTTATTTTACTGTTTAAAATAAACACCTTAAAAACAAGCCAAATGTTTTTAAGTTTAAAAAAAGTGGAAGAAAATATAATTTCCTTATTTGAATGATATGTGAGTTCCATGACTTTTTATTGAACAACTAAACTTAAGATTTACCTTCTCAATCCCAGGTGGGTGTTTTTTTTTTTGTTTTTGTTTTTTTTTTTTTACTTACAGTAGTCAATTCCTCTTCTTCATAATGAATATAGGGATGACTCTCCAAATATGCAAGATGCTGTGCTTGGTTGAGGACACCTTTCTGACTGGGCTGAGACTTTTTGCTACCAGGTGGAATTCCCATTTGAGCAGGTGTGGGATTATGGACACTATCATAATGCAACATAATCAGCATCTCTTTCTTGATTAGTTCTTCAGCCTGCCAAAAAACAACAGATCAATATAAATTCTAAGAACAAAAAAAAACACTGGAATACTATATATATTCTTTAACCTAGACATTTGTTCAACTTAGGATGTAAACTGAAATTATTCTGTATTTATAAGAATTGCATAAAAATATTCTTTTAGCTTTTGGGTATAATTGTATAAATAAAATACAATTATAATATTGGCACTTTTGAACGATGCATTCATTTTTTTGAGAAAGTTGATTTTTCAGCATTATAAATTTTTCCTTATCATAATCTTCACTTTCTACCATCATCTTTGCTATTCACATCACACACCTCATTCAGAATTACCACTGACTATGACTCTCTAGCTTAAGTGGCTCTCAACTCTTGTACTGATTGAAATTTTAATATATATTAAATAAAAAAACTCTGGTGGAGGGGTGCATGTTATTAATACTGAGGAGCATTGCATGCCAAGATATTGCTGTATGTAAAGTTGGTATGGGTCAAAAAGACACAGAGGCTAACCCAAAAATGCTACAAAGATTCCGTCAAATCAGCCTTCAGTCATGTAAAATAAAATAAATGAACTGAAGAATTATGCAGATGATCCATGGTCCATCAAAATTTTTGAATCCGTCCAGCATTAAAGACTCATCACAGAGCAATATGTGCAGTAATTACGACAACCAACTAGCAGCACAGCCAGAGTTCAGCTGAAGAGCTACAGGAGCATTTAAAGAGATACATGTATTTTGGGTGAATAGGAAAAATATTTGTTTACAATGAATATGATTCCAGTTGTTTAATCAATCAATCACATCTTCTACAGCCCAAATCATTTGGATTAAACATTCTATCGTTAAATTCTAAAATTAAAAAGAAAATTTTGAAAGATTTATATAAAAAATTTTAAATCCAAAACATGTCAATGAAAAAATTTTTATTAAATTGTTTATCTTCTCAAACAATGAATGTAATTTTCCTAGTTTTAAAACCTCCAATGGTGCATAAATTTGGATATTCTAAAAATTAAAATAATTTCAGGTTTTTTTTTTTAAATGATCACTTGAAACTAATAAAGAGATCTGAAAATCTCTCAGAGACCTACAGTTGTTGGTGACTCACCCTTTGCAGATCTGTGAGCGGGGGGTCAGATGATCCCACCATTCTCATGATGTTTGTATTGATGTCTGTTGGGCGTGGCATGTTCCTTTGCACAACCTGAGAACTCATGCGTAATTCCTTCTCTCCTGCAGAGGACAAAAGACAAATAGATAAGTTCAACAATCAAATCCACACAAAATAGTTTAAATACCAACCTACTATAACACACTTCAAACTCAAAGAATGACTGATACAATCATTTTTTGGCTCTTGAATAGAAAAAAGAAGTTTCATTTTTGATAGTATGGAGCACAGAAAAAAAGTATAAACTTTTTTGCATGTGTAACAATTTTATATTACAAATTTTCATCATGCTTCTTCTAATCACTTAAAAACTAAAATACTTGATCAAAAAAATGAAAAGTGCATTTTTATTCTCTACTTTCATGAACATGGGTTTCAAAGAAGTTACTTTTGTTACTTAAAAATCTGGGTAGAGGTTCAAGGTTAACCATATAATTCCAATTAAATAATGTATCTATAGAAAAGGGAATTTAAAAAAAGTTACAGCAATTTTTGAAACAGTATTAATTGCAAGATGTGTATGTATGACAGACATATTGTGCACATTTAAGGAAAACAAAATCACACAATATATATAAACACTTTTAATGTATAGGTTTGCTTCTATTAAATTTTTTACAAAATGTAAATTTATTTGCAATTAAAGATAATACAATCTAAAAATAATAAACCAATAATGATAATTATAATTGAAAGGTGAGATTAAATATTTTACTTATTACACATTAGTCTCGATAAATTTTCATTTTTTTCTTGTTTTTATCAATGTTTTAGCCAATCTATTCAATCTTCAGATGTTGAATTAAACTACAAGAATCATAACAGTCTAATTTACCTGCCTCCCAGAAAAATAGATCAACTAAAACAATGTGTTTACACTATTTATATGTGTCACATGGCCCAGTGTATAAGAGTTGGTGACTTGACCCAGAGATGGGAGTTCTGGCCACAGCAGAAGTGAACGAAAACTTGGAGAGTTGAGTTATTAAAGGGAAATAACTGAAAAAAAGGTATGGCACATGGAACTAGAACAATCTAACCCAGTGGACTAAATAATGAGTTTGGTTCAAAATTCCAATGTATATCACCTGAAGAAGGCCAAAGTGTACAACGGCAGAAACGTGGATATGACAATAAAGATGAGGACAACAGTCCAAATATTGTAAATAGTTACAATACCCCATCTCAGAAATATAGACAGATTCAACAAAAACTAGTTAAAACTAAGAATAAAATATTTGTAACAACAAAAATATTTAATCTGAGAATCTTGAAACAAGCTCGTAACAGTTCAAGAATAGATTGGCTACAAATGTTGCTATGAGAAACAATTTAAAAAAAGAATAAATGTGAATAAAAATGAATATTTTTCTTTTTAAAAGAAGATGCTTGAATAATTAATCTTCACCTGCTTATATTTGGGCATTGGGAAGATTGTCACAAAATGTCAAATACTAACTTAAAGCAATCTGTTCTTGTATAGCTCTAGCATCCACATCAGCTTGGTCCTCCACATAATTATCTTTCTGGTCAGTCACCTCCTCTAATTCCATAGCTTCATTTTCTGGCACAACAATTTCATAATCATTTTTGGGAGTTGGTAAAGCAGCCAATCCTCTTTTGAGTTGGTCTTTCAAGTCTCTCTGTGGAGAAAAATGTAAAAAGCACGATGGAAGAGATGACATTTATTCCACAAGTTGTTATTCAGACTATTATTCTCACTCTGGTTGATTTTATCATTACTACTCAGCCAAGTCTCTTTACTTTACAATCATTGACAACTATGTCAATGTAGTAAAAAAAAAAAAAAAAATGATATTCTATTCAACCTTTTTTGGTTTCATCTTCACACCATGAAACCGCATCAAATTTTTTTACAAAACCGAAATTGTTTGGTTTTTTAAGTGACCATATTCAAAGAAACAATATTGAAAAGACTTTCAGATGTTAATGAAATTACATTTTATCAACATTTATACCATTGTAAGAGAAAAAGATTGAACAAAAATATGTTAAAAAACATTTAATTGACTAGTTTTATGAAATAAATGTGAAATCTATTTGTTTACAAAAGAAATGAAGAAGAAAGGAAATACAACAGATATGACACTTGAAAATCATCTTTTCAAACAGAAAAAAAGGAAATATGAAAATCTATTTCAGTTTAAAAAAAAAAAACTTTTTGCAGTAAAATTAAGTTAACAACAAAATAATAAGTAAAAATAAAAAATTAGTTGCTAGTTTTATCTTAAATTTTATGAAGTCAGATTTTTTGTAATTGTTTTCTAGTAAGCCAATATGGCAATCACGAAATAAGTTGTTGTAAACAAGAAAAATGAATGAAGATCTTTTTTTAATAAATTTGTTTTTTATCTAGGGAATGCGCCTAAATTAGATATTAAGAATAATAAAAATAGTTCTTAATTTCACTTTTAAACTGTGTTTATTTCCAGATATGCAAGTCTCTAGTGTAAAATTGTTTGTTTTCTACAAATAAAATTGTTTTTACCTAGTGAATACACCTAAAATTAGATATTAAAAAAATAAAGTTTTAATCTCAGTTTTAAAATGTATATATTTTCAAAATTTCAAGTCATTTTGTTTTAAACCCAAAGTAAAAATTATTCTTTTTTAGCTACTAGTGTTCAGTGGGTCTTACAAATATCTATGGTTTTATCTAGTGAATACACTTAAGGTTATATATTAAAATGATTATAAAATAGTTTTCAATTTCAGTTTGTGTAAAGAACAAGTGATATTCCCAGATTTGAAAATATACACATAAAAATGAAATTAAAAGCTTTTAATTATTTTTAATATTCAATTTTAGGTGTAGTATTCGCTAGATAAAAACAAATTTATTTAGAGGGAAAAATAATTCATTGATTTTCCTTGTTTAGAAGAAATTTATTTGTAAAACTCCAATAACAGTTGACTGGCATATCAGAAAAGAATTTCCATATTTTTAATAATTTTAAACATGAGGGGTTTCATTTTTGGCTTTTTAAAAGCCACATCATAAACTAATTTCTGGAGAGCTATACCATTTTATTTTCTCTCTCAGAAATGTGTCCAAAGACACAAATATAGATATTTTATGTGATGATTTCTTTTGTATTTTACCAATTTGTTAATAAATATGGTAGTTATTTATAATTAACAATTTATTCGAAAGTTTAATAAACTTTAACCCAAGTCATGAATTCTATCACTAAATTACCTTTAAAGCCTAAAAACTGACTTTAGGTGAACAATTCCTACTTTATTACCCACCCTGATTCTCAGTTTTCAGGTTTTCAATTCCAGTGGTCTTTAACGCATGTCTATAAAATTTTTATTACACTTTAAAACCAAATATTGCCGGTACCCCTTATACACCAGTTAACAGACTTCCACAATGATGGACGTTTCAAAAAAACAACACTCAAAAGTTGAAAAGTATATGGGGTGTTTATTTTACGTGACAAGACAGTAGTTTCAATAATAATAATTACTATCAGTTAATCTTTTTTTTGCTGCTTACTTTATAATTTTTGAAGGAATTTGCTTTCATGAGTCAGGGAAGAAATAAACATCTTCCTGGTTGTAGCTTAAGGTGTCTTCTAAATTAGAAGATTGTGTGTGCAATTTCAAGAATATTGATAAAGATTGGTCACATTGATTTTGCAAAACAAAGTAACGTGTTAAATTTAGTCTCAAAAAAAAAAAAAAAAAAAAAAAACATATTTTTTCACATGTTCGAAGCAAAATATTGTTTTAACTCATTGTAAAAATATAATTTAATGAATAAAAGCACATACAAATTAGATATTAAATATTTAGAATTTTTCTTTCCAGCCATATGAATATTTTTAAGACTGGACCAGAAATACACAAGAGTTTGCGAGTTGCAAATTTATCAATGTCAAATGAAATCAGTTATCGACTAGAAATGCTATCATTGCACAAGAAAATGAATGGCTTTCTTAGAAAGCAAAAATACTAACCAAAAAACCAATCAAAAACCGTGGCGCAGTATCAGGGGGAAAAAAAAAAAAAAAAAAAAATTGGAAACTGATACTGAAACAGACTACTCTAATAAATTCTATCATCACAGAGCTTAGAAAAGATAACACAATGCATAACAATAACATAGTAGGGAATGCCTCAAATTAAGTGCATTACCATGAAAAAAGAAAAAAATATGAAGGGCCAAAGTTTGCCTCAAACTTTTTATCAGTCTTACAGATTAGGCTACAAATGTTAACCAGGAGTCATTCAAAATTGAACATATAGCTCTATTCTTTCCATCTGAAAATGTTATCTGCTACCATCTTGTCTGTTTATATTTTTGTACACTAGTAGGATTAGATGTAATAATATTCACATTCCTAAGATGAAACATTATCAATTATCATTAAAAAAATTCAAATGCTATTACATCTAATACTACCAGTGTACGGCTGACTACTCATATCCAAATATGCCTGTCTTCTAGGTTTGCTAACTAATCCCTGTTGCAGATGCTTGCTCATGCACATTTATGTTTCTTCAACACCCACAAAGTTAAACTGTGGTTTATACTGCAAAACTATGCTGAGTGGAGCAGAGTTCACAAAAGCTGGTGTGACCAACAGCTTGAACAAAGCCAGTACACTCAGTCATGATAACTTTATACTAGTACAAACAACCATCAATGGCTCCCAAACAGGTCTGTCTACGTAATTTCACTTACAAGACTTTGGACAACCCATAGTTTACTTCAGGTACTTTCCAATGTTTCTGCAAACTGAGATTGTTTCTCTAGGCTGATATTATCAAGAAGTCATTTCCTTGATTAATTGCCTATGGTGAGATTTGAACTGGGAGTCCCATGGTCAGAATGCTAACATTCTAGCCATTTTGTCGCATACCCACATCACCAGTGTTCAAAAATGTAAACAAACAATGTGGTAGCATGTGATGTTCATAGCAGTATAGAATATAGATGTATAGTTTTACTAGTTGGCTTTTATAGCCTAATTGGTAAAGCACTGTTATGAATAGATAGGCTTTTAAGTATAAGGAATGCAAGTTCAAATCTCACTATAGGCTTATTCTTAATTTCCAGTGTGTGCTGTTTATTTTACACTTATAGAATAACAATCTGAATTAGCAGAAGAAAAAAAAAGATAGAAATAAGATTTTAAAAAATTGATTAAAAATTGAATAACATTACATGTCTCTTCTCATTTCACTAAAAAGAACCATTGCTATTCTAACAGCTTTACATAAACAAGTCATGAAAAGATCCATACTAACTTAATACAGATTTTGGAAACTTAAAATTCTTACCTGGGCCTGTTTCCCATATTCCACCGATTCAAAATAATCAGCTGGATTAATATTTAATTTATCTCTGACAGGTGTTCTCAAGGGGGTCGTGCCTGGTGTTTGTCGTGGAGTCATGACACCCGATTTGGGACTAAGTCCTGCAAAAATAAATACATAGAAAAATATAATCAAAGAAAACAAATAGACATTTCTGCAAAGAAATATTTCCAGTTAAGAAACTAAAATTATGATACATAAGATCTTGAGCCTTTGTTTAAGTGGTGTCCAATTTCTGCATATAAAAGTTGAATTCAGTCTTCAACATTGTGTTTTAAAAGCTTCAGACAGCAGGCAACAAACTGAAGTGGTATTAAAGCTATTCCCATTAATACAGAACTCAATTTCTGTCTGAATTTCTGGGATGAGGAATTATCATTATTTTATTTACATTCAAAACTAATGTCCTCATTTTTGTTGTTATCACAATGTTTTGGCTATTGTGCTTTCCAGCCTTCTTTAGATGACTATTAATCTGGGTAGGAATTTCAGACTGAACCCTTTATTCAATCTACTGTGGGGTATTGTTCTCATTCCCCTTTCCTACTACACAGTACTACTTTTTAGAACTGCTCAGTTATTGCTCAACCTGTTTCCAAGTCTAATACCTGGCCCATGGATTGAACTCACAATTACTATGCTTCCAAATTCACAAATGAGCCTTGATGCTCTTATTGTCTGCAAGTCCAAACTTTTTGTTCTTTCTGTTTCTATTGTACCAATGTCTTGTATCTTCCCCCAAACTGTATCATAAACTACACCATCTATGACACACTTTGCAAATGGTATTGGTATATATGCTTAATGAAATTTGAATTTAAAAAAAATAGACAGAAATAATTTATTTAGTGAATAAATAAATACAAAATGTAACAACATTCCATGGGGTATTTAAAACAGAAGAGGAGTAATTAGGAGTAACATGAAAACAAGATACATTTCGGATCCATGATCAACCCAATCAAGAGAGAAAGAGTCAAGAGAGAAAGTTCGAGCTCCATTTTTATCAGCAGAAAACCATTATAAAGTTTCTTCAGAATACTTCATTTCCTATAAACTCTTAAGTAAGAGGTTCAGTTCCATCGGCATTTCACACATTAAATGAAAATCTTGGTTTCCTAACAATCCTATCAACGGAGCCTTTATAATTGTTAAATTTTTAAAATCTTTTCTCATTACATGTCTGAATTGCAGCTCAACATATCCAATCATTGTTCTATTTATACGATTAACATAGACTAGCACATCATCAAATAGAGGTAAACAAGCAAGTAAGAAGTTGGTGTTGCACCAAATTTACAACTAGAAAAAGTTACCAACTTTGAAAATTACTACTCTAAATCTTGAACTTGGTTCACATACAGACTTTACAAATTTTTATGGGAAATATACAATTGCTTTAGTCACAAAGCAAGCCCCAGGTCAAATATATAAATAATCATTAGTTTTATTTGTTTTTTTTTTGTCTTAATATAAACATGATTCTGAAGACTTGAAATACATCATGTGGCATAGAATTTTTCTCTAATCTTTTAGCCACTGACAATTTTATTTCAAATCATGAAGCAACTGTCTTGGGTTGTTTAACCAATATTAGCTCTCTTGTTTGACTTAATGTAACAAGATAAACAATAAGATATATTTTGCAGAAATAGGGGTCACAACTGAATTAGTGTTTTTCTTTTTTTTTCTTACAAGCAACAGTCATTGAAAGAATATAGAAATCAATAGACTATGATTTTATTTTTATTAGATAAAGTGTGTGTGTGTTACTTCAAATGTCATTAGAGTGGATACTAATATTTGAAATAGATCCTCCATTTTTATTTTAACAGTGTGTATTATGTTTGTTGGCTTGCATATTTGAGAAAAATTAATAAACAAAATGTGCTCTCCAGCAAGAATTGAACTTGTTTCCCTCTTTGTAAGAAAAACTACTATTTGATCCAGTGTGCTTTACCACTCAGCTACAGAGAGCATCACAGTTCAACAAAGCTTTTTCCCCACTTTTAAGGAAAGCACATTTTTTCATTAAGATAGTCTTTTCAAAAGCTTTTTCTAAAGAATTGATGGATTTATTTTTAAGGTGTTTTCTTAATTTTTCATTATATACATACATATATATATATATATATATATATATATATATATATATATATATATGTGTGTGTGTGTGTGTGTATGTATGTGTACACAACATAAACACATCAATAATTTTGTAGGATAATGTTGAAAAGCATGTATTTTACAAATAAATATTTTTTCAACATGATCTCCTTTTATGACAATGCACTTAATTCAATGGTGAGTATCCTATTGGAAATTTCAGATCAGATTTAAGCTAATAGCTTCCTGTTAGGTTATAGACTTGCACTCTCTTATACACAATACAGCAACATATCACACCTGTTTGAGGGCTCCTATAGCCCTTCTAAATTTAAATAGAGTCAATTCAGGTTTGCTATGGTAAAAATTTTCTATCCCAAGTAAAAATCATCACAAAAATCATTTTGTCACAGCTTATTTTCTCTGAAAAAATGGATTTTCATACTTTTATAAGGGTAAAATATTGAAAAATGACTGTTTTATCATCATCCGAACAAATATCAAAGAAACTTTTGATCTAAACCCCATGAAACTAGGTATTTTCTGAAAGCAAACAATATGTTCTTTCATTTAAAAGTAAAATTGGTTGGTAAATGATTCAAAGATTTTTTTTTCAGGGGGTAAAATGTGAAAAAATAGTGAAAATTTTGAATTTTTTCTAGTTCTAAACAAAAATTTTCCCCAATAATGGGAAATTAATCATTTTTTTCTTTTTTTGAAAATCAGAAAGCCTAAATCATAATCAAACTATTTCAGGCATAAAATTGAGAGTTTGAAGGAAAACAACATTCCTAGGGGGTCAAAATGCGACAAAATCCGTTGGTAGTTTTCAATTATATAACCGCTAGGGGTTAAAAAAATTGACACTTGGCCATGGAAATCATTTGTAAAAGGCGAAAGATTTATCCTCAATTCCTGACCACCAGAAACCAAGAGTTATTCAAAAGAAAAAAAAACTAGTAGCAATAAGGAAAATTAAACCAAATTGGTCAGAGGCCAGCCAGCCAACTAGTGATAAACGTTAGAACAAGCTGTCATTGTCAACTTGTAAATCCTACCAATGACAAGATAAGAACAAAGAGTAAAAAAAAAAAAAAAAGAGATTAAATATTGGTAAAAATGATGTGTTTTGTTTTGTTTTTTAACACCTTGTGACCCGGGTGATGACAACAACACTTAGCAGACAACATTGTTTTTTCACCACATGTCTTTTGTATTTCCCATCATTGGGTCATGTAGCAGTTTTATTCAATGATGTTTACACCGACTAAAAGAGAAATGATTGAATTCTGAAAAAAATTATTTTGAAATAAAAAGATATTTTTTCAAAAAAAAAAAAAAAAAAAAAAAAAAAAAAAAGTGATTTTTCTCAGAAAATTGACTATAATTTTTTAATGCTAACCCCCAAGTGACATTTTTCACAGCCAAATCGAAGATTAATTATCAGTGAATAATTCCATGTGCAAACAATAACAGTCTGGATCTTATAACATTGCCCCAAAACATCTAGAAGTTAACTGATTGATTGAAAACTTGTTGCACATAATTGTGTTATCCACGGTCAGTTTCCATTATTTCATCTTGATGTTTTCGGACAGTCAAGTCATCAAGGATTCAGGAAAACAGTTTGGCACAGATTTGCTTTGAGAACTTTACATTCAATGAGGGGTTTAAAATGTTACTGATGAATGGAATTTTTTCACCGAATATTTCATTTAAGTGCCATCTTGGATTTTCCTATAGGACATAAACAAGCGTTTTAAACAGCTGTGATACATCATGCCTACAGTCAAGAAAGTGATATTCATATAAAACGTTTCCACACCTCAATAGAACCATATACAGATAAACTGTGTTTTTCATAATCCTCCCCATCCCAAATTATCTCATCTTCTGACATCACACACCTACTTCATACCAAATTCAAAATTCATTATTAAAACACACACAATAGTGTAAACATTAGACTGACTATAGTTGCCAATGAAAAGCCACAGCATAAACATTATTTTTCATGGTAGATATGACAAAAAGGTAACTGAAAATTATATCTGTAGGAAAATGTAATAGAAAACCATTACCTGAAGGGTCATTATGTCCAGGTGTTTGGTATGGAGTTGTAATAAGAGTGTTTGGAGTGTGAGGGGTCACATGTTTTGGTGTAACTCCACTGAAATCACTATCATGGAGTGGAGTATTCAAGCCTCCCTTTAAAGGAGTATCAACATTTGTTAGGGCCATGATGTTCTGTGCTTCCTATACATGAAAAAATAAAAAAAAACAAATAGAAAAATCATCTCTTAATATTAAAACATTAAAAGCCTTGCTTTTGATGAAGAAAAGTAAACAAGTCAACAAATTAATATATTTTTTAGTCATAGGCTCAAAGCAGACAAAAAAATTATTCACAGGTCAATGAATCCAAAGAATAGTCTTTGAATTAGAGTATTGGACTGGAGATCTGATGTTTAATTATTATCTATAAGTTTGGTTTGTTTAATGGCATATGAATACCTTATGGGTCATTTAATGCTGAAATTTAATTTTTTTTTTTTACTATTAAAATCTCTTAAAAATTTCTTTTTTAACTTTTTTTTTGTACTATTAAAATCTATTGCTGGAATTTTAAAAAAAAAATCTATTGCTGGTATTTTAGTATAAAAATGTGTTTTTATACTTTCATAGTGTTTTGACCCCAGTTTAGGGGTTCACTATTTCTCCAGAGCTGGGACCCTGATAGGCACACTGAATCAGGTTGGACCTGGGAACAAATGCAATTAAGAGGTGGTTCCACGCTCATCAATACTCCACCCCTGATCAGAGGCCTTGCTGCCAGATGTAGTTTATCATCATACCCAGGATGAATTATTTATAAGTGATCAATTATTTTTTTGAAAGTGAAAGAAAAATAATGTTACTTGAAAAAACTTGTAGAAGAAGACCCTGAAGAATCTTTCACAACAAAAGAATACCTGACATTTATGCTTTTCTATTAAAAGAAATGATGACTAAAAGAAATGATCAAATAACCTGTAAGACAGTGTCCTCTGAGGCTGGAGTGCGTGGGGTCCGTAGATTAACTGAGTGGGGGGTCACATTGTAATCTTGCAAAAGAGCTTGTGAAGCTCCATCTTTGATGCCACCATCTTCTGCCTGCTGTCGAGCATATTCACTTGCTTGACCAATTTTCACAACCTACAAACCAGTTGAAAGAAATTCACAATTATTAAGTACAAACAAATGAAACCAATTTATAAATTATGACTTGAAGATTAGCAACAGTAATATAATAAAAGAAATTAATTAAAAAGCAACATTGTATCTTATAAGTTTGTTCTAGCTCAGATAAATATAACCTTAAAGAGGAAACACTTTTTTGAATTCAGTTAACAGCAAAAATTGATCATTTCTGTTTTGGTTCTTTTGTCAGTCTTCAATCTTTTCATTGATGGAAGATGAGTAGAGAAAAACAATTATTCTTCCCATAATTATTGCCCAAGCAATTACATCAGTAATACAGAGTGGTGGACAGTAAATGATAAAATTTGTTTGAGTTTATATATACAATTATATTTACTAATACAATTATCTGAAAAAAAAAAAAAAAAAAAAAAAAAAATAGATAAATTTAGTTATAAAATTTAAAATAATATACCACAAATACCATAGTTATAATGAACACCGTTGTAATGATATAACCGATACACTGACTTATTCCACCTACTTTTAGTTCACTCTGTATGTACATATGCTTCTGTCAAAACTGATAATAGAAATAGCTTCTATTATAAGTTTTGACAGAAGCATATATTTATTATTTTGTCTGAAAAATCAGAGTCAACTTACATCTTCTAATTCAGCATCAGATATTTGAGGAGATGGCAATACTAGTTTACTTCGTTTCTTTATGGGTTCTGTAAAACTGAAAGATAAAAAGAAAAATAAATAAAAACCATTCCTTCTGTAGAAAATGGTTTCTTCGATATCTATTACAACATTCTTTTCATCATTTCTTAAAACATTCACATCTATTATTTTTATTAATTAGATTCATTTTTATATAGTTTAAAAGCTTAATGACTGCTTCTACTGTGCTTTTCTAAAATATCATGTTTAATATACAGAGAAAAAAATTAATTTGGCAGCTGAAAACTTTCTAGACATGGAATCTACACAAAGATATTTTGGATAGATTAAAAGATAAGAAACTATATTTCATCTTCACTGTTCTTTTGTCAATGTAATAGAACCTGCAGAGAGGATAAAATAAATCCTTTGATCAATAGAGATAATGGAGCTGTGACAAAGAAGAAAAAAAAAATCAAATTTATATTAAAAATATATATATATATATATATATATATATATATATATACACACACACACACAGAATTAATGAAAAAGTTTTTTCACTTAACTCATGTTTACTTTAAAGTTTCATAGTTACATGGCTGCAACCACTCTTCCAAACAGAGTCACACTGTTAATATTTCTCAATTTCTTTCTACTTTTATTTTGGTATGAGTGTGTTACTTTCCTTTTCACTTGATGGGTGTTGATTGACAGCTGATTTAATTTCCTCTCCATTTCTTTTTCTTTTCTTTTTTTACTCTTTCATTCTTTCCTCACCTTCTCCATTGACTTCTGGTTTATTGCTATTGTTCTATGGTTGGATTTTTGTCTGAGTATGTGTGTTTGTTTGTGCAGGTGTGTGTTTATGTGTGTGCCTATGCATGCACACACATGTATGTGTGTGTATATATATATATATATATATATATATATATATATATACAATGTTTTGGTACTTGTGTATGCACGCCTAATTGTGTGTGCATTTGTGTTAACTGTATATGTTGGTTTCAGTTTTATTATTATTGTTTCGACCATTTAGTTTAGGTTATGATTGAATTTTTTGTATGTATGTATTTTTGTTCAGGTGTAAGTTTATGTGTGTATCTGTGCATGTGCACACATGCATGTATACATGCATACAAACATGTATGCCCTTGCCCATGTATGTTTGTGTGCACATCTAATTGTGTATTTGTGCATGTGATTATGTGGGTGTATATACAAGCCCCTATAAGCATTTTCGTCTCCCCCACTACACTTTCACTTTTTTTGCATTTAGTGTGTTTTGTAAAGAGTGTAGTTATGGTAAATTTTGTAGGTTATTATTTGTTGATATTGTGGATACTCGTTTCTGGGTGGATTGTGTTTGAGATTGGTATGGATTAGGTGTTAGGCATGGTGGGTTGTATTTGTGACAGGATTGCATTTTGTGTTGTATTTCTTTCTTTTTATGTTAGTATTTAGGTTGCAAAGTAGGTGTTTGTTTATATGTCTGCATTTCTTCATTATTTCATTCTTCTTGTTCAAGAAGTTTTTTTGATTTTTAAATGTAATGATTGTTATTTTTTCCTTCAGACACAATTTAGAGTTTCTGTTGTTGGGGCTGCTTTTTTTTTTAAATAATTTTGCCATTTAATCTTGTTAGTGATGTTCCTTTGTTTCTGGCTTCATATGTATTTTGATAGTGTTGTGTTTTTGTATTTTTCTGTTTTAAATAAGGTTTAGTGATGATGAAATCTTTCTTTAAATATTGTTTCTGTAGCTCCTGTAAGTCATGTAAGTGTTTCTTCTACGTTTGTGTTGTTTGTTATGGTGGCTTTATATATTATGTTGTTGGTTAGGCATTTATTGTTAAGTGGGCAATTATTTTATTTCAACAATTGCATTAGTTATTGTAGTTATTATTGTCTTTTTGAGTATTTTTTGTGTTTGGCTATTATTTTCTCCATGTTATCCATGCTGCTGTAACTGATTTTTACTGTATTTTTTGTTGATGACTTTTGATTTGTTGCATTTGGAGAAATTTTTTTTTTTTTAATTATTTTGAAAAATATTTTTCCTATTTTTGTTTTTATTCTATTATTGCAGGGTGGTTTGAACCAGATTATGTTTCTTTTTCGGTTGTATTTGTTTTCATTTGTATATTCTATTTTTTTCCGAATAACCGCTATTTCTTAATGTTGTTTCATGTTTTTTTTTCATTGAATATTTTTATGTTGCTGGAATTTGTTGATATTCTTTTGTTTATAGATATGGGTATATGCTTGAATATGTTAGGAGGATAGTTGGAGTTTTTGTTGATGCATATAGGGATGTTGTTTGCTTTTCTGTATGGTTTGTATATATTGTTGTTTAGATTAAATGTTATATCCAAGAAGTTTACTATTTTAGGTTAGATTTTATGTCTATATTTTAAATCCTAATATGTCGAAGGTTTCTATAATCTGTTTTCTTATTTTTTCTGTAGTTCTGCCATTGCAATTTCTTACGATTACTAGGCTGTTATCCCTGTATAAGCTTATGTCTTTTTGATCAATGATTTGTGTTAATCTATTGATGATGTATATGCATACAAGTTCACATATATCTGTACAATCATAGCTGCTCATTGTTACGTCAAAGGTAAGGTCAATATTATTATTATTGTTATTACTGGTGTTACTTTTTTTTCCCATATTTTGTTGTCGTATTATGCTATTGACTTTTTGCAGTGTTTGATAATATTTAGATCTTTGATTGTGATGTTTATGTATTGTTTTACCAGGTATAATGTATTATTTAATGTGTTTTCATTGATGGATTTTTATTCTTTTATGCTTAGCTGTATGAAAGAACAGTTTTTTGTTGGTGATGTTAAACCAATTGTTTCTTTTGCATTTTCCATTGGTTTATATTTAATATGCTCCTTAACTTTGTGCATATTTTTTCTGCAATTTGCTTGCTTATCTTGTATTGTAGAAAAAATAAACCAGAGGTAAACAGAGAAGGTGAGGGAAGAATAAAAGAAAAAAAAAAAAGAGAAAGAAAAAGAAAGGGAGAGGTAATGAAATCAGCAGTCAATCAATACCCATCAAGTGAAAAGGAAAGTAACACTCTCATACCATAATAAAAGTAGAAAGAAATTGAAAAATATTAATTTGTTCTGAAGCACATACATGTGAGTACGAAACTTTGAAGTAAACAAAAGTGAAAAAACTTTTTTATCAATTCTATTAACACTATCCTTACCTTCGATATTGAGCACTCTAGCAAAAAGCCTGCTTGCTTTAAATGACCTTATCAGCAAACTACTGAAAAACCAGCAATTTTGGCTTCAAAAACAGTCTTCCAAATTAGCACTATATATATATATATATATATATATATATATATAGTAAATTCTAATTTTAAATTTTATTTACTAGTAATATCCATAATTGTAGCACTTTAGATAAAGATTAATTAACGCTTTAACTGATGTGGAAGTAGTTAGATATCATTCTGAATCTTACTTGCTCTCAACATGTATATAGTCATCCATAGACAGCCTGTTTTGCTGTATCACAACTCATGTGGCTAGACATCCAATTGCTTCAAGCTGGTATCAAAACGTGACCAATTTGACATCAATCAGGGACTCTTACCCCTAGGTTATCAGCGCATGGTAGAGAAAGGAAATTTTTAATGCATTATATACATGCTATATAAATGCCATACTGGCCGGCATAGCACTCAAATCTTAAGAAAAGCAATGCATTAAAGCAGCCATTAAAAATTGCCTTTTCTCCATAGTGTTCAATCGGCAAACAAGAGTATATATATATATATATATATATATATATATGATAGATACAGTCAATGATGAAACTAGTTGTACACCCATCAATTTTGAATATTTTTATTGATGGGTGTACAAATAATTTTGTCATTGACTGTCAAGATACTGTGAAAGTTTCAGTCCCTAGTGCTTGCATTATAAACTGGTGCTTAGTGCTATGTTCAAACTAGAATAGACACAACGGCATACAATACAAACTGTTTTGTGATCTGTAGAATATCCTATAAAAACAAAATGTTTGTGCCTTTGAGAAATCAGTGTCAGCAAATAAATGAATATTTTTTTTTATTTTATTTTTTTTTTTTTATTTATTTCCCCCTAAAACAGGTCAGCACAGCCAGGCAGCACTGCTATAATAATGCAACTGCAAAAGTCTTAGTTTCACAGTATTTAATGATATGTCAGTCATATCAGTATGACAGACCCAGAAATTTCTGCAGGGTATATTTATGAAAAAAATTAAATCTCCAGTAGTCATGACTAAAATATGGCTTTGTCACAACATAAGATAATTTTTTTCTTTTTCTTTATTATTTCAAGTTAAAAATAACTGTATCCTGTATAATTTCAAGTACAATAATTATATTAGTCAAAAGAGACAGAATCAAAAGCCATATTTTACAGTGATGCATACATCAAAGGTTTATTGTAACATTCTTATCTTGATAATTTTTTTTTTCCAGGGAGATGAAAAACAGGATGGATGATAATTATTTAAAATATGCTGTATTAAAAGATTCATTGTAATTTATTCTCATTCATATTGAAATTTTATATTGTAGAAAAAATGTTAATCATTCAAAAAGTCATACGTAAGATTCAGCAATAATCATGAACATTTTCATATTGGTAATGTTTTTCTTGTGCTGATGAATATACAGCCAACAAAAAACTGTTGAAAGGTTAACATGCATCTATTTTCTGTATTCTAAGTAGGGGAATTTTTAAAATTAAGTTTTTGTTGTAAAATAACATATAAAAAAATAAATAATAAAATCAAGAAGCTTACTTATTCTGGCTAGTAATGACTCCAGGCAGGTCATTTTCTTTTCTCTTTTTCTGTCGTAATTTGTCCTTCTTTCTTTCTCTCTAAAATTACAAAGAAATTAATACAACATTGAAATTTCCAAATGATCCACAAGTTCTATAGAAAAATTAAAGAATTCAACAGCATCTGATTTAAGGTAAAATATTCAACAGGAATTTTACACATGTTGATTAATTTTATCAAACTCAATGAAAAAGAAACTCAAAATTACAAATTTCGGGCAAATTCATAGATTAGAATGTTAAAATAAGATAAGGTAGATAAAAAAGCAGGAATTTTTAAGAAACAGACACAGAATCAAACAAGAAAAGAGAAAGATTTCCATTCACAAACTTCTGAAAAATTTTTGAGAATGAAGGCAAAATAAATTTTATATGGATATAAAAAAAAAGGGAAACAAAAAGAAAATGGAGAAAAAATATTTATACCTAAAGACAATCAAAAATGTAGAAAATAAAAAATCAGCTTAAGACAAAAAAAGCAAGAAAAGTAAACAGAATGTAAAGAATATGATATTAAAAACTGTGCTTACTAGACAACCACACCTGAATAAGTAATATCTTCTGCTGTGAATCAGTATGTACTTAATAAATCTTTTAATAAACATACTATATACCAAAACACATATTTAAAAGAAAAAAAGATTTAAAATTTCAGTGTCCCCTCCCCTTCATGCACATATGTAATCACATGAAAATAGTCACTTTAGTCCAATGAAATCCTAAAAGGACAAAATGCATCATACCCCTTTTCCATTTTGTCATAGATTTTATTCATTAAACACATAGTAAATAAACATAAAAATATCCACTGTTAGATAATCAAATATTGATAACCTGTAAGAGTTTTATTCTTCATATTTATTTTCACCCTTTCAATACTATAAAGGTGTACTGAAAAATTCTCAGCTTGATCAAGAATTTAAAAAAAACTGTTCATATGATCAAATTTAAGGGAGTGGGTCAAGCTGAGAACTTTTCAGCACCCTTTGTAGAAATGGAGAGACTATTGTGACCCAGAAATTTGTGGGGTTGTGTCAATTTATAGTTTAGTTATAAGACAAAAATTATCCATTATTTTACATCAATAATAATCAATTATTAATCTACAATTATGTTTTTCAGAGTTACTTTTTATAGTCTGTATTTGAATGTTGGTGTTCTTACTTAAATGCTTACACATTTTGTCACAAGCAGATTGAACTATTTTTATAGAATGCTCTATAAAATTTAACCTTGTGTCTGACAAAGGTGAATATCTACTGCAAGTGTAGAACTAATATTAACTTTTTTATATAAACAGGCTTGTCGCCAAAGTGCTTTGAATAGGAGTGGGGACAGTCTTTAAGTTGGCAGGCTACAAGTAAGAATTTGCACACTAATATTAATTCAACTCATTTTCATAAGTTGAGAGAGGCAAATGATTTTTCTGGTGAGGTCAGGTCTATAGATAAAACAATTAAAAACAAAATTAGGTATTTCCCTAAAGATACCATAAGAATTGACAGGAAAAATATTCACAAAGATTAGCTTAGTCTAATCAAAAAAGGAATTGGAAGATTGTATATCACCACTCTTCCAAATGGCAACAGTTTATATGCCTTAAAAAAAAAAAAAAAAAAAAAAAAAAAAAAATTGAAAATTCATCATTGGAAACCTAGTTTTTAATGAAGTTCAATCACCAATCATTGGTGATAAATAAGCAACTAGATCATGCATAAAGCAGGCTAAATAGTTTAGCTAAGTTTCATATATGGTCAACTGGGAGGAAATAAGGTGCTATGGCAATCTAAGATTAGAGGAACTACCTACCTTGAAAATCAGCATTTGAAATCCTGACCTTTATCAGAGCTCAAACATCAACCACTAGTTTGAGTGCCAAACAGGCACAGAGAAGTAAAAGATCAAATAATGCATTTTTAAAATTTGTAATATTGAATTACTTTTATATTTAAGCACTTCCCCATTCCTTGCAATCTCACTCAGTAACCTTCTACCTTGAGTGGCCCTTGGGTTTTGTATTTAGTGAACAGTAAAAAAAAAAAAAAAAAAAAAAAAAAAAAAATTAAAAATAGGTGTTTAAATTCCCAATAAAAAAAAAAAAAAACTGTTTATTTATCAATTATAAATAAAATTAAATACTGACATCTTCTTTATCTCTTCGTAGCTCTCCATCCATGTTTTGCTGCCTCAACCTTTTGTAATCAGGATCCAAAGGATTGTAAGTCTCTTCTGAGGTGTTGTAAAAGCCTAGAAATAACAAAAATTAAATTTTAAATACAAACTTCTCTATTCATAGATATGCATATTACATTCAATATCTTCTTCCTCTATCATATACTGATATAAAGGTAAAAATCTTTGCAGCAAAAGGAGTTTTAACATTCAGCACTTTGATGATCTAATATTTATTCATGCAGGACTTCACAGTAACTCCAAATTTAAGTGCAGTACTAGTTTGGCAACTAGGTCTCACTATTTTACAGCTAAAATTATTAGATGTAACCATAAGTTTCATGTTAAAAGTTTCTTCTCTTGCACTTGTTGCTTGTGAAACTTTTCCAGCTTTGCAGTCAACTTTTATTTTCAAAAATTTAAATAGTGTTAAGCATTATCTTCTGTCTTCTTGATTATTGTTTTTTTTTTATTGTTCTTTCTCTTTAATAATATTTATTTTCTCATATTCTTTCACACTTAGTAACCCCTGGTATCTTAGGGGCTTTGTTGCCTAGTATGAGATGAAATGATTTAAAAAGAAAAAAAATACCCTAAATACATCTATTGGGTTGAATCATAATAAGTCTCTGTTTCGAAGAACCAATTGTCATGTATCATCCTGTTTCTTAAATTTATCATAACATGTAATGAAAAATGGGTTATATGTGACAATGTTCAATGCAAAAGACAAACATAAAATGACAAGTATAAATCTCCTAAAACAACCCCAAAATATAAGCTCCATGGAAGAAAGGTAATGTTGTACATGTGTTAGGATCATTGAGGATTCATTAAGAGTTCTTAAAACACAATGGAACACTAAATGTACATTTATGCATCCAGCAGCTGCAACATGTCAAGAAATGTCTGGTTGAAAAGCTCCCTGCATTTCTCAAAAGGAAATATGTTGTTCTCCATGATAATGCAAGGCTGCTTGGTTGATCAGTTCAATACAACCAGTCATATTCACCATTATTTGCACCAACCAATTATTACCCTTATTTCTTTTTATTGCTGTAAAACTTTGATGTGGATAAATTCCTATAATGTAAAACAAATTTAAAAGTATATTGAAAACTTTTTCCTATCAAACCTGCAGATCTTTACCCAAAATGTTTTGAAGAGCTGCCTGATAAATGGAAACAGGTCATTGCAAATAACAGTGAATATATAATTGAATAAAATGTAATTGACTTGTCATTTATTTTTTGAAGAATAAAGTTGATAAACAAAAGCAGAAATTATTTGACTCAACCTAATATTTACAATTCTTTTATAATTATTTTTTCTTCAAGAACTAGATTAAATATAATAGGAAAACCTCATTAATTTATTGTATTTTTTACTTAGGCTGTGGTTTTCACATGAGGAATCTTTCAGTAAGATGTATAAATTTCATTGAAAACAATAAAAAAACATTATGGATTGTAAAAAGCTCTAGAAATACTTCTCTACATAATCCACCTAAACAAAGACATTAAAATAACCTCATTTGCATGTTTAGACAACTCAGTCATTTCAAAAGAAATTATAAAAGAGTATTATTATACTTTTATTTATTTTTTCTTTAAATTAAGTTTTTCAAGTTTATTTTTTTGCCATTCACAGTCAAGTTTATGAAAAAATACAACAAAACTGAATGCCAAAACAAATACTTGAATGTTTTGCAAGTTTGCACCAAAGGAAACAAACTGTACTATCAAAGAATAGATTCTACCTAGAATTCTACAGCAATGACTTTACAATTGCTGAAAAGTTCTAATTAGGAACTGGGCTAGGCCAAGAACTTTTCAGCACCACATTGTATATATATTATATACAAAGCATGAGAAAAGTGTTTAAAATATATAAGCAAATGAGTTTCTCCTTATCTGTTAACAGAAAAAAAGATACAAATTCTTTGAACTTTTAGTTGTAAAACTGCTACTTTTCAATTTCTGGCTTTCTGTGTCTGCCAACAATACTGACCATTTATCTCAGGACGGCATTCCTTGACTGGTGTAATGTTTGATGAATTAGCCCCATAACCAATCAAATAGAGCATGACAAATCCTTAATTTGCGTGGCATTTTAAAATAGAGACATTAAAAAGAGTCTTATTTTTTTTACTTCTACAAGTAGTAATAGACTCATCACAGCTGCATTATCAAAACAGCTTTGCTAGCCTAATTGGTTAAAACACGGATGACAGCCTCCATAGGTATGGGATGTAAGTTTGAATTTTATCCAAAGCTAATTTTTAATGAATTCTAATGATTTATTTTGACAGTCAAAGAATAAATAAGTTAAAAACTGCCATAACTATTAGCACTGTCACAACTGCATTGTTGTCTGGCTGTGCAATTTTAGAAAAATAGAAAATTGCAATTTATTGGAAATAATTTACTAGGCTATAAAAGATGCTGATGATGATTTTTCATGGGTGCTGCCATTTTAATTTCAATCAGATACACACAACATAATAAATATATGCCATAGAACAGGTTGTATTGTACACTACTATATGTTGATGCTGATCTGGAAATATAAACCAACTATTTACATTGTTCAGACTGTGGTCCTCATCTTTATTGTCACATTCACAGCCATTGTGCACTCCAACCTTCTTCAAAAATGTTTTGAATGTGACAAAGATGTGGACAGCAATCCGAACAATATAAATAATGTAGACAGTTACAATACTTCATCTCAAAAATATAGACAGATAAATTAACTAGCGTTTAGTACCAATGCAGATGCTTGGGACCAACATTTCACAGTTTCTTGAAAACGTATATGTACATTGACAACAGGCAATGTAAGTTTTGTAAAGACCTAAGTACATACACAACAATGGAAGTGTTAATAATAAGAACATATATTAAGCTTTTTTTTTCAAAATGAAATAAAAAGAATGGGGGCACTGAACTTTAAATAACCGGTATTTACCTGGAGCAGGTTTCTTCTCAAACGGAATTTCTGCATTGTAATCAACACCTCTCTTCTTTTTCTTCTTTTGTTTGATCCTGGAATAAATATAAATACAATATATAAATATTTAAACAGATATTTTTTAAAGTAACACATTCCAAACGTTCTTTACAAAAACATACAAAGTAATGATATTCAGTATGTCAAGTCCCAAAATTGTTGATAAATAAGAAAACAGTTATCTCTCTACATAGCAATATTTTTAAGAAATTTCACAAACTATTACTACTGTAGTGTGTTTGATCTTCACTGGGTACTAAATAAATAAGGCTTTGTTCCATACAATGCCAAGCTTATGAAAATAGTAATAAAGACAGACAAATTATCAAATATGACATATTTTGAGTGATATTAGTAATATCAATTTTTAGTTAGGGCTTTGTCAATAATAAAATGATAATTATGTCTGACATGTTGCAGTGTAAAAGAAAAAATCCATTTCAAATTAGGAAATATAATGAAAGTAAAAGAAAATCAAATAGAAAATTTGGTTGATTTTATTTAGTGGGATATCAACCTCTATGGGTTATTTAATGCCAAAATTTAAATATTTTGAAAATTTTTATGGCTTCCACTACAGATAAAAATTTATTGCTGAAAATTCTACTATAAAATTTATTGCTGAAAATTCTACTATGAAATCTACTGCTGAAAATTCTACTATAAAATCTACTGCTGAAAATTCTACTATAAAATCTATTGCTGGTATTTTTATTCTTTCATAGTGTTTTGTTTATGGTTTCACTACTTGCCCATAGCAAGGACCCTAACAGGTGCTACAACCCCAGGTCAAAGCGGACCTGGGAACAACAACAATTAAGAGGTGATTCCATGCTCCTCAAAACCTCCAATCTCCTGATCAGAAGCCAGGACTTAATAGGAGATGGGAAATGTGAAAACCAAAAACACCATAAACTACATCAATCATTATCAATTACTAATACTTACTAAAAAGCTTTTGACAGAAATATGAAATCATTGAATACATCACTATTGAATCTAGCAGAAAAATATATTGTTGGTAATTTTTTATATACAAATGTATTTTTATACTTTCATGACTAACAGATGGTTATGACAGTAGTTAGTTCAATCTTCATTGGGTGCTCTACTCTTGTGATATAGTAAATACTTCCGGTTCCCAACTTCCAATAGAGCAACAGAATTTTAATGTTTTTTTTTATTCTAGCTTAAAATGAATACCTACTGTTCATCTATCAAGGGCCAATATTTCAGTAGCCAATCCCAATTTTAATATATGGATAACTCTGGTTCATAAATATTGTTTTAAATGATAAATATTAGTAAGGATATGACTGCTAATCAATTAAGTAATAAAAAAAATTAAAAAGGTGTATTTCATTTAATTTCCAGAGATATACTTTTTATTTTAACAAAAACATTTTTACTTTAATGAAAATGCAACGATATGAACTTACTCTATTCCAGCAGCTCTCAACTCTCGTCTTTTCTGCAATGCTGCCAAACGCCTGGAAAAGAAAATAAACAAAATGGATGACAACTCAAGATGAAAGCCTCTTTCTTTTAGTTCATTAATAGTTTTAAAATCTTAAGGTTATAGAATGAATTTATAAAAGAAAATTACTCATGACATGATAATCTAAAAAGTTACTTTAAATTCTAAATCAAGATTTTAGAACATGAATGATTTTCTGATACACAAAGAAATTCTAACAGACTCTGAATCAAGAATCATTAGCTTTGCAATTAATAAGGATAAAATAATTAAAACTGCCTTTTGTTGACTCTTACAAACCTCCAGCCAATATACAAATATGTCAATGGATGCAGAATTTAAAAAAAGAAAAGAAAAAAAATCTACATAGCTGGGAATTATACTTTATAAACAGAAATTTATTTATTCATATTGAAAACTTCAAGAAAACATCTCAGACCAGATAAAATAAAATATAACAAATGATATAAAACAAGAAACACTTAAATACATCAGATTATTTGGAAAGTAATATCAAATTTCTGGAAATAGAATAAAATCCAATCTAAAAATAATAAAATTCAAATTTATTTTGACAAGAATATAAGTATTAACAACAATAAAACAATGATATTTTTTTTCATTAGTATTTCTTTCATCTGATAAATTACCTATGAAATAAAAATAAAATGTTACTACTAGTAAAGGTTCATTATGAAACAACTTTTTTACTGTGCCAAAAGAATTTGAGATTATGGAAAAATCTGATACCAACATTTTAAACAGAGCTTCCTCTCCAGTAAGATTCTGGTGAGCAGTCAATAGAATAGAGTAAATTTTGTTTATTCTGTATTAGAATAAGGTAAGACAATCACAGTAAACTTATTGCAAAAAATAAAAATTCATCAAAAAAAAAAAATCTCTGATTTGGTCAATAGAAAGCAAGTTATACTGAAGTAAGTAAAATAAACTCAAGAGAAGATCAAATCATTTCAGTTGCTAAGAGATTGACTTTAACTTCCCTATTCACTTAAGATCTTCAGATTTTCACAGATTCAGATAACTAGAATACTTTCTAGGAGGCAAAACCTTTGATGAGCAGTTCAACATGATCAAAATTCTTTTCACTCAGAATTTCAGATTGCTATTAATGATGATTATGTTCTACACAAATAAATTTAACTTTTGCTACATTTGAACAGATTTTCATTTCCTCCCTAAAATGACATTACTTTCCAAACAAGTTAATATTTGCATATCGATATTTACAATTACACTGGAAAGGAAAAACAAACAAAAAAAGCCAACAGTTGTTGAGTGCCTAGTCATAGAATAGTAGTTAGCAAGCTAACCCAACAGACAATTACCAAATTCATCCACACTTGTGGCTTTGTAATAGATTAAACTGTTTTAGTATCACCTATAGTGCTTATTTGGTGGGTAAGTTAGTTATCTGCCACTAGCAAAAGTGGTTAAGTACAGGTATAAGGTGGAACTTTAAATGCCTGTTTTCAAGGCTAGTAGGACCTTCCCATTTGGAAGAGTAATGCAAAAGATTTCCTACCCCAATTTAGTTTTATTCTAAGATAATTAACAATCAGTATTAGTTCAGTTTAATGCTTAATTGCAAAGGCATAAAATATCAAACTAAAATTACTATTGAGGATTTTCCTTTTATCACTTAAACCTCATAATATAGATATTTTTATTACTTCAAACATTATTATGGTGGATACATGTATTTGAAATAGATGCCCCATTTTTATTTTTAATTTAAACAGTGTATATTACACCTATCAGCCTGAAGACATGAGATATCTCGATATACAGGGTGTGGCAGAAATACCTACCACATAATGGAAAAACATTAGCTAAATGAAGACATCATTGCCACTAATCTATTATATCAGAGGTATTTCTGCCACACTGTGTGTGTGTGTGTGTATATATATATATATATATATATATATATATATATATATATATATATATTGTATTGGGGTACCAGATCATTATTCAAACATATATTATTAAATATAACAGACAATGAATGTCTATTATGTTTGATCATGAGCTGTTCTAATGTTCAAATGTTTGCTTCAATTTCTGGTAAAAATAAAGACAAAATTGTCCAACATTTGGATATTTTTTATTAAGTTGATCCTAAGCTTTCGGCTCACATGAACCATCCTCAGAGTGGTTATACAGACATGAAACAAAGATATCCACCGTCAAAGATGATATTTTGTTATTTTGACATAGAAAATTGCTATGCGACGATAACAGTCACAGAGCGTAAGTTCAAGATTTGGTCCTATGACGTCATACCACGTGATAGACAGAAGTATTACAACAGAACCAATGTCTAGATGCAGTATAATGTGTCGTGACTGGTTTGAAATGTAATTTTGTTGAGATCGGGTGGCTTCATTTTAATGGAGATAGCCTCCAATATCTGAAGGTTCTTTTTACTGCGTGTCTGTGTGAGTATTATTGTGTTATCAACTAATATCTGTCCAATATTATGTACATGGCTATGTTTTTCTAAGAAATGTTGTTTAACAGAACTAAAATCAAAAAGGTGACAGGTAAGTCTACGGGAGAGTGTGGTAGTAGTAAAACTAATATATGTAGCAGGTTTATTATTAGCATCAGAGATACAATCTCTGAATAGGCATGTAAATTGATAAACTACATTGTTTTTTGTAAAGGATTTAGTTGTGTGGTTGTAGGGTTATTAGAGACTATATGGTCAAATGTTTTAAATTTTTTATAATATATGATGAGCTTAACTTGTTTACTATTATTAATGGGTTTAACATTTCTATGTATTATGTTTTTGAGTGTTGTTTCATCATGTTTGCAATTATTATGCATTAATAATAATATTGTATGTCAAAATAAACATAAAACTATTAATTTATACTATTGTAACCAAAATGAACTAAAGTTGTTTGTTATTTTTTTTTTCATATTTCAGAACAAATAATTTTTTTTGTAAATACCTTGCTTCTTCCAACTGTTTCTCACGAGCTTTTCGTTTAGCTTTTTTTCCTTGAGTGTTAGCTAATCGAGCTCTTGCCTCAGACAACATTTCCAGTTCTGTTCAAAACAAAAATAAATTATCAATAATCTGTCTAATATAAATGAATAATAGATTTGAAAAATGACAATGCATTATCAGAATCTACATTCCAACTAATATTATTGTGTGTTCATACTTCACTTTATCATGTTCTACAGTAGTGGCTCCCAATTTTTTTTTTTTTTTTTCCTCTGGGATGCACTTTTGAAATGAAAATTTGCTTGCACCCCACCAAATTTATGTGATAAAAAGTACATTTAAAAATAAAAACAGTGAGAAGGTTAAAGGGTGATAACTGCAGATTCGAAGTCACAACATTATGATTGATAACTCTCTCCTCCAATTTACGGAGCCTAGTTAATATATTCTTAATACTTGATATAATGCAAAATTATTACAATATTAAAATCGGTCAATAATTATTTATAATAATAATACTGGGACTCAAGCATGCGGTTACAAGTAATCCATAATATTTTAAATTTTAAAATCATATTTATTTTGGGCATATGAATTTTTCTGAAACTGTTTCTAACTCATTTTGCTTTGCCTGTGGCATGCCACACCACACCATTTGAGAACCACTGCACTACAGACACAGCACTTGCTTTACAAATAGTGGCAGAGTTGAATTCATACCTTTCCCAAGGGCATTCACTTACATGCTAATAGCCATTGGGAAAGGTATGACACCACCCTCACCCCCCTGACTAGTACCCTCATCTTAATTATTATCACATTTCAGCCTTTGTATCCACAGACCTTCAGGTGTCTATCAAAGAATTTATTCAATTCATGGGGGTAGTTTCTTCTCATTCCACTATCCAATCTAGAACATACTTTATGTGAGTATAAGAAGCAGAATGAGATCTATCTACTCCTGTAGATTAAATAAAGTGTTCAGTTTTAAATTCTTGGAAAGTTACCAACCGCAAAATACCTAAAGAAGGCCAGTGGGTACATCTGAAACATGACAATAGCAAGCAAAATGGCAACACTAATTATAGTAAATAAGTGTACAATGATAATTCCACATTTTGAAAATTGAGAAAAAATTTTGTAATTAATATTTTATGCTGAGATGATTTTGAATAAAAATAAATAATGTTTTGCTCATTCTGTATTACCTAAATTATATTTTTTATTCTTCAAACCTAAAAAACTTTATAATGGTAAAATCCTACAGTAGTTGACAAAGAGTGGGTGAGTAAGCACATAAGACACACCACTTACCCATAATTTCTGTACCACCCAAGCAATAATAATAAGTAGCTGTTACAACTATTAACAAACTTATGCCAGTTTGGAATAAAACTGAAGGAAGCATTTATAAGAAGTTAAAAAAAAATAATTAAAACCTGCATGTCACAAGATGTTGAAACTATTTGAGAGATGAAAATGAAAGCGGTTCATTCTGCAAAGCCTTCGTATTATAAATCACTACTTGTCTCCCTACAAGTAGTGATTTATAATATGAAGGCTTTGCAGAATGACTGTCCCTAGAGGACGCATGGTGGAGTAATGGATAGCGGCTCAGATTGAGAAATCTGAGAGCCAAGTTCAAATTCCAATCAAATCCATTACATTCACTTATGTGCTAATACTATTGGGAAAGGTATGAATCCTAGTCTTCTCCCTTCAGCTATGGGTAAATAGCAGAACTGACCTTGGATGGAAACTGGTCTACCACAGAAAGAAATGGCAACCTACTGCAGGAAAAAAATCTGCCTTGCTAGTCATGTATCAAAAGATACATGGTTGCCTAAGCGTGTACTACGCATGGCACATAACTGACTGACTTGTCTCCCTAAGGCATAGTTCAGTTTTTCTAATTTAAATTTGTAGGAAATAGTTGAACACTAGCTATCATTTTCATTTGCATAAATAAATCTGACAAGAACAAAATATATAAACAGTTCCTACCATTATTTACACTATTTATATTTGGACTATTGTCATCATCTCTTTTGTTATTACAGCGTTTCAGCTGTTGTGCCCTCCAGCCTTTATTGGGTGTATATCAATCTAAGTAACCTACAAAGAATTTTTTATTTAATCTATGGGAGTAGACAGTTCTTGTTCCACTGTTCACGTCTAGGGATATCTAGTTCTTATTTTTATTTAGTACTGCTCAGTTATTTCTCACCTGTTACCACTGAATGCAAGTACACATTGCCTGACGCAAGGATTGAACTTACAATCACTATGTCACTACAGGACAGCAGCCTTGTGGATTAAAGCATTGGCTTATGAATTTGGTCTACTCCTGTAGATAACTAAAGGTTTCAGTTCAGAATTTTCTGTAGGTTACCCACATCAATACATACACAAAGAAGGGCACAACAGCCGAAACATTGTAATAACAACAACAAAGATGACAATAGTCTGAATATAAATAGTGTAAATAATGATATGTCCCCATCCCAGAAATTCAAAGTTCCTACCATCTTCATCCATGTCCACAGGATCAGGCCTCGCAGGTTTCGTTTCAGGATTTGGATCAATTTCCCCTGGCTTAAGGCGTCTTGGATCATCCTCATTATCTTGATCCCTATTCTGAGCTTTATCACTACAAAAACAATGGAGATTCAGTTAGATTTTGATTGCTTCAAAAATTGATGGATACCAGATAAAATTCCCAACAATATCAAAATACAAAAACTCAAAGCTTTGTTTTGTAGTTATGAAGCTGCTCTTTCAATGTTATCAAAAGAAAATGTCAGTATTAAGTTTAGTACAATTTCAACTAATCATAGAATTTAAATTTTTGTACTATTCTTATTTAGCATATAAGACTCAATTCTTAAACCAAGATACACATACATATGTAATAATAAAATTGTTTACATGTCTATACATATACACTATACATGAACACATTATCTATACAGAAAGATAGAATGCACCATGTGAATAATTATAAAATGTTCTATAAATTTACTTTAATTCTAATATTCTATTCACAATAAATTCATAAAAGTATATTTCAGTCAAAAGGTATTAAGTATTTCCTTATGGAAAAAGAAGAAAAAGAGGAAATATAATACTACAATTTGTAAAACTGGATGCAACTAAAGTGAATTTTCGTCCTTAAATACATAAGCAAAAAAATACTTACAGAAGATATTCATAATGCTCCAAACATTGAGCTGCTGTCCGGCCAATAATGGGAGCAATTGTTCTCCACTGAGTTGGCATCAATTTGGCTAAATGCAGCAGTTTTTCCTCCTCTTCTCGACTCCATTCTGTCTTTTTAATACTGGGATCTAACCACTCATACCTGAAAAAAAATAATAATAAATAAATAAAATTGGCAAATTAATATATTAAAATAAATTTCCAATTAAATAATTTCAAGAAACATCTCAAAATATCCAATTATGCCTAAATTTTCAATTTAATAGCCCACCTCACAGTGACAGCGCATCTCCCACCAAGAGTGGCCCGATCACTAATGTGACATGCTTCAGGTGCAACAGCAAAGGTCACATAGCAAAAGACTGCTGGAAGTGCAGAACATGCTGCTATCGATGTGGGGAAGTTGGACACTGGGCTCGAGACTGTTCGGGAAATGCTACAGAGGAAAATGGCATCAGCGCCATCCTTTTCCTCAACCATGATGTAATTACAGCGTTCCTGGTGACAAACATCCTTGCCACGGAATTTGGTGTTCAGCGCTGATTGATACTGGCTGTTCACAGACAATTGTGGATGCAGATCGGTGCCAGTCTTGGAAGACAGTGACAGTGAACATTATGACTATTGGAGGCATGTCCCATCCATGTTGTGGTGTAGGAGTGGTAACCATATCCAAAGAGGAAGGTGGTTCTGCCAAGATCAACGTGTTGGTGGTGTGTGGTAAATCACTGGGACTTGACCTGCTATTGAGGAGTGATGCCATAACAGCATTGGGAGGCGTTGCTGTTGGGCCAACAGGACGAGTACAGATTGGTAATGGGCAAGCAGCTAAGTGTGCAGCCATTACTGTTGATGAACCAGACTTCACTGCCACCTTTGTGATCATGAGATCAGGGAGGGGTGTAACGAAAGACATGACTTACCTTAGAATTCAAAACAAGCGTGAACATGCCTTGCCTGAAAAGTGATGACAAAAAAGAAATATGGCTGCTATTGAAGACACAATTTATGCATGCCTATCTCATCCAAAACGAGACAATATTTGCACACATGCCAATTTTAGCCATCTTGGAATAGCAAACTGCGTATGTTAGAATTGGACATATGGATTGACAAACAAAGAGGAAGTTGAAGTAGGCGCAGCTGAGTTGGTGTCTGTTTCACAACTGCTCAGTATAACGGCCGAGAAAGGGAGCCACGCAATCCATTTCCTTGAGGTGACCGAAGAAGAAGAAAAAGAGCTGGCCTACCAGCAAGCATCACACTGCACTTTTTGACCCCCCCCATCATCATTTTTTTTTTTTTTTTTTACTACAGACACAGTAATGAGACTGATGCAATAAACTACTTTTAATATGTCTAAATGATAAATGAAGGCTGTTTTATTGCTTTTATAAACAGACATGATGTTTAATTATGATCATGAAAGTTATCTTAACCAAGATAACACTTTCTTTTAATCATTTCACCCCAAGCAAGGTGTTAATGCCACTAAGACACAAGGTGTTACTGGGAGTGGAAGAGAATAAGAAGATTTTAGTGAGGAGAAATAACAATAAAAGAAGTAGAAGATGGCAATTGATGTTGCATTTTAATTTTTGAAGATTGTAGGTGACAGGGAAGCAAGAAAGCAGAAGAGATTTCCAGAGAAGAGAAATGCAAGAAAAAAATTATTAGAGTAGAACTTATGGCTGCATCTAGTCAATCTTATGTTTAATTTCACATGGTCAATTGTAAAAAGGAGAGCTCATTAGAACTGCCATGAAAATATTTATAGAAAAAACAGAAAGAAGCCACATCACAGAGATGGGAAAGTGACAGAATCAATGACATTATAGACCCTTCTTTGGATTTTGATATATAGCCAGAGCATATGATCAGATATTGTAGCAATATTCAATGCAAGGATGTTGCCATATATTTAAAAAATAAAATACAAAGAATATTTTTACTTACCATCTGGCCTTGCATTGTTTAGCTGATTTCCGGTGAAGCAATGAAGCAATTCGTGCCCATTGGTTTTTGCCATATTTCATAACAGCTGCCTTGAGAATTTCATCCTGAAAAGAAATACAAAGAAATGTACAAAAGAGAAGCAAAGTCAACAACATAAAAACCTAGAAAGAAGATCATGTAACTTGTGATATTAAATATGTCAAAACATGCATTCACCATAATGAGTTAGACTGCAAATTCTGGCAGTGAGAGAGGAAGAAATCAAACAATATAATTCTAATTATACTTTAACACTGACAGAATTTGAATACAGAATACATAGTCAAGGTTTCAGATTATTGCTATCCACTAACTTTACTACTCCATTTCTTTGTTTAGCTTCAATTATTTTCTGTACCTACAAAGTAAACATTTATTATCCATTCATTTTATTATTAATTTTGATATTTCATTTATGGAAAAATGTCATAACTGAGATTAATATAAAAATAAGATCATATAAATTTCATAAGATGATACTGATACTTGTAGGTACCCTTCTCAGTTGAAATTGAAAAATCAAATTAACTTCTCCACACGTGTTTCACAAAAGTAAAGGCCTTAACAGCAGAGAACAATGCTTAACTCAAATAACGCAACTTAATTGTATTCTGGTTGATCTTCCGTACTTTATAATTACAGCCTGATTATAAGCACAAAATCGCATTTTTTTTAATTACTGCGGATCTTCTGATTAGTCAAAATGATACAATTACAATGCACTAAAAGAAGATCTATCTCATAAGGAGACTTAGGAAACCCGATGCGGCTTTTAACTAATTTTATAATATTTTAACAACTTAAATGTAAAAATCTATTATAATTAAGAAATAACAAATAATTGTATTAAAAATTTATTTTTCACCGAAAAAATTTTTTGCTTTCAGAAAATATTGTCCATATTCATAAAAGCAAATAAAAGCATTTGAAATTAAATAATATCTTTGTTTTATTGAGTTTTGTATGTTACAATTCAGAGCTGATTTTCAGGTAGGGGGGGGTCCAATTAAAAACAAAAAAAAAACATGATTTGCATTCCTCAAAGCCTTGTGCTTTTAACTATTGTAATCACTAAACCTGATGCGATTGAATTTCTAGCGTTTTCATAAGATTAGTTATGGGGGGGGCGGTAATAAATATTTAAAAAATATTTCTGCCATGATTTTAATAAAAAAAAAAACATATTTATAATAATTTCGATCATCTCTGAATAGTTCCTGAAAGTTTCATTAACATCCGACAATTATTTATATTTTTGCAAGATTTTCCAAATTAATGTGTGTCAAAAAAAATATGCTAAAAATTGTCTATGTTATTTACTAGTTCTGCTGATACAAAGAGAAACAAGGTTTTATTTGTTTTTTTGTTTTTTTAATCAAAATTTAGAATGTTCTAAAAAGAAGGAAAAATTTTTAAAAAAATAATTAAAAAAACTTTGGTCTTTCCTCTTAATAATAACATAAGCATTTAGATGATAGAATTTTGTTTTCGGCAAGGTTGGCGTCTTTTTCATCAAGTTATGCTCTTTTTTTAGCAATTTCGTGGAGGTACCTATGTTTACACAATAAAATTGATATTAACCAATTGATGCTGGTAAAATATAAGGTATGAATTTCAGCTTACAATATCTGCTTTATTAGAAATATTTACAATAACTTATTTGATAGTGTGAGACTATTATGCAACTGGAAGGTTGTCCATCATATTAGAAACAGTATATAATAGTATAGTTATTTATATTTACTTTTTAATTTCATATATGTCACATTAAATGCTATTTTTAGTGGATACTCATATTTGAGTAGGTGCACCATTTATTTATGAAACAGTATATTTATTTGTCAACCAGCCTGTTTATTATTAAACAGACCACCTACTCAAATACAAGTACCCACTAAAAATAACATTTAAAGTAATAAAAATCTGTCAGATTAATAATATATATATATATATATATATATATATATATATATATATATATATATATATATATATATATATATATAACTGCTATGGACTAAGAAATATATAACCTTAAAAGAAAAAACAAGATGTTATAAAGTTATTGAGTGATAGGAACACAATATTGGAAATTGTGAAAAAGTTGAACAAAGATCAAAGAATCAAAAAAGAAATTAGAAAAAAAAATTGTAAAATAAGAACAAAAAAAAATAACTTTTTGATTATCACAAAAAGACTAAAGAAATTTGAGAAAAAGTGAAAGGCAAATTTTGCAAGCAAACTATACTGACCATCAAGATGGTTTTATGAATGTAAACAGAGAGAAAAGATTAAGAACATTAGCTAAAAACATGAAAGCAACCAAAATACCACCTTTAATTAAGAATCACAAACTGAAACAAGTTATGCAGAAAAAGTATGTAAAAAATGATTTCTCAACATTAAATGTTAGTGTTGAATGTAGAGCTATATTAGATGAACCTTGATGGCTGGGCAAGGAGTTATGGTCCTTTAGGCAAATAGTCAACATACATAACTTAAAAGGCAACAGGGGGTAGATGGAGTAATGCTCTTGGCTAGTATTATAGATAGTAAAATTATAGCTTTCTGATGGTGAAGAAAAAACATCTAGAAAATTATTGGACAGGATATTTTTAAATTTGTACAGGTCACAGTCAAGAAGCGTGAAACTAAAGATATTCTTGCAAGAAAATGCATCTTAATGTTTTGCAAAGTTGATAATTGCCTACATTGTTTAAAAACTGGTTTCAAGGATAATAAATTAATGGAATGGCCCCCAGCTTTTCTACATATTAATCTAATAGAGAACTTATGATTCATCATTAAAAGAAATGTATATATGAGAATGGAAAACAATATTCAAGCAAGGATTTCTAGTACGCAATAAAAACTGCTGCAAGTCATGTTAGCTGAAAGAATAGAATCATTAACAAAATCAATAAATGAAAGACATAAATGTTATAGAATAATCTATATTGATATGTAAAATAATATATTGACATATATAAATTAGTGTTAATCAAATGTATCTAAGGCATATATTTTGGGGATTAACTTATTAAAAAGAAAATTTTGTTGCATTTAGTTTGTTTATATACTAAAACTTGACACTCCCAAAACAAGTTACCAATATTGCCTATATAAATATCTTCTGAGTTTTACCAATATTGCCTATATAAATATATTCTGAGTTTTACCAATATTGTATAGATAATACCAATTTTATTGTGCCTTGCATAATAAAATCAAATATAGCATAGATAGAAAAATACTAAGAATTACAAATTCTATCTATCAAATATGATCATAGTTATTTAAATTAAGTTTGTTTAATTAATTTTGAAATACTACTATCTCAACAGTCCCTTTTTCATTCACTGTGTAGGCAGAATGTAAACTTAAACATTCTTTGACTTAAATCAAGATCAAGGCTACCGCAGTTTGTATTTGAGGAGCCACTATATATAGTGGAAGGAGAAGTAATACTTATGAATAATGTAGAGTTCTAATGGTTAAAAACTGTGTGTGTATGATCAACCATGGCAATGTGATGGAGGGATATATCTATTAGCACCACTTCAGTATTTTTTATCTCTTATGTTAGTGTCCTAATGTAATAAACTAATACTTCACTCTTTGCCATAGGTGAACAAATAGAGCTTATGGGTCATTTTAAAGCACATTTTTCATATTCTCATTTTTTAATCCCAGTCTATGCCAGGTAAGTATTTACCCAGCCTTCCCTCTAAGGCAGGATGTGACACAAGACTGATTTTTTATGTAGAGATCCCATACACATACATATGGGCAAAGGACAAAAATTGCCCAGTTCCCACAACCACTGTCCCACCAGCATCAATATTACAGCAATCCTATCTTTCTTAGTGCAAACGAGGAAAGTGATGCCGCACAGTTGGAATCCCTAGGACCAGGCACCTTCTTCCATAAAGTATGGGGATGCAGACAATAAAGTTTGAGGGGGTTTTTGTCGTAAGTGGGGGAACAACCCTTAAAACATGTGACCTTTTAATGATAGATCTATCAGCCTGTAACATCCATACCATACTTCAGAAATTCTGCACGTAATCACATATACAAAACAGATCTTTTAAAAATAATCGGGGTCGTCAGATTCTAATATGCTTTACAATACATGATTAGTAATTATAGTTTGGTTTAAATAACAATATAATTCCTAAAAATTATCACATAGAATAATTTCATTCATTTGTGAATAAGTCCTGAAAAATTCATTAAAATCCGTAAATTACTTGATTTTTTCAAAAATTTCCAAAATGTGTCTGTCACTGCAAAAGAGAGACCATAATTTGATAAAAAAAAAAAAAAAAAAAAGTTGTACAACTGCTAGCGCAAGAAAGTTTTTTAATCAAAATTTCGAATTTTCTAAAAAGGAGTAAAATTTTTATTAGATAATCAAAGAATACTTTGATCCTTCTTCCTAAACGATTTTAACGATAAAACTGTTTTCATTACGTTTGGATCATCACGGTATGCTATCATCATCATAGCGTTTTCGTAGAGGTACTTAATTTTTAAATTATTTATACAATTTTTCAGTTCAATAGAAGAACAATCTTATTCTTACGTAAATTAATTTTTACACACAATTTATTTATGTGCAAACGAAAGACACTTCCGTTATATTTTTAGGAAAAAAAATCTACTTTTCTTTTATAAATAAAATAAGAAAAAGATCAAAGACTAAGTGTTGCAATGTTTCAAATTTTGTATGCGCTTTTTGTTGTTGATGTTTTAACCCAATTTTTTTTAGCATTACACAAAAATAAAGCCAGTAGCAGTCTATTTATAATATGCAATTATTAAAGATTCTCACACACATCTGATTACTTTTCACAAAAAAATCTCTAATCTACAAATTTTTGCAATTTTTCTTTGAAAAACTAGAGTTTGAAATAAAACCGCATGGATACACATCAGTTTCTTCAACTTTTCTTCTAATAAAGATCAGTAATTATGGACTGAAACGAAGTGTCACCTTTTTTCTTTTTTTTAATTCCGTTCATTTAATCTTGAAAAAATAAGGCGAGAAACTAACCACTTGGTTCAATAACCTAGCTATGTTTAACAAAAAAATCCAGCGATTATGATTTTCTTTCACCTAAACAAAAAATGACGTTCAAGTTTCAAAAAGCAACTAAATAACGCCTTTGAGGTTTTTAATGAATCTGAATCGTTATATAATACATAACAAAAATAATAATCTTCATCTCGCAATTATAAAATACAAACAACAAATCAGAAAACTGAATATTCAATATAGTTAGTACAGACAGACATTGTGTTCATGTAGTGACGCGTATTTACGTTAGAATAAAATCTTGATCAAAATTGACATTGCAAATAATATTAATGTTACCTCGGTGTTCCTCCAGACACCTCCTTTAATCATAATACGCGGCATGATGGAAAAGTTTTATGAGAGTATTCTTGAAACAACGTTAACACAAGGAGAAATGCGTGCCTCCTGAAACTCTAATCAACTATCTTATTAGCAGCAGGATCTACACGGTGTAAACCAAATTTTGTACCTAAGATAATATTTCTTGTAATGATTACGAAAATAATTTTCAAAGCAACAATAAAAATAATTTCGTTTTTATTGATTTTATCTGCTCTTCATGAATAAGTTTTTTTAAATGTTTTTACAGTATTTTTCTAATAAAAATATATTGAAAAAAATAGAAACGCAATATATAGTTTGTTTACTAAGAGCAAAATATTTTAAAGAAGTTAGAGTTGTCGCATGGTCAAAATAAATTTTCCTCCGAAACAGTGGTTGGCATTTATGAGATTTATATTTTCATATGTAGCTTCTTATTTTTAATAATTTACGTTTCCGACCACAAAAACATACATGCTCAATAGAAAATTTAGTAGCTAATTTATTTTTCTTAAAATTAACAAGTTGTTCTCTTAGACTATATCACTACAAGAAAAACTATCAGCATGTTTATATTTGCTGTCTGCTTATCCTATTCCATTTTTTTAAAAGTCAATTCAGGTATATTGTCATTTGCCTCATAAATGTTATTTTTTTAAGTTAGGCCAAAACAAATATTTTTAGAACTTAAATGAAATTATTATCGCGCTTATTTTTATTTTTTTAAATTTGAATTATTAAACTTCATAATTTCAGCAAATTTAATACGAAAGGATTTTTTTACAGTTTTAGTTTTACAGTACATTGTACAAATCTATTAAGCGGTGTAAGAGTGAGAAGGTTACTTAGTTTCATTTTACGTAAACGGAGTAATTTTTTATTTTAATAATGTGTGATGTGGTATGTAGAAACAATTTGTAAATTGTTAAAAATTTTAACAAATTATAAAATAATTTTAAGTTAAAATTATTTTATTTGATAATTTAGCCGTTAGCGTTTGTCACTTTAGTTTCACGGTTGTGAGACCTGTGATAGCCTCATTGCAAAAAAAAAAACAAGAAAAAAAAATTACAATTTCAATAAATTCAATATCGTATTTTTTTACTTTCCACAGAAATAACTGAAATTGTCAGAGATTTTTTAAAATATGCTCGCACTGAACTTCGCTCAAGTTCACAATATAGCTGCTATTGTGAACTTGAGCGAAGTTATGCTATTGAATAGCATAACTCCCGTCAAAAAAAAAAAAAAGAAAAGCAGTTTGACTGTTTTTTTTTTTCGTCTATATTCCTTGAGCTTGTTTGATTTGATACCCTGTATAAAGAAAAATAAATAAAATAACGGCTAGAAAAGTATCTATCTACCAAGCTTTTTTTTATTTTATTTTTAAGGGCAACCATAAATCATTATTGCTTTCCATGTGGTTGATAAGCTTGCTACTATATTGGATTGGGAGAAGAATAAATTTAGTTAAAAAGTTAAACTAAAAAGTTTTTATTGCTTCAGGATAAAGTGCTATTTCTTTACTAATAAAGCTTTTAAAAGTCTCTACTAACACAAAGTCACAACTGTAAAGCAACCAGTGAGGATCAAATTCGCTACAAGTAACAGTTTATCTTACTCATCAACATTGTGCTGCATTCAGATGCTCTAATTCTAATTATTTACTACTAAACGTAGCTTAGTCTGGGACAAGGCCAGGTGTAGAGCATTGAATGAGAAAATCAGGAGTGATGGTCTGTGAGACTTGTTTGCTTCCTAGGAAAACACTCAAACTTTAAAATTATTTTCATTCATCTGTTTTACTTTTGTATGTAAATTTCCTAACGTTTTCTTTTTTATTTCATAAGAATTGATTTTAAATAATTCTTGTAATTTAATGCGGTTTTCTGCAGAGTGTAATTCTTCCTGTCTATAATGCTGGAAAATGGTTGAATGAATGTCTTGAATCTGTCTTTCAACAAGTTTTTAAGGGTACTCTGGAACTGTCAGTTTATGACGATGGTAGTCAGGTAGGTATTTTAATTTTTCCGTAAATGATTTTATAATTATTTTTATTTTTTTGAATTTTCATGATATAAAAGACTTTCATAGTGGTCAATAATCTAACATTGTTGTTTTTGTCACAACAGCTGGTATGTAGTGTTGTGTTTGTGAAGAAAAATTTTATTGTAAAAAGTTATATAAATTTAGAATTGGTAAAATGAACAAATTATACAATTTAAAATTATAGTCTACACATTTCCTAGAAAATATTAATCACTTTCAGACAAAATAAAAACCTCTTTTTATTGAAAATTATTACTAAAATATGATATCCCTACTGAATTGATACCAACTTAAAATTTAATTATAATTTATGGAGAAAGATAACATGTACATCATTTAAAACATGTCAATTATTAATCTGTAAAATTTCAGCCTTTAAGCATTCATACTAAGTTATTATAATTTTATACTCTTTAATTAACATATTTTCAAATAGAATTTAACATATTTCTGTTAAATATTTGTACAGATCCCTGTGTCTACTACTCAATCTATGCTTTCAATATGAATAGGAAATAACATATCAAGTAGTCAGTTGATGTAATAAAAAATCTTCTATTGTCTATTCTATTTCTGTTAGCATGAAAATTTTTTGTCTTCCAAAGAAGAAACCTGACTCAAAATATTCTTTTTAAAACCATGTCCACAATTTGCAAATATAATTTTTTATTGCACTTTGTCAGCTTTCTCCTTTTCCTTTTTTTGTGGATGTGCTAAATATTTTGACATGATCAAATTTTCACCACCCAGCTTTTCATAGTATAATAACCAAAACATTAGGTTACAAACAAGTAAAGATTTTCCTCTGAAAGAATTATTGAATTTATTTATCTGATTTCTGTTATACTTATTTATTACAAGACATATGGCCTAATGGATAGAAATGCTGGTTAACCATATCTAGTTACTCGTGGTCATGAGTTCAATCTCTGGGTAGAGTAGTGCAACAAGTCATATACTCTGGTTGGGTAAAAGTGACATAACAAGGATGGATTAATTAGAAAGGATTAACTGATATGTAATATCTTCTAGCAATGACAATGGAATGAGAACAACCAACCATCATGGATTGAATCAAACTTCCCAGAAAGTTACCAACTTTGACAGACCCCTGAAGAAAGCCATAGAGTATCACAACTGAAACATTATGACCATAATAACCACGATGATAACAAGTAAATGAATGTATGATGATAATTCTTTATTGCAAAAATTAAGACAACATTACCTGAGATTTTCTAATAAAATTAATGGAAATCATAGGAAACTGATATCGATAATTTTTCATAATACCAAAATAAGAATAACCTAGCTTTTGATTGTCATAAATGTTATATTATTAAAAATATTGAGATTATCATAAGGATTCTGACATATTGATGTTACATTTTGGGATAATATATATTACTTGTTTGGTACTTGTCACTTTGTTGAGGTAAGATGATCAAATTTCAAATCTAAATTGTTTATCCATTTAAAATACTACATGTATTAGGAAATATATTGAGTTCAAATGCAGAAGGATTCATAAAACTGTTGTTACCTGATAGAAATGCCTTGTGATACAGAAGTCCATTTCCATTTCTTTCAAATTGTGTATGTACGTATGTTTGTGTGTGTGTGTGTGTATATTTTAATTCAATATCTGACCTAAAAATATTTCTACAAAATTAAAAAAAAAATTTAAATAATTTTATTTATTACTGAATAATTTCTACAAAGTTTAATAAAATCTTAGAATTTTCTAATATTTTAGAGTCTAAGAAATTTTTCTTTTGTGGAACAAAAACATGTAAGTTACTTACATGACCCAGACATATGCATATACATTACATACCCACATGCAAATTCACACAGTGTGTGACAGAGAATCAGTTCTTATTTTAGAATATGGATTATTTTAATCTTATAAAAGGTGAAAACTCATAACAGTTATTGACATGAAGAAAAGAATTGTGAAACTGGGTTTGAATTTTAGCTAAGGCTGCTTATGTTCACTTAGCCTGTGGAAAAATGAAATAGAATCAATAAACAAAATAATAATGAATAATAAAACAAAAAAAAACAACATTTTCCCATAATGCTAAGAGTAAAGAAACTGAAAATATGATTACCCCACTTGGTTTCATAAAATGCTCTTAGGTGGCACTGTTGAAGTCTATAAAAAGGCAAACATTTCCTGCCTCACTCTCTTTTTCTGCAAGATGTATGACCCAATGGTAATTAAATCCCTTTGGGGAATGTTAGTTTCCCCAGTCAACTGAACTCACCTTTGACTTTCCAGCTCATGGTGCTTGTACATGTCTTCCAAAAATCTCCATCTATGAAGTAAGTCAAGCTTTCTCTTTGGTTGTTCCAAATCACCACAAGGCCGACTTGAGCATGACTATAATGATGCTTATATTTGCTTATCCTAATCTGTATCAAGAAAAAGAAAACAGACATCCCATAACTGTGTTTAAACCTCCCAGTGATAAAGTAAATACAAACCTTCTTTTGGTTGTTCCAACTCTGTGTAAGACTGACTTCAGCTCAGCCATTAATTCTATGCTTATACTTACTTATTCTAACTCTGGGACTAAAAGGAAATACCCAAGAGACATTAAAATGTTTGTTTCATTAAAATCACCCTAAAAAAGAATAAACAGTCTATAGTAAAAGCCAAGCTTTTATATACTTCTATCTTCTTTGTTTACATATGAAGACTCACCTCACATATAATATACACAAACATGCAACCTGTTAACTTCTCCATAAGCCCTAATGGTAATGTTTGCTGGCTTACAGCTACATCACATTAAAATACCAGTTCCTGTATGATCATCGAAGTTAAGCAACATTGATTATGGTCAGTACCTAGATGGGTGACTGCTTAGGAATACCAGGTGCTGTAAGCTTGGATGTGCTAGTGGTATGATGGATAATGGCTCGAAATTGTTAATCGGGGAGTCAAGTTCCAATTCCAATTGGGTTCATTATATTTAATTACGTACATATACTCTTGGGAAAGGTACAAATCCACCTCTTCTCATTAGTAAGATTTGTATCAGTAAAATCATTATCTCCCTCCAAATTTACAATCTAAAAATATTTTCTGGCTTTAAATAACCTGCAAAGGGTTGATAAACCATAGAAAACAATCACTCAATCAATATTATTATTATATAATAGTATTAATTACAATATTTAAAACAATATCTTTATATACATATATATTTTGTCAATGTTATGGAATATGTTTTATTAATTATACTTATATATATATATATATATATATATATATATATTTATTTATTTAGTTTATGGAAAACTAGGTAATCCATATGGGTAGACCCAAGGAGGATAAAATCTAGAGAGCTCAATGTAAATCCAAAGCAAATAATTTAAATAAAAACAGACCACTTTAAGGTTCCATGTAATAAATTATTTCACCACAGCCCTTTTAAAGGGCTGCAGATCATCAGACTTTACTTCCAAAGGTTGAAACGAAAAATGAAAAGAAATTTACACATTGTTGATGGGCCGTATTAAGCATATGTAAATTAACGAAGTGAGGAAGTCAGGGGGGAGAGAGAAGACATGAGTGAGTTAGATGTAATTTAATATTTCTATTCTTTCATACTTAAAATTACTTGAGGAGGTCCAGACATTGACACATTTAAAACAGTTAACTTAACAGAAGTTATATATTGATATAGAAGGGGTAGAGGAGAAAAAACACATAAAAAGAAAAAGAGAGAAGGAAGTCATGAGAGAAAGTGTCACTAATTTTCTTTGGAAAGAACAGGCTCGAGAAAGATGCTGTTATTTTGTTTTACTTTGAAAGTGTTATTTTGGGGGTTCATAAAGATTATAATGTTTGATATAAATTTGAAAGTCTAAACTGTCTACAAAGAATTTAATTTGATGTTTGTTAGTGATTTAGATTTTTTTTTAAATTTTGGGGATTTTCTATGAAATAGTTGATTAGAAAAAAGGTTCATACAAAGTACATTAAAAGAATAAAATTTTATTTTAAAATATAAGTTTACTTCTAGTAATCTTTTATTTTTAAAAAATTTTTTTATTATTGATTATTAAGTTGACATCTCTATCCGTTTGAATTTTGTTCATGAATTTAACTCATGACTATTTTTAGCTGGGTATAAAAATGGTTTTACTAGAGGAGAGTTTATCCAACTGTTTTATAGAAAAATTATTTTTTTATTTCTGGTTGTATAGTAAAATTAACTTTTCTATTTTATTTACCAATTAAAGGAAATATAAAAAATATATACTTTGAAATTCTTAAAACTGGTGACCTTTTTATTGTGGAAAATAATTCTTTTCAATTAAAAATAGTTATTTTTTACTTTGCTTTTCGTTTTCAGGACAACTCTTTAGCTATTTTAGAAGATTGGAAAGATAAGTTAAAAAATAAGCAAATAAAATGTTGTTTGCTTAAAGGAGAAACAAGCACCCCAAAGGGAGGTAAGTCAGAAGAGAATAATTTTATGCACTTTACACTGACTACTTTAGTTTGTGGCTTTAATTAATCTCTGCAGGTTACAGTGCTGCTTTCTACTTGTTAATAAGCATTGACTGTATTTTAAATCTGGCATTAAAAAGATGTACAATGTTGTTACATATGCAAATGCCTACAAAGAACAACTTGTTTGCTATTCCATTAATTTTTCAAACTAGTATCTTCATTTTTGTTCTTTTAATCACAAGATAGCAAACTTGGACCTTTGTGCCTACAAAAAATAGAGTGTCAAAAGGATGATTTTTCCTTTGACACTGCTATCATTTTGACTACATTCTCTTCTCAGCAATGTTTATTGTTTAAAAAAGTAATGATGAGAATTGTAATAAAACCTAAACATGAAAGTGAATTTATATATTTTTTGTTCTTGTGAATTTATAATTAAATATGAAACACTTTATTTATTAGATTGTTTATTTACAAGAATAATTTTATATTTACAACATTCTAAAAACTAATACAATTAAAACTAATGTAATTTATGATTTACTAATTTATAAAGAAATATGAAAACTTTTTATTCATAAATTAATAAACATTTACTAAATTATTAAAATATGTGAACCCTTTTATAAAGTTCAAATCAACTGGCAATTAGCTAATGTTTTGCCAACCATTCCAATAACCAATATAATAAATAGTGTAAATAAACAATCTAATCAATAAATAGTGTTTATTATTTTTGTTGTCAATTCTCAAGAACAAGGAAATTGTATAAACTCACTTTCTTATGTTTAGGTTTTATTATAATTCTAATCATCACTTTTTAAAACAATAAACATTACCAAGATGTGAAGGCAATTAAAATAATTGTGGTGTCAATGGAAAAATCATCCTTTTGACAATCCATTTTTTTGTGGGCATAAAGGTCCAAGTTTGCCCACAAGATTTTGGCTGATATATTCTTTGACCTTCTTTAGGTATATGTTGCATTTTTAGGTGTCACTTAGTACTTTTCATTTTTATCTACAGCAGCATAATTTAACAATTTCTGTCTGAATTTCTGGGATAAGGGTTATCATTATTTACATCAGGACCAATGTCCTCATCTTTTTTGTTATTACAATGTTTTGGTTGTTGTGCTCTCTAATTTTTTCATGTGTCTGTCAATCCATATAAACCTTTATTTAATCTACAGAGGTAAGTTGTTCTCATTCTATTGTCCATATCTAGGCATATTGTGTCTTGTTCTTATTAATACTGCTCAGTTGCTGCTCATCCTGTTTTCACTTAGTTTCAGTTTGTTTAAGGCTTCAAGTTCTGGCTTCAGGATTGTCCCCTGTAACAATAACCTCGTGGATTAAAACAGTAATGGACATACATTTTTGGGGTTCTGAATCTTGAACAGATATGGAGGCCTCTTTGCAACCAGCAACAATAGATTCAAGGAGGCAACTGCCAAAATGTAGGCTATGAATAGATTCTAGCAAACTCAATGAGCCCATATAGCTGGGCTACTGCAAGCCTCCTGCAAGAAAATTTTTAAATTTGACTAATTACAGGGGAATTTTGAAGCCATGTGAAATGGATATTAGACCATATGCTAAGGCCAACATTAGCTACTTCAACACATTGGTTTATGATTCTATCACTAAAATACCCTTTAAAAAAAATATTGATTTTGTTGAAAAATTCACTCATTAAAAAAAGTTGCTTCAGGGGCCCCTCTGGGACTAAGAGCCCTGAAGTTTAAGCTTCAAAACTTCATAGTAGATCTGCCACTGCATTAACATTTTGGTTTGTGAATTTGTTGACATAGTAATTATGAGTTCAGTCCCTTAGACACATGAAGACATTAGTCCAAATGTAAATAATGAACATAGCCTTTGTTTAAACCTTTTCTTTCTACAAATAACTGTTTTAATATATTGTTTTAACATGGACTGGATGTTGGATTAGCAAGTTTCAATAGAGAAACTAACTGCAAGGTTTATAATAAAAAAGAAAGAATAATGGTATTATAGGAATTAAATCCTTTATATATTTTTCAACCAATAAAATCCCATCAGGTATATTGGATAAACAATTATTACTAAGGCAAATATTGCCAAAATATTTGCAGACATAGTGGTAGACCTACCATGTGTTATTTTTGGACCATTTAGAAAATAACAACTTCTTTCACCACTCTCACAAATTTGAAAAAAAGTTTTTTGCAAGCCAATGTGAAATTATTTTCTAAATAATGAAAACCTTGTAATCAAAAAGTTCACACCTCTATTTTGAATCCCCTTATGGATATAAAAATAGCACCATACTACTTCTCAAGGCTCAAAACAATTTTGGAGGCAAGTGTGATCTATATGTGCAAACACACACATGCACTGAATGGAAGAGACAACAGCCAGCAGCTGCTAAGGCCTTGTCCAGGCACACAATAGAAGGGAATGATCAGCAGTTGCCTACTAAGCTTTTGCCTATGAACACACAAACACATTAGGCTTGTCTACTACTATATATTTCATAGGAAATAAAATAGAATTATTTTCTAATAAATTGATTGTTTCAAGGATGTGAATCCATATTTTTTTTCAGTTGGATATGCAAGAAACCGAGCTGTTGAAAAAAGTTCAGGAAGATTTTTATGCTTTTTAGACGCAGTAAGTTTGATTTTATTTTCAAGTTGGAAAAAAAATTGTTCTGTCTATTCATTGACTCCTGAGAATCTTTATGATATTTAGGTATAAATTTGTCATTTTTTAGGATGATGTTATGGCGAAAGAACGAATTCAAGTTCAGTATGATGCAGCTCAAGAGCACCCAGAAGCAGTGAGTTTATACTTGGTATTTTAAATCATACTTTTATGAAATATTGTATTTTTATTATCAAGGGGACATCCAACCATAGGATAATGATCAGCTAAGCTTAGTATAAGAGTATATCATCCTAGGGTAATGATCAGCCAAGCTTAGTATAAGAGTATATCATCCTGGGGTAATGGTCAGCTAAGTTTAATATAAGCATATATCATCCTAGAATAATGATCAGCTAAGCTTAGTGTAAGAGCATATCATCCTAGGGTAATGGTCAGTTAAACTTAGTATAAAGTATAAGTGTATGTCATCCTGGTGTAATGGTCAGTTTTTAGAAATCACTACTACTGAGTAATGAGTACAGTTTTCAGTAAGTGCCCTATATTTGTAGCTTTATATCAAAACTAACCTAAACTTATTATAAGACCATGTATTCTTGGTGTAATGGTTAGCAAGCTAGTCTTGTAAACTATTGCTTGTATAATGTGTTAGATTATATAGTCAGTTCAGTCCTGACTTGATACTTCCACACTTGCACCAGACTAAGCTAAGTTTAGTAAATACCTATAATTGATATTAAACTCTCTAATTTCTTATACTAAATGACTTCTATTAATAGTACATATGCTACTCTATAGACTCCCCTTTGAAGTATAGGTTCACAGGAGTTTCTAGGTACTCCTGCAAAAGTGAGTGCAATGGCCTTGGCTGGAATTTGAAGTCAACACACCAATCCTACTTTCTGTGCTAATAACAGAAAGTCACATGAAATAAAATTTTAAAAAATTAGTATGATATACAAATAAAATGCAAATTATTGTGTACATTTTTTTTTTAATCAATTCACTCCAAGAAAGGTAATAATGCTACTAAAATGCAAGAGGCTACTGGGAGAATACGAAAACTTTAGAAGGAACCAGAAATCCAATTCTAAAAAGGAAATAAGGGATAAAACTCTACTCCTGCTCAAAAGACCAAGAAGGAATGTTAACCAAATGGGTATTTATTCCAAACCTGTGTTTTATTAAAGAGAAGGAAAACTAAAAATGTAAAAAGGATTTTAAATCCCCACTGCTTTGTGGCCATACCCAATCATGGGAAAGGCTTTGTGAGTAAACCCTGAGGACAAATCCAGAGCTGGAATCCCTAAGACAGCCCAATATTATGTGGAGAATGGGGACATGCTGCATGAGCAGCCACTGATCTCATAAAATCTTGCCTAGGCCTGCACCCTAGAGAAGACACTCCAGCATCATCTCACTGTGATGGAAAACAGTCTACTGATGGGAGGATTCTGAAGGTCTCTCTGTACAGGAAATTGGCCACTGGCAAGCAGGCAACCTCATCTTTGCTTCAAGGACATCTGCAAAAGGAGCATGGACGAGAGGTGGAAAGCCATTGTCAGCAATTGCTCATGCTGGAGATATGATTTATAAAGGCTGGAGTGATGAGAGAAGAAATGGTGGCTTGCTGCAGGGATACTGTGCTGCCATCAGCAGCTGTGACACAACTTTTTGGGCACTGATCCATGGTCTCTTGAGACTGACAGATGCCACAATTATACACAAAATTACACAAAAATTAAAATAATACTGACACTTCATTTTAACAGATATATTTACCAAAATTACGCAAAAATATCTTGGAATGCTAAAGAGTAAATTTATTCAATAAAATCATCATTGACTTTAACTATGGCCTCCAGACAACTTTGGAATCTTCTACAATCTTTCTTGACGGTCCTCTTGTTTAAATTTGTGAATGCTGCTATAATTTTTGCCTTCTGTTTATCATTGGTATTACAAGGAATTTTGTTGGACTCTCTCTCAACTGTACCCCACACATAATAATCAAAGGGGGTTGCAGCAGTCTAGGGAGTTAGGTAGCCTGATGTAAGGGGTAATGTGATCACAGAAATTGTCTGACAGCCATGATTGGGTTCTCCTGCTTGTGTGGCATGGTACAGAGTCAAGTTGCCTGGTGTAGAGTCTTCCAGCAGCTACCCTCTTGATCCAGAGCAGCACTACCTCCTCAAGGCTCTTGATATAGGCCTCTGTGTTGAGAGGCCTTGTGGAAAGATGAATGGAGGAATAACATCGCCATCATTACTGATCACTCCAAACACCATGATGTTGACTGGATATATTATCCAAATCTTTCTGAATCCTCTGCACTGTCCTCAGATTGACACTCAAACACTCTGACGTGTTCATATTGGAGCTTCCAACGCAAATGCCAAGCAGAATAGCATGCCGTTTCTATATTTCTGGTGAAGTTAATTATGTCATGGTGCTCTTTTTCTTACAGACAGTGCCAAACTGACCCTACTATACTGTGCAGTCGACAAAATTGAAAACAAACAATGCACATGCGTGAAATTAAAAATACAAAATCACAACAATTTACCCATTGCACCCATGTTATGTTTTAGTATTAACTATAATTCCCAATAATACCCCATCCTAGGTATGCCGATAAACTACATCTGCATCCTGAGTAAGACAAAAAAATATGTCCAACAGCAAGTCCTCCAATCAGGAAGTTTTGAGGAACTTCGAACAATCTCCTAATTGTTGGTGTTCCCAGGTCCACCCTGACCCAGGGTGGTAGCACCTGTAAGGGTCCCAGCTATGGGTAAATATTTAACCCCCAAACTGGGTCAAAACACTATGAAAATAGGTTTTAATACCAGAAATACTTTGTAAAAAATTATTACCAGGAATAAATTTTTGAAAAAAAAGATATTACCAGCAATAAAAGATTTTTAGCATTAAATAACCTCTTAAGGTTGATATGCTGTAAAAGAAAAAAAAACAAACAAACCAAACCCAATAATACCATCTTTTAATTAAGAGCAAGACAGAAAATTATAAGGAAATCAATTTTAAAAATTTAACCAGCACAAATGTTAATTTCAACTGATATGTTAGGCATTAAAAAAATGCCTATCACCAGAATGTGTTGGGAAAAATCAGGATTAAATTGACTGTAAAAATTTCATGAAGAAGATATTAAAAAAATAATTTCAGATTCCATGTTTCTATAACAGAAGTGTTGATGCAAACAGTGTATCCAATTTGACATGTATCAAATATGATGGTATAAGAAATAATTCAATGATATTAGTGAATATGGTATAATGATGTATACAGACATTGTATGCTAGGGTTGGGTTGCAAATATTTGTTAACTAGTGTATATGACCAAGGCAGAAAACCACAAGAGGCAATCAAAAAGTGTTTTATTTCCAATTTATACATTTACACAAAAGCCTGTCATCAGAGCCTATTAGAAAATCAAGCTTCTACTAATAGACATTTACATGAAGAAAACCACAAGAGAACAATAAGTGTCAAAATATTTGTTGTTGGTCTTTAGTCAGATACTAATTTTATTGATGCAAGCATGGAAGGTTCAAAATTATATTTTAATATGTGACTGTACATATGAGGCATGCATGTAGTCTAACAAGTATTCATTTATATAAGGAATTGTGGAAGTGATGAAACGTTTTTATTAATACCTTATTCTCAGGATATAAACTTGAGAAGAGACATCAAAATGATGATCTACTCATCAGTAAAATCAGTTCCCTTAATTGCACTAGTTTTTGATGATCAGTACACTTAATTCACTTTTCCCTTACACTTTTTGTTTCATATCAGCCTCTTACTGAATCTTGTGTATATTGTAGTGTCTTCTTCTCTTAGGATACTGTCCCTAGTTTATACAGTTTCCTAAATATTGATTCCTATTTTTTTGATAATGCAACAATCATGGTCACTGACACTCTAGAATTTTCTGTTTGTAAGTTTTTTGTAACTTTCAACTCTTTGCCCAGTTATTCCATTTCAGTATTTCACTGCAAGTGTTCCTATTGGCAGGAAGATTCAGGTTCATGTCCTATTCTTGAGAAGTCACTCTAATGAGAAGCAAACAAAATTAAAAACAGTTATTAAGAATTATTTTAAATTGTCAGGGTCAGTCAAAACCCAGGATAAATGAATTGCAAGTCACATCAAACAAATCAAGGTCATAACACTTTCACTGTCTTGGATAAAAGTGAACATGTCAGATTAGTTTTATATATATATATATATATATATTTGTATATATATATATATATATATATATATATATGTGTGTGTATATATATATATATATATATATATATATATATATATAAAAAAAAAAACAAATGCAAATGAGATCAGTTTATAAATACATAAGAAAAACACCACCCTACCAAAAATCAAATTGACTGACCATGCCTCATATTTAAAATAATTCTTACATGTTTCCACACATTGGTATCAAATCTGCAAGAATATTTTCATTCCAAAATTGTTAATAAAGAAATGTTTTTCCTTACAGATACTAAACATAACTCAGTCTGGTACAGTCACTTAGTAGTAATTTTGGGTAAGAAGATTGTGTTGCATTAGTCTTCAAAATGGAGAGGACCTGCCTACTTTAATCTTTATCATTCTGTATATGATTACATTTACTGTACAAAAAGTTTATCCTGCCACTGAAGGTAACTCTGATCCCTGTAAAAATGTGTATTTGAATTTCATAGTTCTGTTGTCATATCTTGCAAAGGCAACAGAAAACAATTTTGAGTGAAATTAATAATAAGGATACTGCAATCAAGAGGCCTTGAAAAAGAATGCAGTGGAAAGGGAACACAAAAACAACACAAGACATGGTAAAGTTAACAACTTCTTTATTCAAACTCCTGCTGGAACGGTCTTACTCCCAGCAGTCCCTAGTGAGACCAGAAGTTCTCACAATTATCATTATAATCATTATTATTGATGCTGTTATAACAATGTGTTTAAATTCAAAGTGTTCACAAAACTTTATTAAAAAGAAAAAATGCAATAAACAAAAGAATCTTTTTCTCCTTTAACCCATTTGCATTCATTTTCAGCTGATTGGAAGTGGCTTCCATCGAGAACCACCAGGTTCTACTCAACGTTATACACAATGGGCCAACACTCGAACAGAAGAACAGCTTGTGAATCAGGTACATAAGTTCAGCTTCATATTCACTTTATCTAACACTGTAATCCTGTTTATTTCAGCATCTAATTTGATTCTATTTTTTATATGGTTCATTTTATCTTTGACATTAAGATAAACTGTTTTCATTATTGCACATATTTTTACTTTTAACTTGTAAAGAAAGGGGATAAATTTTCTATCTATTAACCCAGCAGATTTTTATTACTTAAACATTATTTTTAATGGATACTCATGTTTGAGTAGATGCTCCTTTTATTTATTAAACAGTATATTTATTTATTTTCATCTACCAGCCTTAATATTCAAAAATTGGAGAAAAATCTGTGTTTAAAAGCACTATTCAGGTTGACTTGGTTATCTATAGCCGTGAGGTCAATGTACATCAGATCTAATGATGGTTTCCTCTAGAGGAATGCAGGTTCGAATCCTACCAAAGCATGCTTATTTTTCTCTAATAAGATTTCTTGAATATTCATGCCAGTAGACAAAAATAAATATACTTTTTAATAAATGAATAGAGTGCAAATATGAGTATCCACTAAAAAATAATATTCAAGTAATAAAAATATTTACAAGTGTAATAAAACTCTTATACAATTTCTACTGTTCTTAGCAACAAGACTCCCATAACTGAAAGACTAAAAGTATTGATTGTTTTCTAAAAAAAAATACAACTCTGTAAGTCTTATAGCAAGCTCATATAAGTAAAATTAAAATTTAAAATTCTTATTTTCATTAATAGAAAATTTACAGATGTAGTGGGTCCCAATAAAAATAAAATATATTAACAAAAATAAAAAGGATTCAAATTAAAATAAGGTATTTGCACTTTTCTCTAAAACCCTTATCCCTTTCTTTCTTGCTTTCTCTCTAAACTTATCTTACTATACTTCTATCAACTAATGGCAACACCCAATTAAAATGAGGAAGAAGAAGAAAAGACAGAACCCGGCCAAAAAACTCCAGAAGTTTGAAAGAGCAGAGCCTACTTATTTGTAACTGAAAAATATCAAAAATAAGGGAGGCTACATGCATGACTTCCATTATAAAAAAAATGAAAAAGAAAGGAACGCTGGAAAATAAAATAATTTTGGCCAGTCAAAAAAATTGACAGAAAGAGACTTTTGATGTTAGCCTAAACCAGATGTTCTCAACCAGGGGTAAATTTACCCCTAGAGGGTAAAAAATTATATAGTCAGGGGTAAATAATTGAAGTAACTGATAATTTAAAAAATAATTCAATTAAATTTAATTTTGTAAAATGAGAGAGAGAGAGAGAGAGAGAGAGAATGCAAAGAAAGTGTGGGGGAGGAAGGGAGATAGTCTGTCAATCTTGTTCAGTCCTGTTTGGGCATGCTCACTGTTCACCCACCAGTAACACCACTGTTCCGAATTTAAGTTGATCTCTGGCAGTGACCTGGAGCAGATTCTATTCTCTCATTGCTGTATATTACTGCTGCTATGTAAGTATATTAGTATTATGTTCTGAGAGTAATACTATAAGTTTGTATGCATTTATTATGATATTTCATTAAATTAAAAGTAAACATTAATTGAGAGCTTTGATAAGAACGAGCCTGGCATTGATAAAATCCACAGAGAGTGTTACTGTTAACTGAAGAATCAGTCATGAGTGGCAATATTCTGGATATGTTTTCAGTGAATGGAGAATTAGTCACATGACTAATTCATAATTATTTCTTTTCAGATTGTGTCATGTCCAAGAAACGTACATACCTGGATTCATATGTACAATATGGCTTTGACTTTGTTGTTGTGGATGGTGTGGAGAAGCCTCAGTGTCTGCTGTGCTTAAAAGTTCTTGGAAATGGGTCACTGAAACCTTCAATACTGAAACAGCATCTGGAAGCTTCACATCCTGTCCATGCATCCGATGGCCATGCTACATTTGAGTCAAAGAGAGCTAGGTTTAGAGCTGCAGGAACACTGGCCAAACTTGGCTTTGTATCTGAGAAGAAACCAATGCTTGCAGCTTCCTATAATGTAGCGCTGCGAATAGCAAAGGCCAAGAAACCTCATGACATTGCCAAGAAGCTGATTAAACCTTGTGCCTTAGACATAGTTGAACATGTATGCGCGATTAAAGCAAAGCAGATGATTCAAACCATTCCCCTTTCTAATGATAAAATCCATCGGCATATTAGTGAAATGTCTCAAGATATTTGTCAACAAGTTATTGAACAAATCAAATCTAGCCCAGCAAAAATATCTTTGCAACTTGACGAAACCTGTGATGTAGCCAATTTTTTACAACTTCTTGTTTTTGTCCATTACGTGTGTGGAAAAGAACTAAAAAATGAATTTCTCTTTTGTGAACCTCTCCAGCAAACCACAAAGGCTACTGATATAATGCAGAAAATACAAGACTTCTTTTGACAAGAACAATCTCACGTGGGACATTGTTGGCTCAATCTATACTGATGGAGCTCCAGCCATGATGGGAGTGAGATCAGGCTTCACTGCACTTGTGAAGCAAAAGGCACCCCATGTAATAATAACACATTGTTTTCTTCACAGACATGCATTAGCTGCAAAAACTCTTCCTGAAAATCTGAAAATTGTTTTGCAGAAAGTTGTTGAGGCTGTTAACTTCATTCAGTCCCAAGCATTGAATCACCATTTGTTCAAAGCTTTTTGTGATGAGATGGACTCTGAGCATTCCATTCTTTTACTGCATACTGAAGTAAGGTGGTTTTCACGTGGACTTATTTTAAATCATGTGTTTAAGCTCTGTAGTGAGGTAGAAATGTTTCTTCATGACTGGAATTCAAAACTGTGTGAAAATTTTTCTGATCCCAAGTTCATCGCCTGTTTGGGGTACCTGTCAGATATATTTACCCATCTTAACCAAGTTAACAAACAACTCCAAGTAACATCAGTAACCATTGTTGAAGCAAGTGAAAAGATGACAGCATTGCAGACAAAGCTGGACTTATGGGCGCAGAGAGTTCACCAAAGCAACTTTGCAAATTTCCCAAATTTGGATGAGGTCATTAGTGAAAGTCCTGGAGTGTTACCTGGGATAAATGAAGACATCACAGACCATTTGAATATCTTGAAGAATTACTTCACTGGCTACTTTTCAAAAGACATGATTCCAACAGAGAGATGGATAATAAGACCTTTTGCCACTGAACTGTCAGAAATAAAAGATTACAGCCCAGTAAAAGATGAACTGATTGATCTTCAATCTCCTGCTACTCTTAGAGAAGAATTTGAAAAAGTTGGTGTTAATTTTTGGATAAAACTCACAGATTCATTCCCACTCCTTACTCAGCGTGCCTTCCGAGTGTTTGTTCCTTTTGTCACTACGTACTTATGTGAATCAGGGTTTTCATGTTTAGTAGCAATAAAGACAAAGGCCAGAAACTGCCTGAAAGCCGATGATGATATGAGAGTAGCATTATAAGAAACAGCTCCTCACATAAACAAACTGATTGACTCAATGAATCAGCAGTTTTCCCACTGATAATGCTTCTGGTGTTTCTGTTCATTATTTTTTGTAATACAAATTAACTTCATAATTTTCTATTTAGAAAAGGTTTGATTTTCTTCTTTTATACAAAACTTAAAGTCCTAAAAAATAAAAAGATTCTTTCTGACCTTCTTGTTTTTCTGTCACTTTATGACATTGATGTACAAATGAATGATGGATTACTAACTTTTTGATCAGAATACTGAATTTTCAGTATTTGTCAGTATTTTTTATTTCTGTTTTGGTATTTTTACTAATTTGCACAATTTTTAGTCACAAATTAGTCAGTACTAATCATAATCATTCATTCAAAAAAAAATTTTTTTTGGTATTTTCCAAAAATTTTTTAAATTGCCAAAAACAAAAATACTAAAAAAAAATTTTTTTTTGAATGAATGATTATGATTAGTATTAATTTGTAGATCTACTAATACAGCAGATAAAATGAATAATTTTTTTATTAATGACTACAAACCTTAATAAAAATACTGAATTTTATACAGAGTACTAACTTATACTAAAAAATTAGTAGATTAGTACTAAATAAGAAATCAGTATTTTGAGTGTCGCTTAGTATTTTTCTTTTAGGCACAGTATTTTGACTAAAAATAAAACCCTTAGTATTTTGAATGAAAAAATCATTCATTCATTTAGTCATGAAATTGTACATCAATGCTTTATTATGGCTATGAATTTTTTGTATGGGAGTAGGGGGTAAATGGAGAAATGCATAAAGCCGAGGGGGTCAATGATGGAGGAAAGGTTGAGAATGGCTGGCCTAAACCAATGTTTATTCCAGAATCTGGTCAAGAGGATAAAAAACTGATACCTCTGGGCTAGCAGCAGAAAGGATGGCAGGAGAGGATCGAACAAAAAAGGAGAAGTGGTGAAAGGATGAACGGAAATGCTACTGCATAAAAACCTACCATGCATGACGCATGAAGGAGCAGTTAAAAGGTCATCTACTAATTATATTTCTGCCCTGGTTAAGGTCGAGAAAAACACAGTATAATTCATACTGACCTATTTCTAAGATTATTACTATCTCTATCATGGTCTGACTTCACACTACCACTAACAGACATTTCTCCAGACTGCTACCAATATCCACCTTATTAACAAACTTTTTGCTACACTGAATGCTAAAGACTCACTCCTCACTCTAAAGAAAATAAATAAAAATATATTATTTTAAACACTTTAGTCAGTTTTATTCCAAAATTTCCAGTAAAGAAAATCTTACCACCTATCCACAGATATATATGGGCATCTAGACATGGAGTAATGGTTAGAAAGCTTTTTTGCTAGATCAATTACAACTGATTAATGAGTTCAATCCTCAGTGGGTGCCCCATACTTTCGGCCTTGTGTCACATCTAAGCCGGGCTTAGAAAATCACTATCCACAGATATATATTTGTTCTCTAATACACCTGTCTTATATACAAAGGTACAAATAGATATGCATATTACTCACTTCCAACACTTTGTTGAATGTAGCTACTTTTGTGTATCTGAGATTAAAAAAGTTTAAATTAGACTTTTGTATTTTTATATTCCTTTAGAGACTTTTATATTGTACTTGAAAATTTTCTGTTGTATTGCTCCACTGTACACATGCTATTTTTCTGTTCTTTTGATTTTAGCAACCTTTTGATGAAAATTTTGTATTTTATTCTTACATAAATTAATTCATATGCAAGCATAATTTATGTTATTAAATGCTTTTGTTATCATTTTATCTATACAATAAATTTTTTTCTCACTCACTCTGAATACATTGTTTAAGCTAAAATCATCTACACTGAACACTAACAAACTGGTGACTCCACGTGAACATTATCAACAAGCTTACTGCTAACAACCACACGTGTTTCTCTACACTAGTTTCTCAAACATTTTGTTTTTTTGTCCTAATGTTTTTAAGTTGATTTAATTTTCTTTGGTACTTAAATTAGTAGTAATTCATTTTTTGAGGGTCTCAGATAAAGTACTTTCATTATTACACTTTTTATTTTTAATTTTGATTTGTTTTTTTTTTTTCATCTTTTTGTTGATTTTTATAACATTTTAACTGATCTGTTCTTCTTTGACTATTAAATTGCAAGAATTCAGAATTAAGGTCTCATCATTTTACAGTTGAAATGTCTAGATGTAACTGTAAGTTCTAAGCTAACATTTTATTTCCTCACACTTCTTACTTATGCAACTCTCTTCCAGCTTCTTGCTTTCCAGTCAACTTTGATCTTCAAAGGTCAATCATTATCTTCTATCTTCTAAATTCCTGTTCTTTTATTATTCTCTCTTCTTAATAATGTTTTCTTTTTCTCATATTCTCTCACACTCAGTAATCCCTTGCATCTCAGTGGCTTTGTTGCTTTGCTTGGGATGAAATGATTAAAAAACAAAAGTAAGATTAGATGAGATTCAAACTTGTAATCCATGACACATAAAACTGCTTTTTGTCTTGTATCAATATTTATATGACTTTGGCCACCAAATCATACAAATTTACTTCTTACAAAGAATAGATCAGTTAAAATGTTACTCACTAAAAGATGAACATACTAGTTAAAATATAGATAATATATTTGATTTTTCTTATATTTCATCTGTTAAATCTATATTTTATTATGATGTAATGTATTTTTTTAAACGTCATGTGGGATGTGGAGGTAATGTAATGGATATCAGCGCATAAAGTGGTATTAGTAAGCCATGTTCAAATTTCAGACTAGTTTGTAGCATTTGCTTCTGCACTAATACCCTTGGGAAAGGTATGGACCCATCTCTTCCTCCAGCTGTGGATTAAATAGAAGGGTAAACTGGACTTTGGAGTCTTGGGTAGCAACCAATCTAAGAGAAGGAAAATTTTGAATTCCAAACCGTGGGGAAGGCAACAGGAAACCACTCCACTCTATTCTCTAAAAATGCATAGCAATTTACAGATAAATAAAGAAAAGGAATCTGTGAAGAGTCATGATTACCTATGTCCCCTTATTCATTTGAAAAATATAAAAAAATGACTTTTTTAAATAAAAAATATATTTCTTCTCTAGAGAAAAAAATATATATGAATGTTTCTGTTTCTAAAGCAAAAGATGCTTACACATATGATCTTCCTTTGTAAAAATCGGCAATAGTTTAAAATTCTGAAAATGTTACCTTCGGCAGAAAGTTACAAGATTCAAGAACCATTGTTTTTAATCATTGTTATGTATATGGTTTATGCAAAAGAAAATGTGAGTGAATAAGTGAGAACAAAACAAAGTTTTAATAAATAGAAATATTTCCTAACAGTTTATTTTGGTGTGTTTACTATTGTGGTTGCTTTCAATATATAAGCAAATGCCAGTAAAATAAGCAGTGATTATAGTCTCAGTTCCTTAGTTGATGTGGTGGGGTATAAATTTAATATTATGTGCTTGAACCCAAGAAAACCTTCCTCAAGTAATACTTCTTATTCAGGAGGCAGCTAGGGTCATCACCAGATGCCTGAAGTGTCCCCAAAAGAGGAAGTGCTGAGAAGGCTGAGTAATTTCTGTCCCTAGTCCACATATACATAAACTTGACCTTGTGTCAGGTTACCTGCTCCTAGGAGATGCTCCCAGGACTATAAATAGGCAGTGACATTGTCTATCATCCTCTTTCACACAGGGATGTCAAGATGTAGGTCAAATGAGGAAAACACTTTCTGCATACATGTACATACCTATCACTTCATTTTCTATAGGACTTTCTCCTACACCAAACTACACACACACAAACAATTCACTAGTTTAAATGTTTTCTTCATTCATGTTCATTGTTCAGTAACACGCAACAATATTCTGTCGTTTATGTATACCTTTGTTTTGTTAATACATACATTATCATTTGTTTGTAGACATATATTGGTTCTTGTCCTTTCTTTTTATTTTTTTATGTTGACTCACATCCTGAGTCTGCCATGTTTGTTGTGGGCATTTCAGGAGACACATGTATTTATCTCTCGACACATACACCAGCCCGCAACACTTATGTCACATTCTGCTTGAGTGAGCATGTGGTTCTAGTATTTGTTATAAGAAAGTGATGATTCTACCCTTTCAGCTCCAACAATTTTATTAAATCCACCAGGTGTTATTCTTTCTCACAAACCATGTGCTTATGTAAACAGAATTTTTTTTTTCTTTATAGATATACACTTCACATGGACCAACTATTGCTATGCCAACATGGTTCTGTTCTCGAAAACAATTTGACAATGTTGGGGGCTTTTCAGAAAAAGGAAAGGTATAAATTTACATTTTTTAAAATATGTTAGATAAACTTTGATAACAAAGTTGGATTAATTCTGTGTGAAATTATTGTTATGAAAAAAAATGACAGTTCTTTTATTAATAAAGTTAAAAGTATTGTTTAATGTTTGATTATATAAAAATGTTATAAAGAAACACTAGTGGCTGAAACACAAGATGCTGACATTCAGAGCTGGAGATATGATTTCAAATGACTCCTAATCACTTGAGCTATTAAGCATTCATTTATTGGAGAAAAGCATTCACCTGAAATCTTTTACCCATACAAACCTACAAATGAACGCATACTTAAAGGTAAAGAGGTAATTATTTTTGGCTTGCTAAGCCAAAAAGAATTTCTGCTCTCTTTATTTATCCATATAGCATATCATCTTAACACAATATTGTCACTATCATCAAACAGGAGGAAATGAGAAAAACTAGGCAATCCAGTTTCTCTATAATTACTGCCCAGGTAATAACAGCTATAGCTTCTATGTTTGTTATGTCTCTGCTGTAAAATATGGCAAGGGTGTGTTGAGGTTGGGGGAAACACGTAACTAATTGCACCTCCAGGAACTAAAGGATAACAGACAAAGAAGGGAAGAGACAGGAGGAAACAAAACAACACTGCCTCAGAAACCACAGCATGGTGAGCAACACGCAACAAAATATCAAAGAAAATGACTTCATAAGTCTCACTAACTGCTGACTTTCCCATCGCTTTTATTGACAGGAGATAGTTGACAGAAACCCAGATCATTACAAGTTGCAGAGAGGCCCATATTTAGATATGCCAAGCTATTCTGCTGTTAATGGTGAAAACCCAGATGTAACTGGTTTTGACAGACATGTCCACACACAATTCAGGGCCTCTTTTGTATCTGTACTGATGTGTGTTTGATACAGTCTCTGACAATAATGTAATTTGCTTGAATTTTATTTGAAGAGATTTACATGACATTTTTATATTTTTGAAATACTTTTTCTTGTTGTTGTTTATATTTTAATCCTTTGAAATATATTTTACAAAGTAGTTTTATTTTCTGTCTGAATTTCTGAGATAAAGAGTTATCATTATTTACGCTATTTACATAATTGTTATTGTGATAACAATGTTTTGGTCATTGTGCTTTCCAAGTGTATGTCAATCCAGCTAACCTACCGGGAATTTCAAACTGAATCCTTTATTTAATCTACAGGGGCAGACTGTTCTCATTTCACTGCACATATTTAGGGATATATTGTCTAGATTTTTTTTTTTTAGTACTGCTCAGTTATCAGTTTAATCCACTAAGCTATTCACTTTCCAAAGTACAGTAGCTTAGTGGATTAAAGCGTTGGTTCATGAATTTGGCAACATAGTAAGTGTGTGTACAATCCCAGAGCCTGGCAGTGGAAAGAGGATGAGCAATAACTGAGCAGTACTAAAAATAAGAACTAGATAAGATATCCCTAGAGAGAGACAGTGGAACAAGAACAGTCTAGAATAAATGAAAGTAAAAATTGATGATCCTCCATGTTGGTAATTCTACAGATAGTGAAGTCCTGTATTATTAGAGTCAAGAATAATTCTAATAAAAAATCTTTGTTAAAAACACTTTTATTTTTTAATTGATAGGGTATTCCAGAAGACTTGATTTTTTTCTACAAGCATCTTGATCTTAGTGGACAAGTGACCAGAGTCAATGCAGACCTCATGAAGTACAGATATCATCCAGAATGTACAACATTTAGTATTTCAGAGTATGTAATTCATTTTCATTTATTTCTTTATCTTCAATACCTTGATTTATTTTGAGATCAAACTCATTACTTTATTAACTCCTTACCTTACTGAGTCTTTTCACCTTTGATATTTCTTGGATAAATAAATTGTTGTATTCACTTGACCAATAGAGCAATGGTAGTGAAAAACACTACTTCTGTGGGTTTGATGTCTCCTCACAAGGTCAAACTATGGTTTGTTCCTATAGAAGACTTGTTGATAATTACTAGGTCAAGATTTAGCACAAGTCCAAATGGAGAGGAATGATAATAATGCAATAATGGCCTGCCAGCTTTGAATATAAGCACTTAAAATCACATATTTTTTCTTTTTTAACCTAAACTTGAACACAAACCACTTATGCTAGAAACAAATAGGCAAATATTTGGGCCATGAGATAGGCCCCAAATGCACTTTGACCTGCTTGATGAGTTATAAAGTTGTATATTCCCTTCCAGCATCAGTGGACAGTGTTTGAGCCCAGATAAAAACCAGAATGTTGAATACTGATCTCAAAGAAAGCAAAAAGCCCTCCCCACTTGCAACTCAATAATCCTTCTCTCATTTGATCCTGTGCTTTACTCACCTAAGCTTAGTAAATACCAATACAGCCTACAGCTGACCTACAGATCCATTATTAGTATTTTAATTAAAAAATGTTTTTCTTTAATAGAGATACAATATGGGACTTACGATTAGAACGGTTTGAGTGCAAAATACTCGCTCATTGGTCCCACTTGACAATTTGGAATGCAGGCAAAAAGGGACGCAAATTTTATCGCTCTTTAACTCCTGAGAATAAAAAAAAGGTAAGAACTTATTCACTTAATTTCTCTTTTACACCTTTTGAGTCCAGCTGCCATATTCCAAAGAGGTGCCACCACATAAAGTAGTGGTTAACAAGGTAATCTTATAAACCATTACAATTAGAATAAGTTAAATCCTGACTGGATGCCTCTATATTTGTGACCTTATGCTATACTATGCTAAACATGGAAAAAAAAGTCAGTAATGTTTAACCTTTGTGCCCACAAAAGGATGGTTATTCCTCTGACACCGCTATACACTTTTGACTCTCTTGTCAATGTTTATTTCACAAGATTATAAAAATATATGAACCAAGTACAATGTGATACTTATTATTTACTAGCAGTAGAGCCTGGCGTTGCCCAGGGATATAACAGTAAGAGATAGATCAAGTATCCACCATCATAAAGACTGAAAAATAAAATTGACAAAGATTATTGTTTAAGGTTGACGGACACGCATGTCTTAATTAGTTTTTTTTTTTTTACGAATTGGTCAAACCCAAACTCAAACAAAAACATTGTTTTCAATCGTTATGAGTCTACCGATTGAATAGAATTTTATTATAAACAATTGTCTTGTAAATGGAATTTTAAAGCATTCTGAATGTAAAAAAAAAAGAAAAAAGTGTGCAAGACAATAAGAAACACTACATGCCAAAAAAAAAAAGTGAAGTTTTGTTGAAATCGGTTGAAAAATTTAGGTAGCCTTTCTGTAATCTTTTAGTTTTACAATTTATGATTTTTACTTATTGAATACAGTAAAAAAAATTGCATATTTTGCTTGTGGTGATTCATAATTAGAATACTGATTTGAATATATTTTCCACTCATTGTTTCTAATATAAAAAATATTAACTTTATTTGGGTTTATTAATTATGATCTAACAAATCTTATTCATTTAGTAGCCTTTTGTAATAATAATCTTTTTACAATTAATGATTTTTTACTTATTGCATACAGTAAAAATATTGGACACCATGTGTATTTAAAGTAGTTTCGTTCCGGTTATTATTTTAGTTAGTTAGGACTTGTGTATGTTTAGATTTTATTATCTTTCCCTAAAGATAAAGAATTTATCCGATGTTTGTATTCGTACAATCAGTAGAGATCATTAGATTATTGTTTAAGGTTGACGGACATGCATGTCTTAATTATTTTTTTTTTTTTACGAATTGGTCAAACCCAAACTCAAACAAAAACATTGTTTTCAATCGTTATGAGTCTCCCGATTGAATTTTATTATAAATAATTGTCTTGTAAATGGAATTTTTAAAGCATTCTGAATGTAAAATGAAGTTTTGTTTTATCGGCTGAAAAATATAGGAAATCCGCTCCCATATTTAAAGGAAACCACACACACACAAACAACCCGATGTGAGTTGTCCCCCTTCCATTTTCACGATGTCTCTTAATCGTGTTTTCAAATTGATTTTGTGCAAAAACAATTATATTTTTCCCATTTTTGGCGCTGTTAGAACCACCACAAGGTAATTTTATGTAGTCCTGTGAAGTTTTGTTGAAATCGGTTGAAAAATGTAGGAAATCCGATCCAATATATAAACGTTACAGACACACACACACACACACACACACAATCTGCGTTTTATAATAAGTAAGATTTAAGATTTATTGTTTACCATTTTATAAAGAAATAAATCTGAAAAGATTTTTTTATTAAAAAATTTTTAAAAAATTACAAAATTATCAAAATATTTAAACTATCTACAGTGCAATATTTATTTTTTAACATTTATAAATAACTGAAAAAAAAAGTTTTTTATTCATTATTTTATAAAAATATCAATGAACTGTAGAACAAATATTTCATTATAATTGATTCACATATTTTTATACTCTTGTAAATATTAAATTCTTCTAAATAAGCAATCTAATAGATAAATAGTTTGTAATATTTTTGTTGTCAATTATCAAGAATAAAGAAAATGTATAAATTCACTTTCATGTGTTTGGGTTTTTATAAAATTTGAATCATTGCTTTTTAAAACAATAAACATTGCTAAGGGAATGAAAAGTATATACAGTAATAGTGGTGTTATATTTTTGTGGATTCAGTTAAAAGAGATTGGGGAGAATAGGGATCAAGTGACAACAAAGTACACCATAAACAAATGATGAAAACCAAAACAATTTTATTAAAATAAAAGAAAATTTTACTAAATATCAGAGATGCACAAATTTGGTAGTTTGTGCATCCGAAAAAAAAATAATTAATTCCTGGAAAAGTAACTTATTTTTCCAATGGTAGTTGTAGGAAAAAGATCAAATTTCAATCAGTTAACATGAGACATCACAAGAAAAATACTGCATGTACAAAAAGTGCAAATTACAAGGAAGAAGGTACAATAAAAGGGTTTTAGTGAGGTTGAATTCTGATAAAAGGGCAGATTTACCTTGAAGGTATAAAATGTGAATGTTCTTGTTATTTGATGTGAGTTGTTAAATTTGTGACAGAATCCAATCATGACTTCAGAGTCTTTAGTGTAGAGCATTGTTTTGAGAACAGTAGTTGTTCTGTCATGGAAATGACTATTTTGTTACAATAGTTGGGGTGAAAATGAGAGTTAATTTTGTTGTGTAAATGACAATTTGGTTGAGGTAACTTTGTTGCGGTGAGATTTCATGGCCACTTTTTTGAGTCCACACTCTGTCAAGTTTTCAGATGTTTTTAAAGAGTGTTGCATCTCTCACTCACGGCATCATGTCACTTACTCCTGATGATGGTAGTATTGCAGGGATTTTTTATAGCATTTCAGATTTCAACCAGTTTGAGTAGCCATTGGTTAAAAAATCACATTTATCAAAACAATTTATTGCAGTAGAAAAAATACTTGTTTTTCTTTAGTTTTCTTCATCTTCAATTGACTTCCTACCATTCCTTGGTCAAGGAGTTTTGCAAACAGGGTGGCAAGGTTCAGGTTACAGTAAATTATTTTATTACCTTCATCCTTTCTTCCAAACTACCCAAACTCTACTCAGAGAGAAAAAAAATTTAACATTGTCAAGGGAATAACCAACCTTTTGACACACCATTTTTTAGCAGGCATGAAGATTAAACATTGCCAAAAAGTTTAATCATTCATCATTCATTAAAATTAATTTATAACAATTCTTCTACTTATTCTATCTACCTAGAAAATGGTGTTAGTTTATTTAATATATAAAAGTAAGTTAATGGTATAATTGAATAATACATTAACCATTGTGAGAAATAGTAGAATAAGTCAAGACTAAGTGATGATCTCAATCATAGCACAGTTCAAAAAATATTTCTTTCAACCAATCAGTTGTCAATGTGTTTAGCTTTGTAACAATATGATTTCTCACACATCTTTAGAAGATAAGTAGATAAACTTCCTTTTGAGTCCACTCATCTCCAGTCCATTCTTGAGGCAACTGAATTGCCAGTGTTTTTTGGATTCATGTCCCCAGTTTGCCTTTGAATTGGAAAACATAAAAATTTTATCAATGATTTTAGATAGTCATAAAAGTACTCCTTTGAAGATTTGACCACCCATGTGGCTTTGGGGAGCGGGAATCGTAGCAAAACACGTTGCTATCACTGTAACAATCTGGGCTATCTAGTGCGGAAATGTCCAGGAAACTTGGGGGCAAGGAACTGTTGCCACTCTTGCCCCTCTGTCAATCAGTAAGTACGGATTTGCCCATAGTCAGGGTACGTGTGAATGGCATGCAATGTTTGGCTCTCATTGATATGGGATGTTCCCATGCAATAATCAGTGCAAACCGTTGTCAGGTCTGGAAGGTGTGACATGTGATGATTAGGACCATTGACGGGATGTCTCATGCGTGCTGCGGAGTTGGAGTGATTTCAATCCTAACAGATGGAAGTGATTGTGTTGAGGTGGATGCACTGGTGGTTTGTGACAAGCCTCTGGGGGTACGATTTGTTGATCGGAATCAATGCCATATATAAACTAGGCAGTGTTATGGTCATGCATACTGGGGAAGTGCAGCTCAGGAGAAATTGTGACTCATGTGCTGCCATTACAATTGAGGAATGCGATTTCTGTATTGCATATGACCAAGGAACAAAGACTTGGACAGCAGAATGGAAGTGGACAGGAAAGAAAGCACCAGATCAATTATGCAACACTGTTGCAGAATATACGGTGTCGAATAAGAACAGAGCTGCCTAAGAGAGTGAACTGGAGATGTGGATCGCAAATGGCTGGCTGATAGCATATCCGCAAGACCAATTGGGGCTCCCAAGAGGATTAATCCTCTTAATGGCCGTTGCACAAGCCACCAAGGCTAAGGTACGGCCAGTGATGGACTATAGGGAGATAAATCAATACATAGATGCCTTTATGGCGGATGCAGACATGTGTGCCGAATGAATGAGGGAATGGCGGCATCAAGGAGCTAAGGTGGAACTGCTTGACCTACGAAAAGGGTATCTTCAAATACGAATCCATGAGACATTATGGCCTTTCCAAACAGTTATCATCAAAGGAAAGAGGTACTGCTTGACACGTCTGGGGTTTGGTCTTAATGTGGCTCCCCTAATTATGAAATCAATCATTAAGACAGTGCTAGATCAGGATGAGCAGATGAAAAGAGCTGCATCGGCATTTGTCAATGACATATATGTAAATGAGGACATACTTTCAGCAAATGAAGTCAGGCACAGATTAGAATCTTTCGGCTTGTCTAGCAAAGACCCTATTCAATTAAATGATGGGGCTGATGTGCTTGGGCTTAAAGTCTGGGGGGAGCACAACACTTTGCAGTGGAAGTGAGGGAGCTCAATTCCAGGACTCCCCGCTACACTAATGCGAAGCTCAGTATTTTCCGTATGTGCAAAGTTAGTGAGGCACTTTCCTGTATAAAGGTGGCTCCATGCAGCCCCAGGAATGATAAAAAGACAAGCAAACATGATAACAAATGGGTGACATGACACTATAAAAGACAACCCTCTTATGCAGATGATCGTTGAAACACTGACTAGAGTGTACCAAGACAACCCCGTTCGAGGAGATTGATGTGTGACTGGAGAAGAAGACAATGCATGTGTTGATGCAAGCTCCCTGGAAATAGGTGTGGTGCTGGAAAATTGGGGAGTTATACTAGAAGATGTGTGCTGGCTTCGACCATGAAATGACATGCAACATATAAACCTGGCCAAATTGGATGCCGCGGTGAAAGGTATAAATCTGACATTACAGTGGTGGGCCAAGGTAGTACACCTATACACAGACTCAGTATGCATGTACCAATGGCTGCAGAATATTCTGACAGACAAGAGCCAAGTGAGGACGAAAGCTGCAGGAGACTGGCTAACCTACAGCAGCTAATTGAAGAATACGGTTTGGTAGTTGACATCACACTATGTCACAGAGGAACCTGGCCCATAAGTTGACTAGAGTATCAAAAAGATGGCTTGACATGTTAAAACAGGGATCAGAGCCACTGACGTGCATGGCTATTATGAGCTAGCTGACCATGGAACAAATCTATGCCATACATAGCAAGAGCTATCATCCTGGCGTTCGACGTTCGTCCAGAAAGTATGTCCTACAGTGACAAAAACAATAGTTAGGTCAGCCATATAAGGTTGCGAGGAATGCTGTGCAGTGGAACCTGTCCCAGTCCAGTGGAACAAGGGCAAGCTTGGGGTAGACAAAAACTGGTGGCAACTGGGCATGGACATGACACATCACAATGGCAATCAATTTCTAACTTTGACAGATTGCGGCCCAACGCGTTTCACTGTATGGCGACCACTGGTGCAACAAGATACAACAATTAAGAGCTATCTTCTAAGAATGTGCCCCCCCCCGGTTGAAATATTGACAGACAACACCCCAACCTTCTGTAGCCAAGATTTTCAGGACTTCAAGGTTGAATTGGGAGTACGAGTAAGGTACAGAGACGCATACACTCCAGAGGGTAATGGGATAGCAGAGTGGTGTCACTGCACCGTTAAAAGGATAGCAGCCAGAACATGGTGCTCCGTTCAAGAAGCTGTATATTGGTACAACGTCATGCCCAAAGATGATGTAACACCATCAACTGTGTCGGCCAATGGAATATATACATACAGACAGCAGATAAAGGGGATAAAGCAAGTAATGCCAAATATTCCGAAGAATACCAAAGAACCATATTAAATTGGTGATCTCATATGGGTCAAGCCCCAAAATGGACGTTGTACCACTAGATTTAGTAGAGGACAAGTTGATGGAGTTATTAGCTCCCAAAGAGTCCGGGTCAATGGTGTGCCACACCATGTGAAAAACCTTCGCCCACGACATGAGTTAAGCGCCTCAGAAGAGTGTCTCAGCAAAGATACGTCGTCAGATAGCGATTCGGAGACAACAATGTTTTGCACAATGCAGTCAGATGGTCTGCCCTCTGTATCAGAGAGTACAGATTCGGATGATGAGGAAGGTCGTGATAACATCGAAAATTTCAAGGACCCACAGAACGTAGACACGGCAGTACTGCCACCTGAAGCATCCCCTCCACCTCTACAAAAGAGTGCTCACCAAAGACGTTCTCCCACACCCTGTCATCTATGTGATCAGGAGATCAGGTTGGGAGTGTGATGAATGAGAAGCCTTACCTCCCGCAAAGCAAATTTGCTTGGCGTGTCAGGTCCTGTTGAAAGATCGCAACCGGCATTAAAAGAGAAATGGATTATTCCAAAATTCCCATATAGCGGGCAGACGTACAAAGGAAAAAATAGTAAAAAAGACTAAGAATTCAAACCAGCTTGAATTTATAAAACCGGAAGACTCGGGCAAACAAGAAGTAAGTCTTGTATGCAAATTTTAGTTGCCCGACGCAGACATAAATAGCAAGTCTGGTAGGAAGACGGCAGAACAAATTGTTGCCATGACGGCATACATACTAACAAGACTGAGAGAATAAGAGGTCACTAGCAACAGCTCAGTTGGTAGACTGGAGGACTGGACGAAAACAAGCACTTCAGTCATCGGAAACAATAGATGAACAGAATAACCAACAACTGTCTTATTTTTACATGTTGATGCAACTACTCTACCATGGATCACTGGCACAGAACAAGCAACTATGACAAATTGGTGACCACAAGAATAAAGTTTATACAACAAATCTAGCTGTATTCCATTTGGTAGCTTAGTATTTATGTTGTATCATTTCATCACTGAATTACACATTGTGCATGAATATCAACAAAAAACATATGCTATACTCTGCTTCAAATTAGATCTCTTTCTGATTCATTCCACATCAACACCTGTTGGCCTGATGTGAACATTACTAAAGCAAATCTTTAAAAGTTTCTCTCTGCGCAGTGACTCTGGACATCATATCCAGCTCACAAAACAAATCCCCACAAAAATATAAAATACAATTTGAATATCGGAACCAATCATGAATGTTGCTATTAAACAAAAGCATCACCAAGAACACTGAATCATGTATCCACCCTGACTACTCAAAACAAGCATGCAGTAGGCAGGCATGTAGTCATAGAGTTCACCAGTGTGCCCCAGAACAGACCCAACACAAGCTTCAATGCCAGGTTCTACTGATTCTCCCCATCCTCCAGGTCAATTTCCCTTGCCCACAAAGAGACATTCCAATTTGATACTCTATATTGGCAATAGAGAGAATTTTATTTTAACATGTCTTCTTTACATCTCGCCTCACTGACAGTACATTGTTGTTTTCATTTGTTCTTTTCCAACCATATGCAATATGTAATATATTTGATTAGATGATCACTATATATAGAAACAATTGTGTTGTTATGAAATAATTATTTCTCAGTTTTCTAAGCATTTACTAAGCTTAGTAAAGCACATGAGCAAAAGTGTGGAATACTCAATGAAAATCAAAATTACTGTAATACAAGTGTTTCTCCTAATGCAATACCTTCTATTTATTCCATGAAAACTACAACAGATACAAGGAGCACAATAACACTGATAGATGGAATAAGTTTTCAGTTACAAAACATTTTTTATTTACCCATCACATCAATAATTGCTATGGATTTTCACCAATGATAAATGTTTTGTATGTTGACAGCTGTGCAGAGCTTCCCAGAATATGGTGTGTCAAAAATATCACTGTCACTACTGTTGAAATGCATGACCGACCATCTGACTGTGCTCATATTTACAGTTTGGTCTCCATAATTATTCAGCAAGTTTCAGGGAATATCAATAGGTGCAATTTCTTCTGCATGGAGGAATTCAGTGATACACCTCTGCTTTGTTTGCCCCTTTTATGTTAGATATGATTTTGTCAGACACTGGCTTTTTGTAACAAGGCAAAAAAATTGTAGGTGATCATGATAAAGTAACAGGCATTACTTTCAGAACATCTGTCACAGTAATTGTGATACTAACTTGCTTATGACTATTTTATAATGAGATGCTCCTGATTTTTGCTATATTAAGCTAAGTTTGACACAAGGTCACAAGTGATAGGCACTCAGTGTTAATTGAACTTACTAAAGTTGTAAACATTTGTTGTTCACTCATTCTTGATAATGTCCTAAAAATGATGAGAATAAATATGAAAATATGAATAAAATAAGCAACACTTTTCGTTTGTTAATCAAATCTTTTAAAATTATATAATTAACAAAATTTTTCAAAGGGTTTATACTTCCAAATGACTTTCATAAATTTTTTTTGTATTGATTATGACAATGGGAATTCTTAAAACCAGTGAAATCCCAAAAAGATGCTTGTTTATTTAAGACCTCCATTTTTTTCTTAGGTCATTGCATTCTGTGATGTTGATGTCAAAAAAATCCAAAAAGGCATTTATATTTATGAAGAATCAAAGGTAAATGACAAAACTTTTAAAGCAAATTTATTTTAATAATAAAAAAGTTAATGCCATTGTTTTAGGTCAGTGGTTCCCAAACGGTGAGCCCCTGCTTCATAGGTGCAGCAGAAGAGGATAGCAGGTGAGGCAGAATGATTGAAAGACAATCAAAGATTTAGAAACAGTTTCAAAAAATTCATATGCCAAAAATAAATATTTCAAAATTTAAAATATTATTATGGATTACTTGTAATGGCATGCATGAGTCTCAGTATAAATAGTTATAATAATTATTAACCAATTTTCTCATTGTGATATTTTTGCATTATATCAAGTATTAAGAATATAGTAAGTAGTGTCTGCAAATTTGAAGAGAGAGTTATCAATGATAATGTTCTGACATCAAATCTACAGATATCTCCCTTTAACCCTCTCTCTGTTTTTATTTTTAAATGTACTTTTTATTACATAAAATTTTGTGAATTGTGATCAAATTTTCATTCTGAAAATGCGGCTCAGAGAAAAATGAGTTTGGGAACCACCGTTTTAAGTAATGATTTCTTTACAATAACCTTTTTGTTCTTTAATATGGTTATTACTACTTTCACTTATTACACTTTCATTATATCTTCTAATATTTAATCTACTAAGACATACACAGGTTCTGAACATTATTTCATATTTAAATGATAATATACTTGTTATTCTTTAATCCACACCTTCCTGCGTTATTACATTGTATAAGCTCTTTGAATATTTCATCTACAGTGGTAAATAATACTTTTGATTTATGTCTGGATTTCTAGGATGAGGAGTTATTATTATTTACACTATTTACATGCATAATATTTTTCTCATCTTTGTTGTTATTATCACAACATTTGAAATTCCCTGAAGGTTACCTAGATCGATAAGCACCTGATGAAGGCCAGAGGGCACAACAGCCAAAACATTGTGATAGCAACAACAAAGATAAAGGCAATAGTCTGCATGTAAATAACATAAGTAAAAATGAGGATGTTAGTCAGAAAGAATTGCTGAATCATAAAATTACCCAATCTCACAAACTCCTATTGTAAATAAACGCTTGGCTGAAAAAATATCCCTGCATCCCAAAACTTTTAGTTTTATGTTTACATCTTTTTAAAATATTCCTGTTTGTTTTCTTTTTTTTAGGAAGTACCCAAACCTCGAATTCCTATCATCCATTTTCGTAAAGCTAAACCACCAATAGTGTTGTGCATGAAAATGGTAATTATTTTTATTCTGCTTTTAGCTTTTTTTTGCTACAGAACCATGAACTGTGATTATGTCAATTTGAAAAAAGTAATTTTATATTTTAACCTACATTTATGAAAAAGCACTCATTTATATTTTGTTTTATAAATGTCAATTTGAAAAAAGTAATTTTATATTTTAAACTACATTTATGAAAAAGCACTCATTTATATTTTGTTTTATAAATGGCATCTGTGTTTATTTAATGATGGTATTATGTAAGTTGTTGTTTAAAATGAGTACTGAAAATGAAAGAGTTGAAGATCATGAATACAATCTCAGCATGGAATCTCCTTATCTTTCAATATGCAAAAGATTTTTATTCATTTGTAAAATTTTGACTCCTTTTTTTCTCAACATTCTACACTATTAATACCATAGCAGCAGACAAGATATTTTCATGTTAAAAAGAACAAATCCTTGCATTTGCTGATAAAGAAACCCAAAAAAATAACAAGCATTTCTACAGTTATTTTCTGAAGTATGAATAGATGCTGAAAGTTCACAGCCCAGTAAATTCTGATGTTTGGTCATTTGGTTACATTTTAAGAAGTAGCTTGGGCTAAGAACTTTTCAGCCACAACCTCATATTTTTCCTTATTCCATATACTTTGAGTTTCAGATAGATGGGCCAGGAAAATTATTCTTTTATAGAGAAAAATCTACCCAAGACCACCTTATTTCAATCACATCAATTTTTTTTTTAATATACAGGAAATTTCCTTTCTGCTGTCAACATATATATACATTCTCAAGATGTATCTATATATCTTTAGGAAACTTACATTAGCTGCTGTCAATATATATATACATTTTCAAGATGTAACTATATATCTTTATGAAACCTAATTGGCCACTGTCAATATATATATATATATATATTTTCAAAATGTAACTATATATTTTTATGAAACTTACATTGGCTGCTGTCAACATATATATACATTTTCAAGACATACCTATATATCTTTATGGAATTTACATTAGCTGTTGTGAATATATATATATATATATATATATATATATATATATATATATATATATAAAAACTTTCAAGATGTACCTATATATATGTACCTATATATCTTTATGAAACTTACATTGGCTGCTCTCAACATATATATACAATTTCAAGATGTATATATATATTTTTATGAAAGTTGCTTTCTCAACAAATATATAATTTTTCAAAATGCCATTAAATGTTGGCCCTTAATGTTTGTGTTATTAGTTAACTAGTACTTAGTGTTATTTTCAAACCAATGTAGACATATAGTAGTGTACAATACAACCTGTTTTCTGACATATTTTTATTATATTGTATTGTTTAGCTTAGTCTGTACTACAGAGTATCCAATAAAAACCACCCATGAGAATTCACTGTCAGCTTCTTTATAGTCATTTATTCCCATTAAATGGCAATTTCTTATTTATCCTAAAATGGGCCAGCACAACCAGACAACAATGCTATAACAGTGCAGCGGTGAAAGTGTAAATTTAAACTGCAAGCATTCTATGACAAAGCATTTCATTACTGAAAATTATTTTTAAAAATTATTTGAAAATATACCAGCCACCCCTTTCATTCTACCCACCCCATCTATTTGAAACAAGTGTATTCTGTATGGTATAAGACTGTATATACTTGTCAAAAACTATATGCAAAAGTAGATTGTACATTTTGACACAAAGCTAATTTTTCTGCCTGAATTTCTGGTATAAGGAGTTATCATTATTTACACTTGGACCATTGTCCTCATCTTTGTTGTTATTATTTCTTTATCAGTGAAGCCCTTTCCTTCTCAATATTAGTGGTCAATACAAAGCCATTTGAAGACCTTCAATCATAACACTTTGAACTTTCCATCCTTTCCACATGGATGTCGACTGAGGAGGGGTAGAATAGATTCCAATTCTGTCGGTTCTCTCCCTTTATTAGACTGGCATATTATATTTTGAGAAAAATGAAAAGAAATTAAATTCTGAAGATAAGATCCAACATATACCTAAGGAATATATGAACTGAAATTTTGTATATCTGAATTTGAATGTTTACTTTATGAATTTATCTATAAATTATTTTTTTAACAGGATCTTACCGGAGGGAATTTTGAAGAAAACCTTGCATCTCTGAAACTCAAAGAAAATATAGATTACCATTACTTTAGCTGACATTTTATTAACTCTGTAATTAAATAAATTTATTTTTATCTAATGATTTTATTATTGACTTGAATTTTTTTATCATGCAAAAAAGCATAAATACACTTATTTTGTGATAGCCAAGTAATTAAACAGTTTTTTTAAAGGATTCTAAAATGTATACAAAATGTAGTGTTCATCATTCTTCCAACTGTAAAGTATCATCTGTCATTTTGATGTTAAATTTGTTAATAATGTTCATTTGGAGGTGGGTCTCCAATTTTTGAAAAACTGTTCTTATGTAAGATGAAAGTCTTTTATTTTTCATTGAACAGTTCTTTATTAATATCTGTTGAATAGACAAAGGAAAACAAGGAAACATCATGGTATGGATAAAAACCTAACAAAAGCATTTAATAACTTGTCATGATTGGATATGTGACTGCAAGCTAATAATAGTTCCCTGCACCCATTCCCTTCAAATTCAGATGACTGGGGAAGTAGAAGGAAAGAAATCCACAAGTCTACGTGAAATTTTTTTCTTTTACATGAAATTAACCAGTGTGCAGAAAAGAATGAAAGAAATTCGCAAGCCTATGTTAAATTGCTTTTGGACCAATGAAAACCTCGCCTTAACAGAAATTGGCTGGTGAGCCAAGAAGGAAAGAAAGTAGCAAGCCTATGCAAAATTCTTTTTAATATAAAATGAGGAGAAAAATTAAATTAAAAGAGAAGAGTGTCTGAATTATGTGAAAGGTTTTGTTTCAGTTCCTCACAACCAGTGTTGAAGTTACTTGTCAATTATATTATCGGCCTTTAACCAGCATGCAGCACTACAAAGAATTTTCTCTCAATCCAAGGAAGCTAAGTATTTCAAACTATCTCTCTTTTGAACATATGCAAACTATATATTCCTTTGGTGAGCAACAAACTCTCTTACATTTTTCAATATTATTTTGTGCCAGATCATTTAATCTGATGCATGAACAGTTCTTCAGGACAATATGTTAAAACTACAGACTAAGAATTCTGATTTATTTTCCTGAAATGAGCTACTGACATTACTTCTAAATGGGTAAATTTGTAAATAAATTCCTTATCTTGTTTTGCCAAAATTATTATCCATGTCTTTCCTCATCATTACCATCCTTCATTAATCTTTTTGGTGTGGGTAAATCAACTGATCATTTTAACCCCAGAGCCGCAAAACTACAAATCAATAGAATCACATTTCAATATTTATCAATGACAAGTTAATAAAGATTAATGATACAAAGGACATATGGGCAGTAGAGCAATACAAACAATATTTTCAAGAACAATATTGAAGATTCTTTAAACTCACAGTAAAGTATGTATTAGACATAAAAGAATGTATTAAAAAACATGAAAAGGGTATAAAATTAAAAAAAAATTAACCTTTTATACGAAAGGAGTTAATACACTAAAGTGGAAGGTGATAAGCTTGTTAAAATGGCTGTAAATTTATGAAAAGTAGTCATTACTTTTAGTCTATGTTGTCTGAGTTTTGATGCTTAGTAACATATAATTTATAAAAAATATTATAAAGTTACTTAAGTCACTACAGAACTAGATTGTCCTGAAACTAATTTTAATTTTTTTTATTTAATTTAGTAATATACTGTTTATTTAATTTATATGAGATTAGTTTGTTACTTATTAGACTTTGGAAGAAAGAAGTGAAAATTAATTCCGAAAATTTAATTACTTAGGAAACATTTTTCTATCATAAAAAACACATCCAGTGCATCATTCAAATGAGCCAATTGCTCTCTGTGCAGTAACAATTTATTCCATCTGCATCAAATACAGAAGAACATTTTTCTCCAACAGATTCCATTTAGGTTGAGATGATGAAGGCTGTTTTGGATATAGCCATGATTTTCATTTTTTTGTATTTTCCTAATAAACTAATTTTTGATAGTAACTATCTTGTGCTAAAGTGACTTTTTCTGCATCAAGCAAGAAAAGAAATACAAGTGTTTAAATACTGACTGATGTTCCTTTCCATTCATATGGGACTGTATATATTGGTATATAGGTATTATATATAAAATTAGTATCTAGGTATTATATATAAAATATATATATTCATGGAGTTTCCAATAGGCACTGTGACCAGAAATAATCATTTCTTTCAAAGATTTTTTCAAATTACTATTAATTAATATCAATTTTCTAATTAAATTTTATAAGCGTTAATAGGAGGGTTCAGTTTGCTATGTAAATTCATTATCAATTGGTCTTCCTTGAAAGCCAAAAAATAAAATATGCTCTGTCATGTGATTTTTGAAAATTTAAAAATATAAAATTTTTTTTGAAATTCATAATGTGAAATTCTTTTTTTTTCATATATTACTATTAATAAAGCACTCCTGATTACAAAATATTTCAAAAAAGTTTTTATTTTTTTTAATTTTATATAATCACATGATATGATCATACTATAATTATACCACACCAAAATAAAATATACCATATTGTCATGGTTCAAAAAAGTTAAGAAAATAACCCATTTTGTATTTTATATTGGTTGTTCACTGGATTTTCATGCATGCTGATATTTCTTCACAGAGAACAAATAAATTAATTCTTTTTCTTTGTAACAAACAAACAAAAAACACATGCAAATTAAGGAGCAAATTACAATTTGTGTGTTTATAAAATTAAATTTTATTTAGCAAAAATATTTAACAATATTTTACTTTTGTTATCCTTGGTGGAGTAATGGATTACAGCTTGGATTGATGAATCTAAAAGTTGAGTTTGAATTCAAATCAAGTTAATTACATTCACTTACATGCTAATACCCTTGGGAAAAGTATAACTCTGTCTCTTCTTCTCTTAGCTATAGGTAAATAGCAGGACAAACTGGGTTCTATAGCCTTGGGTGGCAACTGGTTTAGGAGAAGGAAAACTTTGAATTCAAAACTGTATGTAGCCCTGGCAAAGCATATACTATCCAGTTAAGGAAAAGATAGTTTGCATTGACTCAATGATCATGACTATGGTCAATTCCTTTTTTCATTCTCACTTTGTTGTCAAATTTCCATTAAAGAATATGAGAAGCCTGTAATCTGGGTGATGAATATTAGTGGTAAAAAATAAATTTGAAAAAAAATTAAATTTTTTTTTAACTAATTGTTCACCCAATACAACACCCAGGAGCCACTCAAGGTAGAAGCTTATAGATGTAAGAGGAAGAAATAAGTGCAGATCATGAGGATATGTTGGATAGATAATGGTTAATCCTGGACTTGAAGAGTTTAAAATTTAGTGATAGGGGAAGCATCTGCTCAAAAATTTATTCCACAAAGTAGCAATTCTCAGGAAAAACTTAGTTCATGGGCCACATATCAACCCAATTTGATCTCAAGCAGATTGGAGCAGTAAAATCATGTCATAAGAACCTACAAATAACAATTTCAAAATTTTTCTTTTGTTTTAGTGTAAAAAAGTACATTCTGAAAATGTTCATGTTTAAAGAACAATTTTTTTTGCAAAATATTGAACAAGTGAAAGTGGGAACTGCTAAAAAAGACTGAGTTATCACACTGCCTTATAAATGTATACAATCCATAAATTAAAACGAAAATCATTTAAAAACATTTTTATTATTTTTTGTCAATTATTTTCAATATGTTTCTGAAATTTGGCATCTTTTTTCCTTTACAAGTGTATCAATATCAGACATCAAATCCTGAGTAGCAGCCAATTTGAGGACATCATTTTGGTGTGTATGTGTGAGCCTTAAGTGTAGCTTTGTTTTATTGATGCTCATTACAGAGAACACTTGTTCACAAATGTAGGCAGGCCCAAACAGCCACAAAACTTTCACAGCAAGGGCTGTCAATTTGGGGTACTTTGGCAAAATATACTGATAAAATGTTTCTAAGCCCACTGAGGTAAATTTGTTCTTCAAATCTGAATCATACTGCAAGTCAATTATTTCAAGTTGGATGGTGATAGGCAGATCAGAGTCGTTTACTGTAAATGATGAGCAAAAAACTGAAATCTGTTTCAAGTTCATCAAAAATCTGAAACTGTTACTCAAACTCTCACAGCAATCCCATGATATTGTTTGCATACTGATTCATGCCAACATTATCTGTGGCCGCAACCACATTTTTTTGACAAGGAAAATGAGCAGGGTTACCACCTGACAGTTGTGTCTCCTACAAAGTTAGCTTCAACTTGAAAATGTGTATGCTTTCAAAATACTGTGTGACAAATTTTTTATGCCCTTGAGGATTTTATACAGGATATTCAAGTGCTCTGTAATATCCACAATAAATGCTAAATCTTGCAGCTATTCTGGTGATTGAAATTGTAAGACTGGTTTGTCCTGTTCAATTTCTTCTTGTAGATTAAAGAAACACTTCAACACAGGACCTCAGTTTAACCACCTTACCTCAGTGTAATATGGCAAGCCATAGGTAATGCCTACATTGCTGAAAATATTGTCAAACTGATGATGATTCAGACCTCTAGTTTGGATGAAATTAACAGTTCGGACAACCACTTCCATGATGTGATCCATTTTTAATGATTTGCAACACAATGCCTGCTGCAAAATACTGTGAAATATCCAAAAATCATGTCATTCATTTACAGTTGGTACTTTCTCTCTGAACTGTGTCATAACACCTGCTTTTTTCTCAATCATTGATAGAGTGCCATCTGTAGCCATGCTGACAGAATGGGCTCAGTCCACTACGACCCTGTCCAGTGCTCCAACAAGAGAGATGAAAATGTCATTTACTGTTATGGTCTCCATCATAGGAACCACCTCCTCAGTGAACATCAAAGTCACGTCTACACCACGAATGAATACGGCCAGTTGCACAACATCTGTAATGTCTGTACTCTCATCAATTGCAACCGAAAATGCAATAAATGACTTTGTGCTTCAGTTGCCTGTCCGAATCTGCAGAAAGATAAATCCTATCTGCCACAGTGTTTCTTGGCAGGCTAATGTTGTTGCTTCTCAGGGCATACAATTCCTGCAG